AACGTTTCTTGGCATTTACAAGGGGGGTCGAATCATTCCAGGGCATCTGAACGGCGGTGCGAAATGGATTTTGTTGAGCCACATGCCTTGGTACCAGGGCAGCTGAACGGTGGTGCAGGATTTCGCACCCACGCAAATGTCGAAAAACACACCCTGCATTTTGGTTGGCCATTGCACTTTTGAACTGGATCCCTTGTGCATTTGGTGCCCGATTTGACCAGAGTCTTCGCGGAACCCAAGTCTTTGCGTCTCCAGACAGGCCTCGTCTCGCCTCGTCGCGCCAGTTGCGAGGTACACTGAAAACATCACCGCGGCCCGGGAGGCGCGGACCTCAGCAGCAGCGCTCTGTGCTGATTCTGCGAAAAGGGAGGCTACGACGAGCTCATGTTCTACGGGTTGGCCCAAGGGGGCGGGTTTAGCAGCTCAATTTTGCAGGAATGGGAGGCTTATCAACCCTTGAAAAAGGGGCGTTGATCGATTTCGAGTGGTGCGACTTGGATTTCGTCCATGATGTAGGTCCTTTGCTTGGGGACTTGAACAACCCAAATCTCGCACGAAAAAAGGCCAGCGCGATGCTGTTGCCACAGGGGCCCCACGTTGGTTCAGTCCACACCTGGGGGTTTGTCGCAGCCGTGTTCAAACATGAGGTTGTATTCGAATTGTTGCCAACTCTGGTGCATTGAACGTCAGCTTTTGGAAATGCATTTGATCATGATTGACCAGGCCTTTTCCTTTTGGCAGGGTGATGCTGGAAAATCGGGGGGCTTCAGGTTGAACCCTATGAGTCTCAAAGAAAAGGCTCCACACCAAGGATCCTCCAAAGTGGGGAACACACTGAATTCTGAGTTGAATAAGTTTTGGTGGGCAATTCGGCCAACAGCTGGGAATGGTGGTTTTCGGCTCAAGGGGTGGGATTTAGGAGTGGGGTAACTAGGCAACAAGCCCAACCTCGTGCCAAACCGATTAAATCACTGGCCATGCCCCCCCCTCTTGGCAAGCAAGTCAAGGTTTCAGAATTGGAGGGGTGAAGTGTGGCACCCGGCTCGGGCAATAAGAAGCGCTAGGGGCGCTTTAGGGTTAGCCAAATCCCCACTGGAAAAGGGTTCCATCAAGCCTTGATCCCTGGTATTCTTAAAACGCCTAGGAAAAGCCAGAACATCAGAAAAGGTTACAAGGTAACCGTGAGGCTTGGGGCTGGGGGGGGGGGGGGCGTGGTGGGCAAGGTAAAAGTTTCTTTGGGATGTCTTAGAAACTTCCAAAGCTGGCTGTTGCAAAAATGGGTCTGTCTTCTTTTGGAGTGGGTACCTCTTTTCGGTCCTGCTTTTAATAAACCAAAAGGAAAACCACAATTTTCTTGCTGGTTTTTAGCAGGGAATGAGGGAATGACCCCTACAAGCCATCCCCAATGGTTTCCCTTAAGGGACTCCCCTTCCGGTTCATTCCCAAAACCAAGTCTCAGTCATTCCCTACATATCGCACCAGCAAGTTTTGCGGGGCCCGAAGCCTAAAAAGGACAAGACCCAACCTCCTGTCCAGTGTGGAGTCATTGAACTTGAGGCCTTTGACAGCTGTCACATGGTGACGCACTCCGTTTGGTATGCCTTGATGCTCCTCAACCAGGAGGTGGGGGTCTTTAGGGTCCCCTATTCCGTGGCGTTCTTTGAGGCTAGCTCTTTTTTTTGGGCTGTCCCCTCAGAGGAAAAGGTGCAGGAAGAAGGGGGCTGGATCCCAGGAGTTGTGAAAAGACGTTGTTGGCAAATGGTCCGGGCGGTCCATTTTCAAGTGATTAGAACTTGTTCAAACACCCTCCTCTCGTTTCGCCTTAGTGGCTAGGTCCCCCAGTAGTGCCCTTTTACTTTTTTGGAGGAGGGTTTTTTTTCTACTAAAATAGACAACAGACAAAAAAAAAAAAAAAAACGGTACCCTTATTCTGACCTCTCCACTGGAGGACCTAGGTGGTCAAGGGTCAAGGGTCTGGTTGTTTAACCCTCGCACAGGATACTCTCAACCTGGATGGTTCGACGGATGGTGGTTGCGCCACGGTGGCGCCCCTCGACAAGGATGACAAGTATGGAACCTGCCCCACCACGGCCACTGCGCCTCGAACTGATTCAGAGGTCTCTTAGACTCTTAGCTTTCCCTTCTGCTGGTTTTAACATGTCTTAAACATCACCTTTTGGACCCGTTTCAGGTGAGTTCCCCTTGGCAGGGTGGTGTAAGGGGAAATCTGGGGCCATGGTCCCTTTGTTGCATTTTGGGGGGGCCAAACTTTGTTTCGCTTGTGTTGGGCGGGGCCGGACCAACAAACAAACTCACAGACAAACCAACCAACAAGCCGAACCAAACAAATAAAACACACCCTGAGGCCACTACGAACTGCGCAAGCTTCTTCGAGCCCAGTGCGAGCGTGTCCACTTCGATGCTGCTGACCATCGTTGGCAGCACTGGGGCAGTGATCGCTGTGTGCGCCGTGCTGGGCATCATAGCCGTGAGGCACATCCAGATGCTGGATTGCATGGCAGAAATGTGTGTGTGTGTGCTTGTGCTTGTGCTTGTGCTTTTGCTTGTGCTTGTGCTTGTGCTTGTGCTCCTGCTGCTGCTTCTGCTTCTGCTTCTGCTTCTGCTTCTGCTTTTGCCTCTGCTTCTGCTTGTGTTCGTGTTTGTGTTTGCTTTTTTGATATTAGAGACCTGCTCAATTTTATGAGAATGCCCCACTAACCCCCCCCCCCCAAAAAAAAGGGAGAACACTTGTAAAACTCATCTTTCCTTGAACACCACCCAACAGGTTGCAGCTAGCACCAACTGCCAATCATGGGTGGCATCCTAGCACCCATGCCCATTTAATTAGGCTCGCGCAAGTTGAAGTCTACTATTTGTTCTGGTTTGGGTCAAGTCATGCGAGCCCCACACGCGCTTCCCAGACAAACCACGGGGCGCACACAAACTTCCCGCAGCTTCTTGGGGAAAAAGTGAACTTGTTTGTTCATGCGGCTAACTAGGGCATGACGGCATGAGTGGCATGAGGTGGCGCTCTGATGGTCAGAAAGGCAAAGTCTACAAATCCGTTCACGACGCATGTTTTCTTTCTCCGATGATTGGGCCGTGCCGAGGAAGAACGCGATGGAGGATATGTCCATTTCTTCTTCAGATCACGCCCCGCCCTCTGGCTTCATCGCGCGGTTCCTCAGGCGCAAGATCAGCTTGTCAGTTTCGATTTGCTCGATGAGAATCAGTCATTTTCAGGATTCTGGGTAGGCTCCTCTGCAACCAAATGCCAACATTGGTTCTCTGCACCTTGAATGCTTTGAAGCGGGCCTTGGCGGGCGGAGTTTCTTGTTGGAAGCGTGATACTAAACACCCGCTTTTCCCCTTGGCAAAGTTGGTGCAGGGTGTTAACCTTCCCAAATCTGGACAGAACATTGAGTTGAGCGGACCCTTTTTTGGCGGAAACTCGGTCCATTGGAAATGCGGCTCCGGCCTGCGAGCTTTTGGTGAAGCTTTCTGGGGCTGCTTCTTTTTGCCTCGTTGTTCGATGGATTTCCTACTAAAAATGACAACCGCCACAGCACCCCCTTGCCAGGGTCACTGGTGGCAGGAACCATTTGTAGGGGAGCAGGCAATGGCCCTATGTACCTCATCTTTGTGATCATTCGAGGCGAAACCGGGGATCCAAGGCGAAAGGCAAAGTATCAACGCCTTGATGAGCGTATAAACTTCTGTGACTAGTTGGGTGTTTCTCAAATATGGTCCCCCTGAAACGCCAGGGTCTGGCTCCCCCAACCCAACTAAAAGGCCCACCAAACCGTGTGGCTTCCCCAAATTACGGAATGCCTGAGAAGGGGATATAGGTTCAAGGGAGGGTCGGGGTCCCTAGAAATTCTTTGGGAGCCTTGGGGAACCCCCCTTGGACCACCCCTCCTTTTGGACTCCATAGCCGCAAAAGGCCCCAAAGCGGCGCGCTCCGGCAACAGGAACTGCGGCATCTACGTGGGCGCGCGGGGCAGGGACCGCGCCAAGGAGGCCCGGATCCGCGCCAAGAAGGCCCGGGACAAGCGGAGGAACCGGAACTATCAGGCGGGGCTTTCCTTCGTCGAAGCGGATGGGGCGTAGGAGAATCTCAGTTTTGGGAGATGGGTTAGAAGCAACTAATATGGGGCTTGGAATCCAAGATTCCACTTGCTTAGATGGTTTGGGAGCTATGGAAGATTGGTACTTCACTTCTTGCGACGGCCCCTGTGGGCGCGCCAACAGCATCCGCCGGGGACGGCGTCCAGCTAGAAAGAGCTGAGGGCATGTTTCGGCCAGGAGAAGTCCAACCTTCTTCCGGACAGTGGAGGCGCGACGGGGATCCCATGATGAAGATCCCTTACTTTATGTCGGGGTGGAGAATCACAGTGATTTGCTCAAATGATTTTCGCATGCTTGCCCACTGGCATATGTGTAGTGTTTTTTTGATTGTGTGTGGCAGGTGCGGCAACTGTAACTCCCGTGACTGCTGTGCCTGCCGTGCCTGCCGTGACTGCCGTGACTGCGGCGGTCACCGTGGGGAAGCAAGAGGGCGAGGATGGATCGCAAGTTGCGTCTTGGCGGGGATGGCCTCAGAAGCCGACCTCAGGTTGGGTGAAGCAGATGGCACAGTTCGGCCCCCCATTTTGGACGAGTCATCACCTTTACCCACATGGCTATGGCTCAAAGCAAAGTGCACAAAATGGCACCTTGGTAGTTGTGCCATCTACCTTCACTTTGGTGTAACCGTACGATCAGAGTTGTGCAACATTTGTTTCAACAGCCTCGATTCGGGCCCTCTTTTAAGGGAGGCCAAACGGAGGCTGTTTAGCCAGTGGTTCAAACATGCTTAGGCAAGGCGGCCAACCCTGCTTTTGACAAGTTGAGCTAGTTGTCCAAAACCTGTGTGACTTGTTGGCTCCCCCTTGGTGACCTATTGTTTCTGAAATGCTTCCCCTTGTTGATCCAGGGTTTTCCTTCTGGACTTATGTCCAGGCAAGATCCTCAAAGTCGAACACGATTCATTTCCATTGACCGAGGGAGCGCGGAAATTCGCCTACTTCCCTTTCTGTCTGGTAGGTTCCCCGCTAGAAAAGTCAAGCAACAAAAGTGCAGAAGTGTTCCAATTATATTCCTGGGGTCACCGTGCAACTGGGAGCACATGCAGCTGTTTGTGCAAGCTTCCGCTCTGAGATCCCTTCCGAGGATTTGGAGGATGCGGAGGAGAGCGAGAAGAAGCACAAGAAGGAGAAGAAGGAAAAGAAGGACAGGGCAGGTGGCGCACATCGCACTTTAATTGCAAGGCGCGCTTTTTCAAGTTGCTCTCTCCGCCTTTCGAAGGCCTACAAGGGTGGGCTCAAAATGTGTGGCTTCCCATCTCCCTTGGCCCCCATTTGCCCAGGTCCAACGTTTCCCAATAGCTGGAACTGGAACGTCGTTTTTTTTTGTGGTTTTCCCCAATTGTCACTCCATGCTCCATTAGGTTCCCTTGTGGCTTTCTTCCAGGGACAAAGTGTCCACACTTCCGATCGGGTCGAAGGGGAACAAGAAAGCCCAACAAATTACAAACCATTATGACCAGACTGTTGTTGCAACAGCCTTCTTTGCCCCTTTGAAGGGCAGAACGGGGTGGTTGTTGAAACAGCCTTGCCAAAAGATCGTATTTTTTCGGGAAATCTGCTTCCCATTTTGGGATCTCAGTTCAAGTCGCCCGTTTCGAACGCCCAGGAGAAGAAGTCCAAGAGGCAGAGCGATGAGGCTGGCTGAGGGGCAATGTGGGTTCATACCCTCATTGTGTTTTGAGGGTTTCTCGGGGCGATTTCTGGGGTGGCCACCGTGCAACCACAATTATTTGGTACATTTTGCTTGGATGTTGGGACTTTAACTTTTTGCCAACTAATGGGTTTTCCATTAAACCACTACAAGTTAACTTTTAGCAGGGGAGCAGATAGCAACCGAGAATTTACGGTTACATGCCCCCTTCCTAGTTACCGACCCACTTCACAATGGGTAGTGGCTTGGTTGCTGGGGCCCCCTTGAAAAGAAACCAAGCTCATTTTGTTGGAAGACTAGTTGTTTACAACATGTTGAAGCAACTAATTGGTTTAGTCAACCCTGGCAGGGGCCTCTGGGTAGGGGGCATGGTATGAACAAGGAGAAGAGAAAGTACAAGACTATGAGAAACAGAAGGAGGAAAGGAGACAAAGAGGAAAGAGAGTCTGAGAGACGAAAGCAACAGAGCAAGAGCAAGAGAACTACAGAATTTGCTTGTCCTTCCGAAAATCGACTGTGCCGGCTCTACTGCTACCTTCTAGGGCTTCCGCCACGCCGCCCTTTAGGTACCTGTTTTGGGGAGGGGGGCTTGGCTTGACCTTCCTGTGACTTCTTGACAACTGCTCCCCCGCATGCTGCCCAGCAGTTTAAAACCCCCTTTTTGTTCAGTGGCCCGCCCTTATTGTTTTGGCTTGGCAGGTTCCCACTCAAAACAGTCAACCCCGCAAGGGTACCCTTTGTTGACTGCTTGGGTCCCTGCTGTCACAGGAAAAACTGGTTGCAGCGGGTCAAAGATCAAGAGAGGAGTGATTCCACCTGTGGCAGAGGGTGCTCCTGGTTGCGTAGCTCCAAACGGAGCGCACGCTTCAAACTGTCAAGGATTTTTCTGCGATGGGTTTGGAGGTTAGGCGCACGCTGCCTTCCAGCTTGTATTGACGGTATATAAGCATCCATGCCTCCAGACACCAGACTTGAAAATGGCCTTCCAACAACTGAGTGTGCTTAAGGTTTTGTGGACGTCTTCAGCTCTTGTATGTGTGTGTGTGTGCGTTTGTGCTTTCGTGTTGGCCTTCGCACAAGTACGTTGGGTTCCCTGGATCCCCAAAGCACGCCTCCTTCAGGCTTTGGCGCAGGGGGTGGATTTCCAGAACAGAAATATGTATCTTTCTTTGGAAAAGGGTTCCCGCAATCAACTTGGGAACCAAGCAACCAACAAGGGCTTCAATCCGTATTTGACTGAGCGGATCACTGGTTGCAAAACAGGTTGTCAGAGCTTAGAGCTGTCAACGTCTTCACGAATCGGGGCAGCCAAACATGAGGAATTTTTGGCAGCAAACTCGTCACACGGGAAGGTTTTAAGAACCTAACCCCTTGCAAGAAGCTTTTACTAACCCGTCCCGGGACTGTCCTTTGGTTTTAGCCGTGCGACATCTAACAAAAGTCTGCCAGGACGCAGGAGATATCCTGGAGGCTGTCTCTGTGCGCGTGGTCAAGGCGTGAAAGAGGGCAGGTGTTGAAAGGCTGCGTTTGCCCCTGCGTGCCCCAAGTAGATTTGCCAAAAGGGGCGCCAACAAAAATAACATAAGATCCAGCAGCGAGCTTGTCTGGGACAAGGCGAGCACAAACAAGGTGCGTTGAGGGATTGTCCAGCTTAGGTTGGTGAAATTGGTGCAGATGGTTCTCCAATTTAAATTGGATTCTAATTTAAGGATTCTCCAGTTCAGAAATTGGTGCAGATGGTTCGTCACGTTGAACATTCCATGGGTTGTGCTTTGCCACCCATCAACACCTCGGAACCACCATGAAGCCTCCATTCCCACCACTTACAAATGGAGGATTGTTGCCCAGCACATGGGCCAAACTGTTTGTTGGAGTATGTTCCCGCTGTTTCACATGCCTGCTTCGGACGCGCATCCGATTGCATGGGTGCTTGTCCTTTGATTGGCACTAGCTGACCTCTGAGTCATTTTTGCGTGCAAGGATTGACGTATCAGTGCGGAGCTCCTGTGTCTTTTTGTGCGGGTCCATTTGTGTGTGTGTGTGTGCGCCCAGTTGTGTCTATGTGTTTGCCTTGTGCCTGTGCCTGAAGTCTGTCGCTGGGCCTGTTTGTGTACCAGTCTCTGTGTCAGCGTGTTGTGTAAATTGTGAGCAAGTGTCAACTTTGGTTTCCTCTGCGTGTGATGCTTGCTTGCCACTCAGATACTAACATTGCGACTTTGCTTGCCTGTCAGGTGGGGAACGCATGGGTGTGCACACCAGGGATCTCTCCAAATGGTTGGTTGTATGTTGGCTTCCTGTTGAAACCAACCACAACGAGAGCCCCCAGTCTTGACACTTAGCTGCGTGCACTCGGTGCAAGCTGGTTGCTTTCAAACCTGTGCAGCACCCCTAAGGCCAGTGTTATGCCGCCGGCGATGGGACTCTGGTGGGGCTTTTGGTTCTGCAAGAGTGCCTGTTGTTCTTCGACTGGAGGTCTGGGGTCCCTTTCCGACTGGAGGTCTGGAGGTCTGGGGTATGTTACAGTTGCTTTTTTAGCCGCAATGCTTCCCCCTACTTTTCAAGCTTTTCCCTTTGTTTTCGGCGCGCACGAAGGATTGCGTATGGAGGGGTTGGGGCCCGGCTTGGGGGGATGGATGGGCGACGCGCGCGCAAAGCTTCTCTGAGGAGGAGGAGCTGACCGCTCGAGAGCCGGACGGCGACGACCTTTTGGGGTCCAATGTCGTGGAGAAAGAGCCGCTGGGTCACAAATTCCGGGCGCTCACCTGTACTGAACATGTGTTACTATGATATTCCTTCTGCCCATCTCGTGAATGAAATTAGAATAACTTGCGCTGGTAGGTGGCAGCAGCAACTGTCAAGCCATGTTCAGCTCATGACAAGGATTGCTTGCGAGCTTCCGGTTTTTTTTTGTCAGGAAGAAGCAAAGAAGGAGGAAGCGCGAGGGCCGCTGCTTGGCTGCATGCACTCGCGCCCAAAGTCTCCTGAGTAGCCCTCGACAAGCTTAAACAATTCCTCTGATTCCCATGAGGCGGCGTCTTTTGGGCGTTCCCGACCAACCCCAAAAAGGGTACCCTCAAAGCAGACCAACACGGATTCACCTGGACATGGGAAGCAACCGCGTTGGAAACCTGCGAGCTCGGCTCGCGCGCTTGCCAGGAGAAACGGAATGATGCAGGATGCCTCATGGGACTTCGACGTGAGAGCGTAAGCTCCTTGTTGGAGCTTGGAATTGGCTCGGGATGTTCGACCCATTGAGAAAGTGGGTTGCAATCATGATTCGAAGAGTAGTGGTGACTTCGGATTAATCCGGGCCGGACTAATCAGGGGTAGTTTCCCCTTAGTAAGGACATGATCTACTGTTGAGGATTGACTGGTAGGGTCCTGCGGATTAAACGAAGTTGGCATTATCCCAGTTGCATGGCTCTACCCTGCTTGCTTGATGGGTTGAACATCCAAGCGGCGGAAAATGTTAATGCCGCGGTAGCTGAACCGCTTGCCGCTTGGAGGCCCTCCTTGGCACAGTGGAACCCGACTCAAACCTCGGGCGCGCCTAGTCGAAACTCTTGGATGTTGAATCAACAGATGGCCTTCAAGCGGCTGTCAAGGCACCAAGTGCACTTGACAGAGGTGGCCGATAGACTGCCCATCCCATCCCGTGATACATGGGAGAGAAACCATTCGACGTGACGATGTGCCAGAAAGAAACAGGCGAAATTGAACGAAATTGCTTTAGCACGCTTGCAGACGCTGCATCGGGGCGCTGCTGCCAACACACATACGCATACATACGTATATGTATACGTGTATGTGCGCGTCTGTGTGTCCACCTTGCGGTTGCTACGCGGCATCACTTGCTTATCAGGGCATCAGTCCAGTTGAAAAGATTGAGGATGTTCACTTTCTTTAGGGGCATTCAACTTGTTTATGCCCAGAAGCTTCCCTTGGTGGACGCAAGCTGAGCTGGTGTACAACCAGCGCAGGGCTGCGGAATCGGAATAGCGCCGAGGTAGAGATGGATAGCATCCAGTCCACCACTTCTTGGAGGCATCGACGCCCTTGCTTCCGTGCATGGTCAACAATGAGTGCCCTTTTTGGGCCATGGTTGTACTGGTTTCTTCCAAAGATCTTGGAATGGGTCTGAGACTTCCATTTGGGTAGGAATATGTTTTTTTCTGTTGAGTTTAAAGGAAGACTATCCCTACTGGAAGCAGTTTTATTTTTTTCAGGGGACTCAAGCAAATGGAGGGGGAGGAATGTCCGTTTCGGTGAAGCCCGCTTTTCGGGTTCCATGTTGATTTGAAGCCTCTGTAATCGCTTGGCCCATCCCTCGAGGCAACGTGAAGCCGTAAGTTGACCGCTAGGGATTGATTGTTTGGGTCCCGAAGAGAAAAACAGTGGCCGCATCTTGAGGGGTTCTGACACTACATTTGGGGCTGGTTCCCCTCTGAACCACCATTTCGAGGGCAATTTTGCGGATGTTACGTTAATGGGCCCTAACAGATCCAAACAGGTTCACTGAGCACTCGCTCCTGCTCCCTGTCCAAGATGTCCACGAACGGTCGTACGTGTGGTTGGTTGTTTGGTTTTGTGGTGTGGGTATGAGGTAGTTTTGCTTTTTTCTCGGGGCAGGGGCTTAATTACACCAGAGCAAATGGTACTGTTTTGATATGGATGATTTAGGGGGCAGTTATTGAATGGTGGTGAAAGCATAGGGTGGGGAGTCTATGGTCAATTTGCGAGGGACATGAGGGACAAGCCGTTGGAGTTGTCCTACAAAGGAAAGGCGGGGGCATGAATTCTGAACCGTCAAGAGAAGGTGCGAGTGTGTTTGGTTGCTGCTTGCTGGTGATGTCACCAGACGTGTTTCATTGGTTTCACCGGACGTGTTTCATTGGACTTTGGGGAAGATGACGGGTTGCCCCACCAACCACCAAACAATTTATCATTGTTTTAAATATATACATATATATATATATATGTGTATGTATGTACAATGTGTGTATATGTATGTTATAATACCTATTTGTATATGTATTTCTATACATGTATATATATATATATATATGTTACATTAACCAGGGGTTCAAAGACGGTTTCCCGCAAGCGCAGGGAGGTTCAGCTTATGGCTGGCAAAGAACAAAGGGCCGTGAATTTTGATGGGGAAGGCCATTCAAATGGCTGGTGGGCGCAAATCGAAATCCCCTGATGCCAACCAAAGGGTTCCTCAAGAAAAGTCATACCCAAACCCGGCATTTTAGAACCGAACCGGTTTATTAGTACCCGTGTTACCCAGGGGCTGGGGGGCAGGCAGGGTTGGTTCGCAGACCGTGCCAGGGTGGGCACCGTGCAGCATGCGGATCAGAGGCGGCAACTCTTTTGGAGTCGGTACTCCCTTTTGGTGCTTTTGGGGTTGAAAGAGAACTCTCTTTTTTTAAATGCGGGGTCCCCCTATTGGACACATACCCGAGCCTACCGCGGTTGTTTGTTGGTTGGGTTCCCAACCTCCAATAGGGTGTTCCTTTTCTACCAGGCTCGCTGGGCGACTTGCAATGTTCAGTCTTATTGGTGGAATGCCCCAAACGGGTAGCAGACCCCAACCACAAACAAGGGCATTATAGGTTTCCGATATGAGTGTGGGCGCGAAAAGTGCCTCCTTTGTCAACAGCAAGGACATCCCCGAAAAGAATCAAGCCAGAAGGGGATGGAACGTGTCATTGCAGTTCTAGATTCCAAGTTGCGCTCCCGTTCTGTATAGGGTTCCCGGTGTCTCCATTATTGTTGGCGCAGGGACAGTCATGTATACCAAGACAAGGTGGGTGCATTCGTCGCAACATGTCATAAGCATTGGGCCATGCAACGGCAAACGTTGACAAGCAACTGACTTATGTTACACACAAATGATATGCCAGTTGTCTAATCGGTTGGTACATGTTGAGTGCCATCGCGCAATTGCACACATTCACTTAAAAACAAGTGACTCACCATGTCTAAAAAGGCATATCATATAACTATTACACTATGCAGGTCTGCAGTTGGCTCATGCGGGTTCATGCATAGCAACAAGCCAGATTGGATTGGTTCTTCTCTCTTTTTTTGGGGGGGGAGGCTGTGTTAGTTAGTTTGTTGTTTGCTGTGTTTGCCAAATGTCTTTTTCCCCACAATACCCCGAAAACCCAGCATAGCAAGCTACCAATCCAAACCACCAATCAACCCGAACCCGATTCAAGAAGGGCCAATCGAGATATTTTGAGCTAAATAAATCTGAAGACACTGAGCTGAAGGCAATGCATTGATTGGCATTAAGTGGCCGCCTCAGCTTGCTTAAAAAGGAGGTGAAACCAATAAGTCCCATATAACTGAGATGGCCAAGTACCAACCAAGCTGCAGGTCGGGAGCTATTCAGGCAGATTCCTCTCAGGACGCTTGCCAGCTTGAGAGGGCGTGTGTTGTTTCGGCGTTTGTTATTCGTTCTGTGCATTTTAGAAGCTCATGTTCTTTTCCGTGAATGAGACCAGTTGGGATGGTTTATCAAATCTTGATGGCTCCCAGCCACCCCTTGGCTTTTAAGCCTTTTAGTGTTTAATGGTAGTTGCCATTTAACGCACTAACAGTTAAACTTTTAGCAGGGGATCTGAGGGCAGCCCAGAAATTACACATAGGTCACATAGGGTTCAGACAGGGGTGCCTAGCGGGGACCTCGTCCATGCGCTTGGCTCAGGGCTGCAAGGAGCTAGTGTCAGGCCACCCAGGCCATGCTGGAATGGATTCGAGTAGGGGGAGCAACTAGTTGCCTCATGCCCGGTCCGGGGTACACGTGGTTGACAATTGCTCATGAATTCTGGTGGGCTACAGGTTTCTTGGCCAGTCTTCACGATTTGTTGTTGCTTTGGGCTGCATGTGTCCCCCTGCAAAGCCCATCCATTGGCGTTTTCGCGAAGAGGACGCCCTTGTGTTGGCTTCCCGCTAGTTTGTGGGTGCTCTAAACGACCTAGCGAACCCTGTTCTTAGCAGTCCCTTTTGTTTGAAAGGGGGGAACCAAAGGACACCCATCCGGAGCCTTCCACGAGAGACCAGCTCCTGGTTGGGGCTTGAAATTAAACAGTTGCATGTTTCCTCACCGCCTCCCTTTAGCCAACAACTAACAAGGGGTTGGCAAGCCCGCCTTCCAACAAACAACGACAAACCCATCTTGACATACAATGTGAATAAATTAGTGAATATGTATATATATATCTGTCTATATATATACACATGTACATATATATATATATATGTATATACGCACTAAGCAACAAGTACCCACCATGATTTCCCTCTGGGTTGTGGTGGTTGACCCGTTGAGCGCGCAGGACTTTGCCACCTTCATCTCGGACGCCTGCGCGGAGCTCGGGGGCATCCCTCCCAGCGGCACGCGCGTGGCCTTTCGGCTCACGGTCGGGGGCCCTGAGGTCTGGGAAGATCCGACATTTTGGGCCGGAATCGTTGCGGCTGGAAGGCTTCCTTCTTTTTGTCACCCGAGTTTTTGGTTCGTCACTTTTTGGGCTTGGGTCATGTTGGTGGAAAAAGAAACGGTTCCTGGACTGTGTTGGGACAATTTGCTCAGGAAGTGAGCTTCAGGTCTCGGAAAAGGGTTGGTGAGAAGGGAAACGAGGCAAGAGGACAACCTGCATGTTTGAGCTCGAACCCCTCTACTGTGGATGGACAAAATGCATTTTGCACCAGTTGGTAGGTGGTTTATCCCATTGCTTGTGGAGTGTCATCCATCCCAGGTGGTGTGATTGCGTCCAGCCACAGGATTCGACACTTCTGCATCTTACCTTCCTTCTATTTTCCCGAGGGAATCGGTCTAAAAGGATTCTGAAATTCGATCCACTAATCTGGAACCTTTAATGGCCCGGTTCCATGTATTGGGAACCCCGGATTATGAAGCCAAACTCAGGGGAACCTTTGAATGGGTTCCAAACAAGTTCTGATCGCTTTTGCATGAGATAATCATGCATGTCGCATCCTAGGACCCATTTGTTGCAACCCAGTGGCGGGGTGGAAGATGTCGGGCGTTGCGTGTTGACATGTGCACCGTTTGAGGCTGACCTGAAGCGATCCTGTGCGTCTACACGTTTGGGATATCAAGCTGCCAAAGCACGGTCCAGTGGCACCCTTCTTCCTGTTTGTTTGATAGGTTCCCATCAAAAGCTGGTCAAGTGGAGATCTGCTTTTGGAACCGCTGAGTGGCACGAAATGACCGAAACGGAGTCCAAGGAGAGTCCCTAGTGGCCTGGTGGATGCGAGTTCGCAGCGTGTCAACGCGCATCGTCAAGGATCATGTTGGGCAAGTTGGGGAGACTTGCTAGGATGATTCCAGCATCTTCCACTAACCAAGGAACATTCAAAGACCATCGGCACTGCGATTTGCAGGTCCTATCCCGTCTTCACTGTGCAAAGCGGCAAGTGTGTTGCTTTGTTCGGTAGAATCCTTTACAGAAAAGCCAAGTGCGGATGCAGTTGTGCAATTTGTCCAGACCCCGTATTTGACACCCAGCTCTGTTTGCGAAAGGTTCCCAGAAATTGTTCTATGGGCGCGTAAACGGGCTGCGTTTCCCCTTTTTGCGGCGGTACAGGGAATTCGAGCGGACAGGGCCCCTCCTTTTCTCCCACAAACCAACCAACCACGTTTTCTATCCCGCGCCTCAGGGAGAGGCAGGTGAAGCCTTTGCGGAAGAAGTAGTTCCAGAGGACGGGCGGCCAGATTCTTGGTGCTGGAAAATGGGCCTTCTGAGTTTGGTCTGATTTCTCCTTTCAAGGGATTCCGAATCCTCCTTGGGCCTTTGAGGTCCGAAACTTGGATGTCCTGACCCCTGTGGTCCAATGGTTCGGTCATGGACCCCGTTGCGGCAACCCGGACTGGAGCTTTGATAGGAAGACCCGCTAGCTTTATCTCATTGCCAATTGGCGTGCGTCTTCTGTGGGTATCATTTTGAGGTGGCTAAGGGGAAGCCAAAGGAAACAGGCATGGTTGGGGGGTCCGACTTTTGACACCCAATTCATGCAGCGTCGGAACGGTAACAAATATTCCATCTATCAGCTCAACCTACCCCAGAGGCCCCCCCCGCCCAAAGGGGGGGCGGGGGGACGGCCTTGCGCGTCCAGGATGTTGACTTCCTGGGAACTATGGGGCAGGCGTGGCTTGCTGTGGCTTGCTGACAAGGGGCTCTTGGATGTGGCAGTTTTAGTGCATCGCGCCCAACACCGAGTTTTAATCGGTTCTCCTACACGGCAGAGAGAGAAGCCTTCAGAACCATCACGCGCTGCTCATGATGGTTTCCACTACACCCAGGCCACGGGAAAAGGGGGATATGAAGGTGGAGATGTCCACATCCACCGGGAATCAGGGCAAAACATGCCAACTTGGGATCCTCTAGTTGAAATTGCTCGGGTCGTTTAAACATCAGCTTTTGACCATTTAAGCGTTGCTCTGAACCAATGACCAAACCACAAGGGTAGAAGAGGGGTCCTACAATTGATGGACAAAATCCTGCACCGTTCACGAACCCTGGAACGATGTGATACCCCTGTAACTACCAACAAACGGTATGGTTTCGACCATGGTTCCTTAGGTGGTGCGAAATGGATTTCCTCCACCCACAGTATGGTGTTCATTTTGCAGGGACCTTTCTACCCTCAAGGGTCGGCTGGGAGAAGCCCTCTTAAGACCTTGGTTCGAGGGATCTGATGGGGAAAATCGGCGTCACAGTTCGTTGGTGTGTCACACTGGGTGGCGCGTCCTCCATTCCAAAGTGGTGCAAGCATTTGCTCACCCACAGCAACTACGCGCACACACGCGCACACGCGCACACACACACACACATGTTTCTCCTATGGTCATGGCTTTCTTTTTGGCTTTAAGCGTATCCCCCGCAAGCCCATTGTTATGAAGGCCATCAGCTTACGCCAGGGCGGCAGAGGTGTGGGCAGCATCAAACTGGACGGCTGTGATGACCGCTTGTCGGCCTAGTTCTCAGAGTCAGAGAATGAATCCAGCCGAGCTTTCTACCGAAATTTTCGCGAATCACCAAAAACACGGGGAGCTGCCACCAGAAGTTTGCTTCGAAGCCGAGTGAACGGCTTCTGGCAGATGTGAACAGAAGCCACTCATAAGCCATATGGATGTTTGTTTTCTTTTCCCCTCCAGGAGGCAGCTTAGCGCCGTGCTGCTGAGTGTACGGCTTTGGGGACATTCGGGTATCTTTTGCCCATTGCCGAGTTGATACTCCTTATTTTGATGTTCAATCAGTGGCCCCTGGTTTCCCGCCCCAAGCGCAGGCTCTAGAGGAAACTCATTTTTTTCGGTGATCCTACTGTGGGTGGGCGAAATCCAGTTCGCACCACTTTGAAACCATGGTTGAACACACACACACACACCATCAAAAAAACGGAACTGGAGGTTGGTTGAAAGCCAAAAAGTGAACTTAGGGTCCCCCCCAAAAATAGCGGAACTGGAGGCTGCTTGAAAACCAAAAATTGACCAAAGCCCCAAAAAAGCGGGACTGGAGGGAGCGAGTTTTTTTTGGCCCCCTTAGGCCACAGGGGAGACGCACGCACCGAGGTGTTGCCCATCTGCTGCGCCGCCTTCGGGGAAGTCTTCCCCGCGCCGGGCACGGCGGTGAAGTTCAAGGCGTCGAGCTCGGGCGCGCGGTGCCCGGTTCGTTCGGCTTGGGGTAGGAAAAATTGGTGCAACCGCAACCGCCACCAGCCATCCGGTTCCGCAGGATTTTTGGGTCGGTTCCGTAGCTTTTTGGGGATTCGTGGGTCAGCTCCGTAGCTTCTTTTTTTTTCGGGATGTTTAGGTCTTTGGGGTTTCGTATTTTCCATTTTGCCCACTGAAAAATGTCAACTTCTAGCGGAGGATTTGCGGACAGCCCAGGAAAGGCGTCCCTATTGGCTTTTCCCGTTCTGTGGACGAGAGCCATTTCGCACCAATGCCAACAAACTTTCTGGTTTCAACCATGGTTCCAACCATGGTTTCAACGTGGTGCGAAGGGATTTCGTCCATCCACAGTAGGGGGTTTGGTTTTAGCTGCATCTTTGTGAGGTACAGCTAAGCCTCGTTCTTGCTGACAACTGGCCAGCAGTTGGAGATTCCTGAATCTGCCGTTCCAAAAGTAGATTTAGATTGGCCAACTCTCCAATCTAATCAGCCCAGCCTTAAATGGCCCCTGAAATTGGAGAAGACGAGAAAGATCGAATTGGTGGGGGGATGCGTCACCGCGGTTTGTTCATGGGGCTAGTCCCATTGGTCCCAGCCCCGTAATTGTTCCCTAGGCCGAACATGCAAGTGGGGCTAACTTCCAATTTTCTGAGAACCCAGGCAGAAGGTCCAGCAAGCATCTTTACAACTCGGGGAAGTGGCAAATGTTGTTTGGCAGACCAATGGATATGGGAGCTAATGGAATCGAAGCGAAGCAAACATCGAATTGTGGATCACAGCGAACGCAGCACACAGTCGCTGCCAAGCTGGGAGAAGTGACAAGTGACAAATGCAAACTGACACTGTTTAGCAAGGGGGCTGTGCCTGGAAGAAGGGAATCCAATCAAAAGGGCCCTTTGATGAATAGCCCCCTCCTTGAACACGCCGGCCGTATTCTTCCACATGCAACCACACGTTGGTGCGGAAAGAATCAAATCCAGAAACAAAGCGAATTCGGGTGGGTGATTTGCGCACGCCAAACTGCAACATAGGACGGCCCCCTGGTCTAACACAAGGCCAAGCATGCCATGTCTTTTTGGGGGTTGGTAGGCCTGGTCATTCACCCCTCTATCGGGATTTCAAGGAACATTCGACAGTTCCTGTTACTTGCTGGTGCGCTTGGGAACTGAGGACCAGGTCAAGGTCAAGACTCATGCCCTCCCAGAAGCGCCCCTGTGAACGCCAGGTTGGTCTCTTGAAAGGTGCCCCCACCGAAACTCGGCAACCCCCCCAAAGGGTTCCCCCTTATATAAGCCGAAAAAGGCACTGGACTGGGCTAAGGCGATGCTCCAGTTCGGGACTTGGTGTAGTTGGCCTAGATGATGAGTACATCTTGTCTCACCCCCGCATGTTTGGGTCTGGCAGATCGTCATGGATGCCACCAGCGGCTTGCCGAGAGCAGACTATGCGGCGGGCTTAGCGGCACGGAATTGCCAAACCCTACTCCTCACTGCCTTGGTTAGGCCACACAATTTGGGAAGCACACCTCTTTGTCAGACTTGTTCTGCGACTTTGCCCACCCATGAAGAATCAAAGGGCACTGAAGAAGACCCCCCCTTTCAAGGGGTTGCCGTCGGATGCATGCGTTGACCGAGCCCATTCATTTCTCATGTGCCTTGGGATTCCACGCGGCAACTTTCGATGCTGGCCAGTGTCCCCATTCGAGAACCGACCCAAAGAAGTTGGATCCCTCCCCCTGGCTAGAAGAGGGTCTGAAACGGATACCAACAGTGCAAACTTTGCAACGCGGTGGCCCAAGAACGACATTTCCTTCCAGGCAAAGCAGGTTTTGGGCAAAGCCAAACGGTTTGCTGTGTGAATTGAACATACTGAGTGTGACATAGCGTCACATAGTTGCTTGCGTTCCTAGAAGCGCTCAAAAAGTGCATGGATGGTTTATTTTTTCAGGCCCCCCCATTTCGCTCCACTATTGGCCTGTTGCAGAAATCTACGATTTCCGCCAAACCCAGCAGTCTGCATTGCATACTTTACTTTTTAAGACCTGTGGAAACGAGCTTTCGGAAAGCAATGGACCCCTCAAATTGGTTGGTGTTTGCAGTCTTCCTGAAAGGGGTGGGACCCCGGTCCCCAAGCCACTGGGTGCAAGCGCTTTCTGTCAAACTTTTAGATCTAGGGCAAGCACTTTGAGTCGCGGGTACGTTTGGATGGCCTCTTCGACTCTTCTCGATATCGCCCCAAGTCATGTTTGGGCGGATGCTGAGCGCCGGTTGAAAAAAGCGGCTTCCATGCGGCCCCCGTGAATTTGGGGCAAGGGGCGGTGGGGGTGCCATGGGCACTTCGGGTCTGCAACCTGGGTGGATCGTTTTCGGTGTTTCCAGGCTGCGAAATTGGAGCCAAGCGTCCATGGGATGGGGGTTGCCGTGCCTCGCGTTGCCCAGGTGCGGCCCCAGCCCGTCGAAAAAGGCGGCAAAGGCACACGAGACTTGGGGGATGTGGCCGAAGGATGCAAAGACGAACGGAGAACGAAAGGAATGACTGCAGTTTGGGCGATTTGAGCTGGGATTACGTTGAACATGGTGCAAGTTTTGTGGGTGGGAAGATGCAACATGGCTTTTCGGAAAGATCAACGATTCGAGGTTTGGCCCAGTTACGGGGCTTTCCCTTACACTCGCAATGTAGGGTTCAACTCCCCATTAAAAGAATGGTTGACCCAATGAGGACAAAACCTTAGGTAAACCATGGTAGTTCTGTGAACCCCCATTGTTTTGATGGTGGTTTGAATCCCATGGCTCAGTTGTTCAAAGACGACTGGCTGACCTTTTGATTCGGTCCTTCCCAGTAGAGGTCCCAAAAGGCTAAGATTATATTTCCAGGTCCGTGCACGGTCACTGTCCCTTTGCGTTTGTGCAGGCGCCAGCCGTCCCGAACCCATGCAGCTTGAGCCGCTCGGAAATTCTTTCCTTCGATGCCGTGAGCATGACGGCCTGTGTTTGTTGAGGGTACACGGTGTTGGTGGATTTTAAAGGGACACCCAAAGGAACACATGGCATTTTGGACGGGGCTCGATTCCTGTTTTAAGACGGCCTTCCAATGGAGACAGCTTTCCCTTGGTCACTGGAGGGGACGACGCTTGGGGTCAAGCTTGTGCCATGCGTGTCGTAAGGATACCCCCAAAGCCTATGGTGGGTCAGGAAATCCTGAGTTGCTGGATCGGCGGTTTGGGGGTTTGAAGCCCTTGTGGAGGGTAAACCGCCAAGCCAAGCCAATCACCAAGAGTGAAGAGTAGGTGGTGTTTAAGGGCCTCCCAGACTCCTTGGCTGTTTAAGAGTTTCTATGAGTTTGGGTTGGCGTGTATCGGCCAAGTGGGCTGCCTGTGAGCCGTGGCACTGGGTTGCCTTGTTTGCCTGTCGCTGACGTGTTTCACTAGGGCCGTGCGGTTCAGCATGGGTGATTTAACCCAGGAAGGCCCCGGAGGGCATGAGCACGGGAGCGACCTTCACAGGCGGGAGTCCTGGAAGTTGTGCGGGGCGGCTCGGTGATTTCTAGGTCGGAATTTGCTTGAGACTCGCTGCATCGTGTAGAGTGCAAATAGCAGCCAATGGCAGGATTGTGATGGAATTTGATGACTTTGCATTGTTGATGGAATTTGTACAGTCATGGGGTAAATTTGTACAATTACCCAATTACAGCAACATCTTGTATTTGGACAACCTCCAGGACCTCCCAACCACTGCTTTTTGCACGTGGCAGGATCGGATGATCGGGGTTTCGTGGGGGCAGTTGAGGCGCACGGACACTTCCAGGCCCATGAGCTTCCAGTTGCTGAAGTTTGCCTGGTGTGGACAGATTTTGGTGTGTGTCTCTGTGTTCTTGGAGTGCAGCATGTTCGATTTAAACGGGAATGCAAAAGGACACCGCCTTGTCGCGGGGCCCCTTATTTTAAAAAGCGCCTTGCTGTATGCCTAAATGGTTTATTCGTAGGTGGCACCTCAGGCTTTCCAGATGCGCCACCTAAATCAAGCGAAAAACCTATTGTGTGCCCATGCAGGAACGCCCCACCCATAAATATATACATATATATATATATACACACCCAATACACCCTGCAACTGGCTTTGGTGACGGCCTGCATATGGGTGTGGAAGGTGTATTTGTTCTAGGCATGCATTTAGGGCTAGCCCGCTTTGATGTTGTTCGCAATGCTCTGTGGTGGGGGGGGCCAAACTAGTAGGAAAGACGTACCAAAGCCAAGGCAAGTAGCGCCCATCCGCTAACATACGAATATGGGGAAATTTGACTGGCGGTTCTTGAGAACCAGTTTCCTCTAATTGCAGTTGTTCGAAAGTAGGTGCAACAAGTTGCCTCAGGCTTTAATCATCCTCCTTACGCACATATCCCGGAACTCGTTCCATCTACTTGCACCCTGGACCGATTTTTCAACGAGCCGCCTGGAACCCCACGGCAACGCCCCAATTCGTCTCCCGTCCGCCGGCGCGGCGACCAGGCACCGTGACGTCGCTGAAGGAGAGCTTTGGCTTCATTGCGCCGGACTCGTCCCCGGAGGAGATGTTCTTCATGCCCAAAAGCGCCTCGAAACCAAAAGCGAGGCTGAGCCATGCGCCCCAGTGGCCCAGGTCCCGTTAACTCCACATCGGGGGGGGGGGGTTCTTTTTGGCGAGGACATGGAAAATGTGTGGCCGGGGCCCGGCTCTCATGAACAAAAGCAACAAAGCAAACAACAAGCCCTATTGTCCATGAAAGGTGGACATGAGGGAACGCCTGGTCTGAGCTTCTGGTTTTGTGAAACATCCACGGATCCTCCCCCTATCCATGGAAAGTTTGAGCCAGTGTTTCCAATACCTCTCCGAACCTCGTATCAACCAGACAACTCACAAAATTCCTTGGCAGCGAGAAGACACCGGCGAATGGCAAGACACGCTGAAGGGGGCCCAAAGCTGCGTCCCATAAGGGCTTGTCTTCTAGGGGCACCCTCTTTGCCTTTTCGATAGAAACCAACGTGAACACCGCTTTTTTCGAGACACACCCAAGGGGAAAACCATACCGCCTTGGGCTGGCGGAAGCCAAAGGAAAGCATGGCACGCAGATCCCCCCCCTTTCTTTGAGAAGAACCAATGGGAGATGCGGATGGCTTTCCACGCCGTTTTCCACACTCTTTAGGCACCCATGCCTTCCTTTCTTTTGTCCTCCCCTTTGTTTTTGATCTCGGGGGGAGGGTACTCTAAAAAGGAGCCCATGCGTTTTTTGGGTCCGGGAAACGAGTTTTGACTGCGTGGCTCGTCCGGGCCGAGGCTGCAGGGGCTTCGGGCACATGCTGCCGCCCATCGGGACCAGAGTTAGTCGCTGGCCCGGACAGCGCCGGTGGCATGCCAGTTTCCTGTGGGCTTCTCTCGAAGCACTGTCCAGCCCCCGCCCAGGACCCCCTTCCCAACGTTGGGACAACACGCATGTGCATGGCTGGGGTCATGATTTTGCCTATTTCTGGGGGTTATCAAATTCAGAAACTGTAACCCACCACTTGGGGTGACTTTGATCATGCAAACTAATAAGGCCAGCATGCACAAGATCCACTCCGACCAGTTGAGATGGAAGCCCGACGACACACGCGAACCATGGATGTTGTCCATCCAATTTAAAGCCATTTTAGGTGACAATCTCTATACTTGCATGTGTTTTCCAACTCCTTTGTGGTAAATGACTCCTGCTGGGCTTGCTGTTGCTTACACCCCTCGATTTTCAATGGGGTTACATTCTCCGAGTTGCCCAGTGGTGCCCTTTTTGATTTTGCTTTTTCTTTGGGGAGGAAGGGTTGCTTTTCCCTTCAAAGCCGACCAACCCAAAAAAGCCGAATGCCATTTTTTTTCCCCATGGAAACCCGAGGAATGTACTAATAATGTACTCATGAGACCAAAGAGCCAGGCGAGTTGACTCCAAGCCGAGGCTACGAAGTCGTGCAGGACGAGAAGACGGGACGCCCGCGCGCGGAGAACATTTATCCCGAAGCTGGAGGCGTGCAAATGGGTTTTCCGCATGTAAGGTTTACCCTCCTTGGAGGCTTTAAAGAGTCCTGCCTTAAAGGGAAACCAAAAGGAAACCGAAGCCATTTTGGGGGGTCCTCTATTTTGAGACGCGCCCATTTTTCTATTTTTCCCTCCCACCTTTTCACACGGAACCTGACGTTCCGGACAAGCTCCTTTAACAGGGATTATGGTCCAAACCACGGCCCGGGTCCCGAACGTCAGGTTCCATGTCAATGGGTGGGAGGGCAAAATGGTCTAACTTCCCTCTTTCTCCGCGTTGGGACCCGGTTATAGACATCCAAGACCATGGCCCGCATTGAGGAGCTTTGACACTGGGTGGGGAGGTCCTGTTTTAGGTTCGGCCAATTTTCCTCAATTGGCTCAGTCTGTGGTAAACTTGGCCAGCCGGAGTACGGGACATAAGCCGGTATACCGTGCGCAAAGTCAACGAAGTCGAATTGTCCCAAGTCTACTGCCGCAATCATGTCCCAAGGTTGGACCGTATCTCCTGGACTATGGTCTTTCAGCATGTCCCGAGGCACCTGGAAGGCGGATTTCTGGCCCAGAGCAAGGAGTGTGGTTTTTTGTGGCAGCCAGTTCCATGGTTCAGCTTGCTCCCAAATTGGTGGTTTGAATTGACGCGTTGCAGATTAGGTGATTTCCCATTTAGTTTCCATGAGCCATGAGGTTCCAATCCTCCTCTTGCTTGCACGCGTTGGCTCGGTGGCTTTTGCAGCCATGCGGCTGATAGGCGATGGTGCAGCTGGAGCGCTCCTGGGGAGTCCTAGCAGCATGGACATGGGGACCCGTGAAAAGACTTACCTCTTAAAAACACAACTTTTCAACTTTTTGGGGGTAACATGGGCTATATGTCTGTAAAAGATTAACTTCCCCAGGGCTTGGAGTTTTAAGGTGTAAGAAGACTGCGCTAAAAGCAGGTAAGGCATCCAGCAGAGGGATCTTGATCTTTGGTTGGAGGGATGCTGTCTGGAAGCAACTGAGAACGATAAGCGATTGCAGGGCTCTGATTCCTCACTGGCAGGCTTCTTGCAGCCAAACTGGCTGTTGGGCCCAAATCCCAAGCAGGGTAGTCAGTCTTTGAGGGCTTTATTGGAAACATGTTCTTTGCCCTACTGTGGATGGACGAAATCCTGCACCACCTAAGAAACCCTGGAATGATGATTCCCTTGTAAATGCCAACGGGCAATGGTTTCCCATGGTTTCCAAGTGGTGCGAAATGCATTTCGTCCATCCACAGTGTGTTAATTCCTCGTTGTTTAGCCGAACTGCTCCTGATGGGGTGGGACTAAACGTGGTAGTAGCAGGGCTGAGCGGACCCGCAATGCTCCGAGGACCGGCACAACGGGCACGATCTCGGCCACTGGTGCCAGAGCCTTGGGACGGTGGACGAAATCCAAATTGGCGCCGCTTTGAAGCCATGGGAGAAACGTATATGTTTGTTGGTATTTACCGCGGAATCGACTCAAAAACCAGAATTCCTGAACGCTGGTGGTTTCGCAACCATCCACAGCATCAGTCCTGAATCCCTATGCCAGGTGGTCCTGGTGTCCCTTGTGGTTCTGGCGCACTACGGGTTGAGGATTAGGATCGAGGCTCCCCCACCCCATTTTGAGCAACCCAGTTCAACATGAAACTGAGGTTACGATTTTAACCCCTGGAGACCTGCAAGAGTACAAAGACAAAAGCAAATTGGCTGAGTTATATATATATATATATATATGTACATATACTATATATCTATTATTTGTTTATTAATTTTTTTTGGGGGGGGGGGGTTGTCCTTTGCTCCCTATGAATCTGTTTTATTGGTCCAGGGTCAAAACTACATGTGACAAACTGCACATATAAAAGCGGGGGCTTAAGACGAGCATAAGACGAGCTTAGCTCTGAATGCTTTTTGCTTGGGCCTCAGCTCATGAGTGACTTGCCCAGATAGTTTGCCAGCCATATGTCCACTACCAAGTGGCTGTGGCTCAAAAAACCGGAATTCCAAAATGGAACCCTGGCAAGTGGAACATGGACCAAAACCTGCGTAACCCCTCCTGTTTAATTTTGAGCCACTACCAAGTCTTTGGACCCATAGTAAATGTGCGGGCTGTCCAACTGGTTCACTACTGACCTTTACGCTTTTGGGCTCAGGTATCCTCATATCCAGATTCGACTTGCTGGCTTGGCAGGGGCATCCCGTTTGGACCCGTTCACCTGACCCGGGGCGCACGGCAATCACAGCGAAGGATTTCTTATGGGCAGCATGTGTTCAAAGGTAAGATTGCTCCGAGGCGTCCCTGGATGATCAGTGCATGTTTATATATGTATATGTATAATTCACTTACGCGTATTTATATATATATATATGTATATATATATATTTATATATGTATTTATCTATGTTTCTGTACGCATTGCGGTCGAAACTTGGTTTGAAGTTTCGTTTCCCGGGACGCAACTCCATGAACTTCAGCCAAAAGCGCGGTCTTTGGAAGCCCGGCATTGGTGCTTGATTGTGACAAACACGCCTGGTAAGACCCGAAGGGCCTGCGGCCCGCGATTTTTGGCCAGGTTGCGAGTTTGGGCTTCCACCCCAATTGTAAAAGACAACATTCAGAGCAGTTTCACAAGGACCTCACAAGGCCCAGCTTTGGAGCAATCCTCCCCTTTTCGGTAATTAGAGGAACAGCCAGCAATGTGTGTGTGTGTTTTCCCCAGGCGAAGTTCGGCTTCATCATGCAAGACCATGACAGCAGCAAGATGTTCATCCTGCCGACGCCTGAGCCGTGCGAACGTGTGGTGGGACATGTCGGGGAAAAAGCTGTCAGAAGGTTCCCACTGAGTGGGGAGAGCAGCGAGAAGGAACATGTGGATGATCCACACGGCCAACTCCCAAACATGACTGAGGATTCTGGGCTGGCTTTTTGCATTGGAATCATTGTCAACGGCTCGATTCACACCGCTAATCTACCCCTGCCTGCCCTTTGCCTGGGGCAAGCCTCCCAAGATCCACAAGGCTCGCATTTGAATCTCCATGATGTTTGCCTAGGGGGCCCTCCGTCCGAAATCCACAATCCAACGCAGCTGTCGCCAAAAACCAAGTGAGGCTCTATATCATATAGACCTAAGGCCCTTTGTTTCACCCAAGCATCCTCATATTGCTGATGACAGGGTCTCCTCCAAAACTTGTTTCTAGTGTGGGATAGGCTACATATGACTCAGGCCAAGATGACAGGAATTGATGCACGACAAAAAGAGGGCTCTCCACCTACCATTTTGACTCACCATTTACTTCCATTTGCTTAGGGAATATTCCTTATTTCCCATGGCTTACAAGGGCATCTACTGGAAATATATTTATAGCCTCCAGAGAAAAGCAACTGGAAGTTTCGAGGGCAAATTTTTGGGGGATGACTGCATATGACTGCACTTTCCAGTGAGAACAGGCCTCCTGTGGCTCAGCAACCCTCAGGCCCATGTCTTGCACGGCCTTCGGGGGCTGCATCCCTCCGGTGGGCACACGTGCTACGGCCTCTGACCTGGGGGGGTTTGGATTTGACCCCGGGGAGGTCTCCTTTGGGGTGTCGAAATAGGGGGGGGGCCAAAAAAGTGTGGGTGTTCTCTTGTCGTTTTAATGCCATCTTTAAAAGGGCCTAAGGGTGCGCCATGGTGCCCTCAACCAAAACAATTTGTGTGTGTATGTGGTAGTGTGTTGTTGTTGCTTTTCTGGGGCTCAGTACCTTTTTTCACCTTGGTTTTGGGGAAACAAAAGTGAACATCGATGCCATTCGATGCCTTTTTTCGGATCCCCCGCCATATGTTTGGAGTACTTGCTGAATTGGGGGTAAAATGAGCAATTCACTCATGCTGAAGGTAGCTGACTTGGGGATTTCTGGAAATCCCTTAGTTTATGCTTGTGACTTGCGGTGCTTTGCCTGGACTTATGGCTCAATTTCGTCGGGGGTACGACTTGGCCCTTGGAACCGGTGTTGTGGGAGATCGGGGTTTTGAAGGAGGAGAGTCGGAGAGCCGGAGAGTCCACGCGGACGTCCCTAAGTGGGGAGCACAAGGGTCAGTCTGGGGCCAAATAAATTGAACAAAGTCGTGGCCTTCTACGCGCCGCGCAAATCGTTCTGAACAAGCACCGTCGTGAGAATTTTCCACCGGGGATACGAACCCCGACAAGTGGAAGCCAAGAACCGCACCCCCATTTTGTACGGCGGAACCTTTCAGGGTCACTTTTTGAGGCGAGCCTAAAGATGTCCATGGGTAGAAAGTTGGAAAGCAGCTTCCTTGGGTGTCAGGAGCAGGGACCAATGTTGAATTAATCTTAGGAGTTTACACATATTTCAATTTCGAGAAGTGTGCATTTTCCAACACCACAATTGTCATTTGGGTGTGCAGGGGCCATCGCCACCAAGCAATGTGGCCAGTTGTTGGTTGCAACGTCGCCCAGTCAGCTTCCAATTGCTTGGCACCCCGTTTTTTTTTTGTGTTTTTTTTTTTTTTTGTGGAGCTCCCTCGAAGGTACTATGGCCCGAACCCCAAACCGGGCTCGCTCCAGAGGTTTTGAGGCCCGGCTGAGGTCTTCTACGACGTGGTGGAAGATGGCAAGACGGGAAGGCCACGTGCGGAGAATGCTCCGAGCTCATTGGAGCGAAGGGCCGGCAGTTGGCATCCCGTACTGTCCGCCTGTTTCATAGCGAGCTCACCGATCTGGGGGTAAAAAGAGCGAGCTCACCGGAGAATCCCTGAATTCGGCTTTTGGAATTAGAGAAAGCATTGCAGATACTGTGGGTGGACGAACTCCGCCACACACCACTTGGGATGGGTGAAACCCTGTACTGGGATAAAGCTTCGTCCCTCCACAAAAACCTGGAAATGCGCTTAAAAGGCAATTCAGAATACTCCGGATGCCCAAAATTCTGCCGAATCTTCTGGGGACCTTTCCAAGCACTTGGGGTCATAAGGGGCTTCTCCCACCTGGAGCACTCACCGAGCGGCTCATGCTTACCCAAAAGGAGCAGGGTACTTAAGAAGTGGTCGGTAAGCCTGGCTATAACCCACGTACCATGGTTAGATTTTTAGCCTAAGTGGGCTATAGCCAGGCGTAATCAAGTACCCGATCGCGCCTCTAAGTTGCGGTGATCGAAGCCTTGTGAGGTCCAGCCAATGGACAGCAGTGGCCTGGTCATGGCGCTGGGGGCTCCGGCTCTGGCGAAGGCGAGACTTTGCTTCAGCCCGTTCCATACGGGTGCGTTTTTGTTCTTCTTTCTTTTTTTCCATTGCCGGGAACACTAAAACCCCAGCGGCGCCCCTTTTGTTGAAATCCACCTGGGTTCAAGCCTACCTTGGTAATCTAAAACTGTGACCCTGGTACTAGTTGGCTTTGTCTTAGGTGTTCGTTCAAAACAAGCAGGATGTTCCCAAATCGACGAATTTAGCCATGTTGGGGGGTCTTTGGGTGCTGCTTTCCACAATCAAGCCGGAAGTAGCTGCTAGTTCAGCGGCGGCCAAGCCGTGCCTGCGAGGAAACAGACTCCGCCTTTGCAATAGGGGCCCCCAAGTGTAGAAACCCCCAAAGGCCGGGAATGTCGTTAAACCCTCTTGAGCTTAGTTTGCCTCAGGGCAACTCCTCTGAGCATATGTGAGTGGCTTGGACCCTTCGCTTGCTCAAGTTTATAGGAAGTGGAGCATGGCTGCACTTGCGCCGGCTTTGGGGCCCAGCTGTGGGAGTTGCCAGTTGGGATTTTAAGGCATCTCAGGGAAGAAAGGCCACTGCAAGAGCACGAAGCCTGGAGAGGCGCCTTTAGGAAGGGCGGGCCATGAGGCAGAACATCTGCTTTCACTTAGACAACTCACTTTCTGAGTTCCTGAACTTTAAGCTTTTGGGGAAGACCATGTTGGTGGCAAACTAAAAGTTCAGACTAGAAGTTAGCGCTACGACAAGCAAAGTGCTCGGAGCCGGACAGGGCGGACCTTCTCATCCCAAAACGCCGCGGCCATCGAGCGCAAGGACGGATTCTGCGCCGCCTTGGATGCGCATGCGTTTTTCTGGGGCTCAAGATCCCATCCTAGGAGCAGGTTGCCCTTTCCGCCGGACCCAAGCACGAGCCCTTTGGTGGGTACCCCTGTCATCCCTCTGGCACCCATGACGTTTTTGAAGGTATCTAGCTTTCGCCCCATGTGCTATGTTGCACCGGGTCACGCCTGAACGGGCCCCTCCACATGCCGCTTCAGGCCTTCTTGAAATCTTGGGCTGATCCTTAGTCATTCTGTGGATGGACAAAATTGGGCCATCCCCAAAGGACCGTTTCCCCATACCTTGTCCCACCCGCAAAGCCATCTGCCCATTTTTTATGGCGAGCTCGCCGAAGCAGTATATTATATCAGCATGGTATCCTTGCAGCATTTGCAGAATATCTTTGGTGAGCCTTACCGTATCAGATAACCAGTGCAACTTCTACAATCCTGGGGCTTCACTGTTGGTATGTGTTTATATTAGTGGTTTCTTTGGTTCTGTTCATGTTTAGTACGGGGCTGCAACAAAACCACACTTTTTACTGCCAAACCAAGGCTTGGAAAGTTGGGCTTCGCATGTCTGCTGATGACAACCTACCGGTAGGGCCGCCAGGAGTGTGCCCGCGATGGCGGCTCTGCCGTGGTCTGGAGCTCCTTGGCCGGAAGGTTCGGGCGAGCATGGCTGTCAGCTTCAGCTTTGGTGCATTTTGCCAAGGGATGTTAGGACTTCAACTTTTTGCTAACTCATGGGTTTTCCTTTAAACCAGTAAAAGTTAAAAGCTTTTAGCAGGAGAGCAGAAAGCAACCGTGTAGTGGCTGTCAGCTTCCCTCTAATTGGTGGTTTGGATTGGTGGTTTGGGGATTTGAACCCCTGGTTCTTGTAGAGGAGAAATGGGAAACCCCTGCTTCGGTCAATTTGGGAGGGACATGCGAGATGAAGACTAATGCGGAAACACATATTTTGACCGTGACTCATTTAGCCAGAGCCTGGGAAGAGCCCACTGGCCTGAAAACACTGACTTGGGTGAATCCCAAAATGGTTGCCAGACGCAGTACATGATTTTATCATTTCAACTCAGCTTTTGTTGCGACCACCAACCAAACAAAGGAGGCTGATCCTTACATTGACTTCATGAAACTGTCGGGTTGATCTGCAGGGTAGCCGTTCTTCCGTGACCTGGGGGCCGCCTCTTTCTTGGATGACGGCTGCCGAGATTGTGCCGTGAAGTAGTCGCCTGTGCTCACTTGGCAGGACTTGCCGTTTGAGTTCCAGGACTATGCTGGACTCATTTTTTGGAAAGACCGTTCCAGTGGGAAGCAGAATGGTATGGACTCTAGCAATCCAAGTCCTTTTCAGTGAAAAGCAGAACGTTGTCGACTCGTTGGACTAACCCACTGAAGTGAGACAGTTATTCCTTTCTGGTTTGCCGCACCCTGTTTGCCGTATCTTAAGTTATTATGCACAGCTGCACGGATTTCTGTAGGGGGCTGAGCTGAATTCGGATGTTTGAATGTTTGACAGCCCTGCGATGCTCAGGCCAAGGGCGGACAAGCGCCTTGGCAGCATTCCAGTTGGTCAGTGGCATCCTTTTTCCCTATTTGACCATGATGCCCAATAGGGAACCACCACCAAAATTGGCCTGACATGAATGCCCACAACGATGCCTACCCAAGGGTCCCCGATTCAGATAACTGTATGCCCATTGGTTTGCCGGCTTCCCCCCGCAAAATGACCGACCAATTGTTGATGGCTGGGGCATGGTAATCGTCACTTCGGATCAATGCACCCCATGCAGTTCCTGCAGTGGCCAGATATGATCTCCGTTTGCTACAAACAAATCGAGTAGAATGGTATCAGAGGTGGTTCCTTTTTAGGGAACCATGGGCGTCTTGGGATTTATTGCGGGGAGAGTTTCTCGTAGCAGGGTATGGATTAACAGGCCTGTTTCTGAGACATTGTTTTGGGGATTTCTCGTCGGTGCGCTTCGATCCCGAGCTGTCATTCAAGCTGATCCCTGGTTGGTAAGCGCCTGTCATCAAGAGAGGTCTCTTTTGTTGTAAGGACGGGCCCCCAAATTCATCCATCATGCACAACAAGTTAGGGGGTTGTTCTTGGGCGGTCAACCATAAAAGGGTGTAACGGTGTAACAGCATCAGTTTGCACCAAGTTCACCGGTGTCCAGAGGAAATTGCGGCTCAGGGTTCTTGAGGTTGGCTACGGGAGAATCATGCTTCCGACGGTGTGATCTGTTGCACTCACGCACAATTTATGGCTCACAGGATCCGCCTAACCCCCGCCTCCCCCTGTTCTCCGAAAATGAGAGCCTCGTAAGGCCTTACGAAGGCTTTTTGCAGGCCTTCGGGAAAAACCCGTGGCGGCCCCAGTTGAATGGACCCGAGGCGCCTCCAAGTGCTTGGGAGTTTGAGGAGGAAAGGTGCGGCGTCATCTGCCAGCAAGGCGACAAGCGCCGGCCTGAGAACGTTTCTCAGCCATTTCCCTTGTTGGAACCTCAAGCGATCGTTTCAATGGAAACCAGCGAGCAACTTGCAGCTTTTCAAAGTGATTCGCACCATGTTGACGTATCTTGTGGGATGGAGGGTTTCCCTTTGCACTCGTTGGGAGTGCTGGTTTGCCCTGCAACAGACCTAGTTCTGAAGATAATGGATGAAAAGAAGGCAAGCGACTCCTAGACCAAAATGGGAACGCGTGATACATGCAGGGTTACTCCAAACCCAGTTTTTCAGGTTTCCAATGTTCTACCCTAGAGATTTCGGTGCACCATCTTCGAGACAGGTTTGGCTTCATCCTGCAAGATTCCGGCGAGGCCTATCTGTCGTATGCCGTCTTGCGTGTGGGATGCTGACAGTTCTGCAAAATGCCAGTGATTCCCCCTGCTTGTCCCACGGTGAGCCGAAGCTTCCAGAAAAAAATGGGTTTCTGCTTGCTCCCCTGCTCAGAAGATGTTCGTCATGCCTGCGGCATGCGCATCCTTTGGCTCGGTCAGAGCCTAAGATGCTGTTCAGAGGCTCCGACACCCCGGAGGTGTTTGGGGGTCTCAAAACCCGGCTGTTTGAGGGCCCTAAATTGATCGGGAGCGTCTGGGTGAGAAAAATGCAGGCAACTCTGCAGGTATCAAAGCAAGGGTTGAACCGCCAGCTCCTGCGGACAGAATCTCGCACAAGTGAACTATTCTAGGGGCTGATTCGCCATTCTTTTCAGCCATCGTTCTGTGCAAAAACCAGCTATTTCCCTGGGGTTTTTGGCGGTTTTCTAGAAAGAAGGATCCCTGAAAAGAATGGGGCAGCTACCCCTAGAAATATGTTGGGTTTAGCCCAGGTTTGGGCTGCAAGCGGGCATGTGTCAAAAATACCGCGGGGCACCTGTAAATGGTGTTTTCCTCTCAGTTCCCTTTTTAATGCAAGGTGAAAAGGGAACACTCAAAAAACGACACACAAATGAGGTGGCCACTATCGCAGCGCAACTGCAGGTGATCCCGCCAGAGGGTACTCGAGTGACCTTCAAGGTGGTGATGGACGGCCTGGCAGCCTAACAGAAGCAGAAGCATAAGATTCTAATCCAATCCCCTTAATATTTTGAAGGAAAACAAGGGTGGATCTTCTGTCAGAACGTTATTGCGCTTCCTGTGCGGTATGCTGCCAGGATCGGAAGCAAGTCACGACTGGATGCTTTGCCACCATGCCTCCATAGTCTCGGCGCCTTGCCGCGCTTGCACGCCTTGTAAGAGATAGTGTTGGTGTTTTCCCTCCAATCGAAGCTTTCCCTCATCGTGATTCGCCTGCATTTTCTGTATTGAGGCTCAGGCAAGGCTTGATTGGTGGTTTGGATTGGCGATTTGGGGATTTGAGCACCAGCTCTCGTGAAGGTTATATCGCAAACCAGCCCCTGACCTCCTAACCACCAACCTCCCAACCACCCTTTTTCAGAGAAGCCGCAAACGAGGCTTTCGCAAGGGCGCATGCTCAATGTGTTTTTTCGCGAGGCAAGACGGGCAGGCCTCGTGCTGAAGATGTTCAGGCAGGTGGCTTAGAGGATCGTCAACGCAACGTGCTTAATAGGGATTGTTGGACCGTGGTGGGAAGGGGTCCAACTAATTTATAACATGTTAGCCCCAGATTGATCAACCCCATTTCTGTTTTTAAATGGGGGATTTATTCCGCAGATGGCTAAAGCTATAGGGGTTCTAACTTCTAATAAGAGGGATAATGATTTGCGAGATTGATGGCTGGGCAGTCAGAGTTATTATGTTAACCCCAGATTGATCAACCCCTGTTTATCAATACGGGGGGGGTGTCCCGGAATCACTTTTGGAGGGCGGTGTTCCCCCTACGGCGGGCTTATCAATCCGGGATCAACATAAAAGGAACCCGAACCATCTAATGGTACAAGTATGTACATATTCAGATGGGCAACACGTCGTCGTTGGCAAAGGCGATGACATGGGGACACCAGAATACAGTGAGATTCAAAGCCAGAACAAAAAGAGCCACAGCAGCCTAATGACACATGGTTCCCAAGATAGACTTAATTAAACCTAAGGGTTCTCCTTTTGTGGCACCCCTGGGTTTAAGTCTACCTTGGGTAGTCCAAAAGTGGAACCCTGATACAATGCTTTCACCTGGAGCAAGGGAGGGGTGAGTTCCTAGTCGGCAATCATTTGGATCGCTAGGACGAGGGGAGGTCCGGCGTCATCTCCCAGACAGGCGAGAAGTATTGGCCTGAGAAATTCGAAAAAAATCGGGTCTTTGACATTGCCCAAAGGGGAAACTTCCCCATAAAATCCTTGCCAGAGTTAGCCACCCCTCGGGGAAACGGATCTGAAGAGACGAAATCCTTTGAGTTAGCCACCCCTCAACGGGGAAACGGATCTGGTTTGAGACGGAGCGTCGAAAATGCTTGGACTCTACCCCCGAACCGGGAACCACTTGGGCTCCGAATGGCCAAAGGAGGGTAGGAACTTGGCCATTGGCCAGGCCGGGTTGGCAGAATGTTGACCCCATGTAAATCAACCCCAGTTTATTCGATGGTGTCCCTGGATTCAGTGAAGACTCATCACTTTTGGAGGGGAAAAGTAATACCCCCCCCCCCCGCCCCTATAATAAACACGGGTTGACTTATATGGAGTCAACATTATGTCCCACCCTGTCAAGGATTTCGGGCCAATTTTTGCGGCACTGAACATTTGCCGAGGTATGGTTTCATCCTGCAAGACTCTGGCGAGGCAACTTGGCATCTTGAACTGAAAGTCGCGACAAAGCGTTTAATCTTTGACAGGGTTCCCGAGATGTCTCCCTTTCTAAGTTGTAGACATCACCTGTTGACCAAGTGGCAGTTTCCTTTTGGAGTGAGGTGCAAAGGAGAGAGCAGGGAAGCCGGAGCGTGTGAGTTCTGCCCAGTCGATGTTCGTTATGCCGGCGGCCTGTGCCTCCTTTGGCTCGGCTGGTGCCTCAGATGCCTGGGGTGGATGGATCAGGGCCGACGGGAGGGCCGGTTTTGGAATTTTGGTCGACCCAAATGTGCTAACCAGAGGTGTCCTTTTTGATCCTTTTTGGTTGTTTTGCTGAAAACGTAGATGGCAATTCCTGGTCTACCTGGTGGTTTAATCATCTACCAGGGAAATCCATCTATGTCCCCTAAAAGGACACCGTCAACCCCAGACCGTTAACCCCAGGTCTATGGGACCCAGGTCTCCACCTTCCGATCGGACCAATTTGACTTCTTGGCCTGGCACGGGGCAGCCAGAGACCTCTCAAGCAGCGAATGCAATAAATGGCCCCTGGAGTGTCTGGTGAATGTCTGGTGATTTGGGTGTGGGTCAAAATTAAAGCACCAGGAGACCGCAGATTTGAGTCCTTGGTTCCATTTACCAGGCTTCTATTTTGGGTACCCATTTTTGACCCACAGCCATTTGGTACCGCAACAGAATTGTGGGATTAAGGGGGTTACCCTCACTTCTGTGATGCAAGGGAATCCACTCTTTATATGGGTGCTTAGTCTGAGGCCCTTTTGGTTGCATCACAGACGTGGTCATGTCCCACAGCCCTGTACTGCAACCATTTGGGGTTAGCTTGATGGGAATTTAGAAAGCAACCCTGGGACACCGAGTTGGCTGTGGCTCAAAAAGATGTACCCAAAATGGCACCTGCATGTAACACCAGCTGTTGAATTCTGAGCCACACCCAGTTGTGGTGGGTTTCCTCGTTTGAGACCTAAACCCAACCGGACGCGAGGTGATCCCGCCGGAGGGTACTCGAGTGACCTTCAGGGTGGTGCCAGATGGCCGGGCCCCGAGTCTGGGGATGCTTGGGCTCCGGGTGCCGGGTGGAAATTGTTTTTTTGGAGGAGGGGTTCCTCGAAAATCCACCAAACACGAGACAACTCAGTTGTTTTCACATGGCCACTGGGGGGTTGGGAGAAGGAGGGGGGTTCCCTCGAAAATCAACAACTCAGTTGTTTTCACGTGGCCACAGAGAGTTTGGGAGAAGGAGGGGGGTTCCCTTGAAAACCCACCAAACCCAACAGCACAAGTGTTGTCCCATGGCCACTGGCAGGTTGGTGCTTTGAGGGTTTGCCATTTAAGGGCCGGGTGCTCGTTGGGTGAGAACAATGCGTCCACTTGCTTAAGATGTGTTCTATTTTTCCTTGTTGGTTCTAAAAGGAATCTATCAGCACTGGAAATTGTGTTGTTTGATCCTTTTGGGCTGGCAAAAGCTGTGGTCTGGAAAATGCCCCCTCCCAACACCTTTCCAACACCTTTCCATCACCTTTATCACGCCACTAAAGTGTATCTACTTTGTCTCACCTGACGGAAAAAATACATGTGTCTATGTTACGAACTTTCGCCCCATGCCAATTTTCCAGATCCATGCGGAGGTAAGACGGGCAGACCCCGCGCAGAAGATGTTCAGCCCGAGCCGGCGGGTGGCCCAGGATAAAAACCTGGGGTCTCCTTCATGTGTTCTTTCCTGTTATGTCAGTGTTTAAATATATGTATCTATATATATATATAAGTATGTGTATGTGCATGTTTGGGGGGCAGGCTGAGTATGAAGCAGAGTCCGAATATATGTATTTATACATGTATGTATTTTTGTGTATCCACCTGAAACTAGAAATGTTCTTCTTGTTTAAAGTGTGCCCCAGATGTGCCTGTTTTTGGCGTGTGGCGCTGGCGCGCCCCGTTGGATGGCCACAAAACTCGCGCCGATCCAGCTGGACGAATCCAGAATATACTCAGTCTTTGACTTCCTGGACTTTTTTTTGAAGGTTGATTTTAGTGGCAACCATAAATCATTAAACCCTAGTTGGTGGTTTGAATTGGTGGTTGGGTGGTTGGGGAGGTTTTCTCATTTACCCCTCTATAAGAACCAGGCAAATCGCCAAACCACCAATGCAAACCACCAACTCGGAGTTGCCTGCATAGAGTTCAGCCTTTCTGGCCAGTTTGCTCGGGAAGTCAGTTGGGGCGTTCTCCGTCCAACGGTGGGTGGGGTTTGCTGCCAATCCAGGGTCAGTAGGTAGGGGTGATGCCCCAACCCGGTTTAATGGAAGTGTCGTTGGGAAGGACCCCATAGACTGTGGATGTGTGGGGCCCATGAACCGAAAGGGAAAGCTGGAGGTCAGAAAAGAGGTTTGGGGTTGGATGTCTCACTGCCAACGCGCTGGAGGCTTCTTGTGCTGATTTGCCAGGTTGATCTCGCTTGCCCAAAGCAAGTCGACCTTTTGAGTGGTCCGTTTTCAGTCATGGCACAAAAAGGGCATTTTAAAGAGGGCATTTTTTTGTAGAGTGCTTTTCTGGGGGGTGGCTTTTAAAAGGACACCCAAATGAAACCACCCTCCAACAAATAACCAGGTATTTTGGGTCCTTGTGGCTGAGTGATTCCGTCCGTCCAAGTTGGAAGCCCAGAATGCTTCAGCCCGGAAGGTCATGGCTCCAAGATGGTCGGGCAAAGGCCGGGTTGGTTCTGGTGACATTCCGCTGGGGGCCGGGGGTCTCTTCAAACATATACATACGTAGTATATGCATGTGTATATACATATATATATATATACACGTGTGTATAATACATATACATATCGTAAGTTATGTGTATGTGTGGTTGTTTTTGGGTAGGCTATAAATAGTGTGGGTGCACCAACATCCAATTCGCACCACTTCGAGCAGATGAAACCCTAGAGATGGTCTACACCACCAACCCCAGGCGCCAAATAGATTTAATGTCCAGCATTATGGAACAGAACCAGAACAATCAAATTTAGGCCAAGTCCCCAGAAATCTGCGCGAAACCCATGGAGGGTCCTTCGAGAGTCCTTCGGGCTCCATGAGTGTCAGCTCACTTCAAGTAACCCCAGATCCCACAGGGGTGCTGTTCGAATCATCCAGGGGGGTTCTATAGTGGTCCTCTAAAACGATCGGTTTCCGTACGGTTTCCGTACGGGTCCTTTTGGCTTCTTTTTACATACCGACCAAAAGGGGGTTCACCATTTGAGAATCCCCAACTAAAGATCACGATGTGTTCGTGATCAAAGTCACATTCGCGGGGCAATCGAATTTCAGCTTTCCGAAGCGGATTTCTGGAGGTGTGTCGAAATTCGCTTCGCACCACTTGGGATAGATGAAACCCTTTCAATGGGATAAGCCACCAATCCCTGGTATGTCCGTCCACAGTATTGAGAGGATTTTCGGCATATCATCTCATCGGGAGTTCCGGGGCCAACCCAAGGCTTTCCACTCCAGAATATGTTTTCAGGTGGGCGACATATAAAGCAGAATCTGATAAACTTATTTGTGGTGTACCCCAGATGTGGGCCAAGTAAAAGGGGAACCACAGGGAGGTTGTTTGGGGAGCCAAAGCGGAATGTAAAGGACAAACAGTTGTCGGAGAGCCCCCAAAATAGATGTCCACCCCCTCTCACCAGCACAAAATTGAATTCACACCACTTGCGATACATGAAACTCCATGAATCACGAGGTAAGCCACCAATCGCAACTGGCACAAATAGTTTGTTGTTTACCGTCCCACAGCGCCCTCTTCCTCTCCAAGCTCGACTTGCTCAGGAGACGGAAAGTCCCTTGGAAAGGCGCGGCTAGGGACTTGCTGGTCAGGGAAGTTGCTTGAGGCGCGCTACCCTTCTCCAGGTTGGTTCAAAGGGAAGCCCACAGGAAAAAACACATGTTTATCCGCGCACTCCTGATTTTGGCTTCCTGTTTTCTGGGTTTTGTTTCGGTGAAATTGTAAATTGTCCATTTCAAGCTTCACGGCCCGTACCAAAGACGAGATCATGAAAGCATACGTGCATGCAGGGTGATACTTTCCATGGCACAATTCCCGTAGTGCGGCCAAGTGAAGGGGATGTATAAACCATTCAATAAGGGGGAATTGTGCCATCTACGTTTCCCTCAACTGCAATCCGCAGGATATGGATGAAGAGAGGGCCGGCGTCATCTTTCAATCGGGCGAGAAGCATCAGCCTGAGTCAAGCTTGTGCATGAAGGCAAGGCTTGCACAGATTTGTTGAGCCCACCGCTGCCAGACAGACCTCTGCATTGCATGACTTTTTTTGCCCGTTTGCCCTTTTGCCCTTTTATGCCCTTCCGGCCTCAGCCGAATGTCAACTTTGTCTGGGGAGCCCAACTGCTTTGGTTCACTTCCCAAATTCAATATCCTTGACATTCCATGTGCAATTCCACACTTCCACTGTCCAAGAACCACTGTCAATATGGCAGAGGCCTGTATGCGTTGCCTCACGAAGTGGGCTTTCTTGGATGCAACGGCAGAGAGAGAGGGAGAGAGAACTGTTCGAGAAAGCTCATAATTATCCTTGACTCTGTCGACATTCCATGTAAAATTCCATGCCCCAAACTGTCCAACAAAAAACTCTGGGCCGCTCATGTCACGCCAAGGTATGGCTTCATTCTGCAAGACTCCGGCGAGGCCCTGACTTGGACGGGGGCAGTTCGGGTTCTCATGCGAAACCCCATGTCCGCAAGTGGGCAGTGCCCAAAGCCTCGATTTGGGCAGTGCCCAGCAAGGCGTTAATCTACTTGGCTTCATATTCTGGATGGACAAAATCTTGCACCACCAAAGAAACCCTGAAATGATGATCCTCCTGGAAATAATTACCAACAAACAATGGTTTCCGCATGGCTTCAAACTGGTGCAGGATTTTGTCCATCCACAATAATTATTCTGGATGGACCAAAATCCTGCACAAAACAGGGTGTCCCACGCTTTGGCCCGCTTTGGGCATGACTTTCCCTATGCGCTCAGAAGATGTTCGTCATGCCGGCGGCCTGTACATCCTTTGGCTCGGCTGGCGCCTAAGCTGTGTTGCTTGCGCAGGAAGCTCCACAGTGGGTAAGGTTGTCAAGACAGCAGGCCTATCTGTCGACCCTGGATAATTCAAGTCGCTGGACCAAGTGGGCGTGTTTCCGCAGTGATCCAGATCCTGCAGAGGCTCTGCAAATCGGGTTGTTTTCTCCGCAAGGACCCACGCTTGCCTCGGATCCAGGTCATTCCGCCGGAGGGTACTCGAGTCACCTTCCACATCGTGCCGGATGGCCGGGTCCCGAGCGCCGACCAAAGGTGTGGCGTGTGCCATGGTTTTGAGATCCCCAAAAGCTGAAGTTAGCTGATGCACAAGGATTCAGTAAAGCTGATGGCAATGGCAAAGGTCTTTACATTGTGGCGTTCGACTTTGGGCATTCAGGAAAAACCGGTATACTCAGAAAAAAGGGAAACAAGCATGCCAACTCTGACATGGACGCTGTTTGGGGGTCGAAAGTCGAAGGGTTTGGGTTTTCGAAAAAGAACGGGAACTAAAGTGCTAGCGAAGGTGCAGAAGTGTAGAAACTCTCTTGGGAGTCTCTTTGCTTCCTCGATAATGGGGGTTTTGGGTCAATCGGTTTCAGAGATCAACCACCACTTTTGCAGAATTTGCTGATTTTATGTTTGACTTTCGACTGCTTGGTTTTCCAGTCTTTTCTTTTCAGATCGCATGCCATGCACGCGGTTCCACGGACGCATCGCTTTGAGGTAAGACCGGCAGACCTCGCGCAGAGGATGTTCAGCCCGAGCCGGCAGCTGGCTCAGGTCTCGCTAAGCGCGCCAGGTTTGAGTGTCCCGGATGGATGTATGTTTTTTTCACCAAACTTGTTTCTTCTTTTTTTTCGGGTTGGCGGTGGGGTTATGGGCTTGGTAAGGGTTTTCTGGGGGGGTTCTTCTTAGTCGTCACAAGGAATCGACCTTTTGATTTGTGAGTTTCCCAGATTCGTCTTAACCTTTTATTTCAGGGTCCCCAGTCATCCAAGGGTTTTCCTATTACACTATGGGATTGCGCCCTCTGGGGAATCATCCTATCCTAGCCTATTTCCAGATAAACCTGCTTGTTGTTGTTTATTTGGGATCATGTGGGTAACTTCCCTAGGGCGTGATTCTAGGGTGTAATAGGAAAATCTTTAGAACTGGGCAACTGAGCATAAACCATGCGGAGAGTCGGAGGTCAGCAAGTTTGCGGTTGGAAGAACCGGCTGCGGTTCACAGGTCCTGGCTGCAAGGAGATTTGGCAAAGGCCCGGCCAGCTCGCCCATGTTAGGGGCGGCGAAAAGGGCAAAAGCCGGAATTGGATCCCCTTTTGGAAGAGGAAAAATAGAGGATTCACGGGATCCCTCCCCTAACCTCTGTCACCCTGCCTTTGTTATCTTCCAAAAGGCGTTTGGGGATTGGGGCGGCGGGGGGTGCCAATCCCATGGATGGAACTGTTGGGATGCAGTTGGGGTCCAAGGGAATTTGTATACACCCCACACCAAATGAGACAGATGACGCTGAAAGGCTTGCCGCTGCTCATGCAGTGTCATACAGCTTTCTCTCCCCAAAAGAAGTATACAAACCCAACATCATGTGGGTCCGTAAGCAGAAAAGCAAGGAACCGGTATGCAGCACAATTGGCTCCAGCCAAGTACCTCCGCCACATTCCATTTATTGGTGAAGGCGGTTTATAGGATCCCACGAGAATGTCTTGGGGTGAAAGAATGGAACCCTGACATCCACTCCAATACGATTGAGCTAAAAAGGAAAGCCTTCCTGCAGCTTCCGATCGTCTGCTGGGATTGGGAAATACCCTCCCACCAAACAACATGGGAACCTGACGTTGGGACCCGGTCCCTTTCAAAGGAAAATAGTCCAAACCAGGCCCGATTCCCCGAACATCAGCTTCCACGTTAATTGGCCTTGCTGGTGCCCAGTAAGTAGGGAATGAGAAATGGAATGGTCCCCTGAAAGAGGCCCATTTCTCATTTCCTGCATCTCTCGCACCAGCAAGTGGTGGGGCGGGGATGGATGATTTTCCGTTTCGAGGGGGTGAAGGCGCCAGCCTTTTTGCCCGGCAGGAGATGGACAAAAGGGCATGGTGCAGCGCTCAGTCATAGTTCAACTTTCGTCTCAGCGCTTTGAGACACGTGAGGTTTGGTCAAAGTTCTTTGTTGGCTATAGTATTTTTCGGAGGGACATGAGGGGCTCACTGGTGTTTCCATAAATTCTAGGGGGACTCACCCATCTTCCCATGTTCTCTTGGGGAAACCCGCGCAATCTTGACCATGGCTCACAGGCGTGCTTGTCGGGGCAGGGCGTTGGAAGACGCCCAAGCGACGAAGTGCTGAGGATGGCAGGTCGGCGCCGTACTAGACAAGCCCGGCTCCGCAGATCAAAGAGGCTTTCCAGTCCAAACCCCCAAAGACCCAGGTCGCAATGGGTGTGCATAGCTACTGGCCCGTTACGTACCGGTAGGCCGAATGTTCTGAGAGTGGTGCCACTAGTGGCTTGGGTGCGAGGTTTGGAGAAGGACACTTCCTAGCTCCCTGCCCCCTCAAGATGGGTCTGGGTGATCATGGAACTCGAGCCAAATTTGAACATGAGTCGGAGTGCCATGTTTCACGACAGATGGAAGCCATGTGCATGTATCATCGGACTGCAAAGGTTGTTCGAAAATGACTCGACTTTCTTTTGGGTTAAACGGAGAAACTCAAGCAACATCCAAAGTTGAACGATTCTTTTGACCAGCCCTCCTTTAAACAGCTCTCAAGGGCCTCCCCCTGTTCCTTCCCAAGGCCCTTGAAGTTCCCAGCGAAGTTGCGCGACCTCCCCGCAGACGTTGCTCGAGCCATGCTTTGAAGAGGCACTCCATGCCGGCGCAAGTTCTGATTGCCACTTGGCACTGGGGTGTCAGCAGCCACAGCGAAGCTTAGAATTTTCCAACGGAAGGCACCTGCAGGAGGGTACCTGCAGGAGTGTCAGGTGCCATGTGAGCGGGAGGAAGGGTAGAAGTGATCCCCATCCAGCCCAACAACTGCTTTTTCCCCTGTCCAAAAAGAAGTAGTTTGGATCTAACATGACCTATCTGACGTATAGGGCACATCCATGCTTTGCTTGGTACAAGGAATGAGGGCCTCAGCTTTCCAGGCAGAGTTATCCTCATCACCTGTTTGTTTCTTTAGTATGGGGAGGGCACGTCCATGCTTTACACGTCCATGGCTTCTCCTGGGTAAAAGGACAATTCGGTATCTCCCGGAGCCTCATCAATTTTTTAGGGGTTCTCATGACAAGTCGCCCGTCCCAGTGAATGTAGAAGGTTGGGTCTACATCCATGGGGGCCCAATTTGGACGTCCCACGGTTTCCGGGGCAAGTGGGGGGGGGGGGGGTTTTGCACGATCCAGCTTCATTACTTGCCGCAAGTTGTAAGAGCCTAAATCCTGACCGAGGCCGTTCAGGGCAAATGGGCTTGTCACTGTCTCGTAAATGGGCCTTTGCGCGCTTTACAGCTTCGCTGTCCTTTTCAGATGTTCCTATAAACCTGCTAAAAAAGGCAGAACACCAGGTTTTTGCAAGCCAGATGCTCCTTTCAACCAGAAAACCAGCCTAGTCGCTCAGGCGGTGGCTGCGCTCATCACGCTTCTGGCTCCTCGGGCGTTTCTGGCCCCGACCAGAGCGCCACCTGTTACCAGATTGCCAGCCGTCGGCGGACGCAGCAGTGACCATGGCGCCATGCCTGGCATTTTCTTGTTCAACATGCGCCAACATTGCGGGAAAAACCCATCGTTTTTTCCAAGAGGTCATCTACGATTGAGGGGGTTCCACCAAAAGTGACCTACGGAGCACCATTGAATCAGAGGTGAATTTGGGGTTCGGAGCAGTCTGCTGAGTCCGTGGGTTTGCTTTTGAACGGCGACAAGGATTCTGCTTGACTCAACTGAAGTCAGTCAACCACAGAAACCAAAAATGCCATAGAATGGCTTTTGTGATCCTTGGTTTTCCCTTTTCTCCCAGTTGTTCAGTGCTTTTGTCCCTACTTTGGGTTCCTGCGCCTTTTTCCTACCATCCCTGGGCTGGAAAACTCCAGAAACACTCACTGTCCCGAAGGAATCCAGTCAGAGTTCGACGTGAATTCTATGTTGGCAGAGTCAAGCTGGTCGGCCATGTTTAACACCATGCCGAAGGGTTTAAGAACTTACATGCCACCTTCGGTCGTAATGCTGCATACATCACTCATGCAAGTGCCATACAATCTACATACCACCGAAAACCATATGACCGCCATATGACCGCAATATGACCGCAAACCGTACCAGGCAATGCCCTTGACATGGGGTGAAGAATACGCCCATGCATGCCCCTAGGATTGGATTGTAGGTTTTCTCCGTGGCTTTGTAGAACATGGAACTGGTTTCACAGTGATGTTTCGCCGTGTGGGGAACAACCCCCTTGATCACGCATTACCAAGGGGATCCTGGAGTGTTTTTGTTTTTTTTTTGTTGGGGGGGGGGGGTTACTTGGATAAATATGAATTGGTGAAAGGTGCTGAAGGAAGAATCATGTGGCAGGGTCAGGCCGCACTTTGCATTGTCTCAACCAAGGAGCAGGGGCGCCTGAAGATTTAGATTCGCCCTGTACACACGGAGGATTTATTAATTATTCTGCATCGCGCTGCTGGTTGTGGAAGCCGTGTTTGACGCTTTGCGTAGCCGAGCGACTTGAAACGCTTTAGGCTTATTCGCTCGTTCGGCGCATTGTCGAGTCGCCGAGCCTTGCAAGTGTTGCAGTAGCTTGAGCTTCGGTCTGGAAACGAAAGCAGCAGAAGGATACTGCGAGCCCTGGAACCCACCCACCCGACGAACATCACGCCAACTAGCGGACCGTTCAGCCCACGAATTCCCCCCTGGCACCCACTCGCTTTGCTGCTCACTCCCGCCGTATGTTTGGTTTTGCGGGGTGCCGCTTTACAGCATCTTGCGTTGCGTGCTGCGGGAGCTGAAAACGCGCCGGCGCGAATCCAATGCAGCGGGTTCGTAGGCATGGAGGGAATTTGGAAGGGTGCGACAGTGTAGAATGGCTGCAAGAGTTTCCGTCTGAAGTTCAAGTGCCTTTGACAGGGCTGCTTACAAGATACATTTTGCCCATTTGAAACATGTCTTTTCCAACAAAATACAGGGACACCACCATGTACAAGGCAATGTTCAGGTGTATAATGTAAGGATCCCTGTTTGATTGGTAGTTTGGAGTGGCAACCTCTTTTTCTTACAAACCTGAAGCCCAACGGAGCCCTTAAGGCCCTCGCCCGCGCAGCGCTTGGTCCAGCGCGGCGCTGGCCAGCGCCGGCCTCGGCCTCGCGGCGGCGACGGCGCAGCGCGCGCAGCGCGCGCAGCGCGCGGCCCGCGTGCAGCGGCGCGCCACGCCGGCGCAGTGGGCGAAGCGGGTGACGCTGGGCGGAAGAAGTTGGGGGAGGGGAGCTCGGGGCCTTGGAGCTCGGGGCCTTGGAGCTCGGGGCCTTGGATATTTGGAGGATTTGCGTTTGACGCTCATGATATTTTCGGATGGCTTGTTTTGAATAATTCCCTAAAGGAGCCCCCGCCTGTTTTTCTGCAAGGTCGGGGCCCGGGGCAACGCTTTTCATTTGGGTTTCAACAGCAACCCCGGTCTCCGAACCTCCCCAAAGCTTATTTGGGAATAGACTCCATAGATTCCAGCTGTTGAGGACGAAACAGCGTCACCATGCGCCCCGCGAAAAGAACAACACCCGCCCGCCCCCTCCCGCCAAAACAAGCACACAAAGCTCAGAAAGGCGGGTGTGTGCGTGTCAAGATAGAGGGGTGTCCCAAAAATTTGGCACCCTCAAAAAAACCGCCCACCCACCCACACCGACCCACCCACCCACCTTTCGCCCACCCACCTTTCGCCCACTCCAGGAAGCGCATCGAGGGCGGGCGCGCCGTCTTCGACGTGACGCTGCCCAAGCCTCTGGGCATCACCCCCAGAAACTTCCCCAACCGACCTGGCGTGGGCATCGCCGGCATCAAGCCAGGCGCGACGCCCGCGGCACGTCACGGACCGACCCCTTGGGACGGATTCGACGGTGTTTCTCTTCTTCTTCTTTTTTTTGTGTGTGTGTGTGTGTGTTTTTCTTTTTTTCGGTGGTGGGGGGGGTTCTCTGGTGGAGGATTTTGCTTCTTCAAATTTGAAGTGCGCAACAAAACGGAGTGGCCGTTTTTGGGGCCTGGGGTTCACATTAGGTGTTGGTACCTTCTTCTTTCTTTTTTTTTTTTGGGGGGGGGGGTTGCAAAGGGAAGCCAAAAGGAATGATACTTTTTTGGGGGTCCCCTATGTTAAGACGCACCCAAAATTGTCCTTTGGGTTGGTTTAAAGATCACGTTTTGGTTGCCAGTAAGGTGGAGTTTCGGGTGGGTGGGTGGGGTTAGGACCTATAGGGAACTCTGCCAGATGGTCCAACAACTTTGCCAACCCTCAGATGTAAGTTGGAAGGAGTGAGGCAGTGAGGATGGACAACAGAGCTGCTGGTGTCGGAGCGACCCTTTGTCGATGCGTAAACAATTTTGGCCTGGTAGGACTATGTGTCTACATGGAGCTGCGTGTTTTTGGCGGAATGTGTTCTGATTTGTCCAAATGAGAATCGTCACTTGCACCCTGCAGGTGGCATGACGGCCTCTTAGCTAAGTTGGTGGGAACTGGGCGCTATGCGGCGCTTCTTCGGCAACCCCGGATCAATAAACCGTATCATAAATCCATCCTACTAGTCAGCGTGTGTCCCCCTCCAAACGTCAAGGATTCCCAGGAAAAGGGGATACGGGTCCCGCCCGCGTCTCATGAACCAGCGGTTTATTAACGCGGTGGGAGAGGGGCCCCTGAATGGTGCTTCCATTGCTGCTGCTGTCCATGACTGAAATTTGAGTTTGGCTGTAGCTTAGGACTTGTACAACAAGAAAGTCTTGCTGCAAGATGCCGCTTGGCCTGCAATGCTCGTCATGCTCCAATGGACTTGGACATGTGCAACTCGTGAGGGGCATGTCTCCCCTTTTGTCAGGAGCATTCTCCTCGATTCTCGGAACATTTCCGCGCTCCAACATACCCACGAAGAGGATCCGGTCCCCACCGAAGGATCCTAAAGGGGATATGGGTGGACCCGTGGACCCACTGAGTTGGTTTTTGGTGCGCAAGCCGGTTGCGGTAAGGCGCCTGGGATGTTTGTGCTGGAGGGGGACGAGGTGGTGGCAGTCAATGGCACTCTTTGCGAAGGCCTTCGCAACCGAACGTGCGCACAGGTGGTTGAGTGGATTCACTAAAATAATATGTATTTTTTGTTTATAATTTAAGGGTTTGGGGTTGGTCTAATGGAAACTAGACACGATTTGGGGGCCTCCCTGTTGCGACACATACCCAGATGTTCAGTGAACCGCACCACTTTCAACCAAAGACACCCTTGTAAACTGTTGTAAGTTACAGGGTTCCCTTTTTTCCTTTGCTTCCAATATTTAGGGCATCCACAGGTTGCTTGAGAACATGGCTGACCAAATCCCAGCTTTGGAACGTTCTTGGGGCCGCCTGGAAAGTGATAATGCATTATAGATGTCTTGGCACGATCATCTGCTTAAGATGTCTGCTCATATGCTCGGCAATCGGATCCAATCTTTGAAAGGTTCCAGGGTTCCGGTGGTCAAAAAGATTAGACTCTGATTTTCTCGGGGGGGGGGGGGGTTCGAGAAGGTTTGCTTCGAATGTGATTGATCCAAGTTTATCCCTCGCGGCAAGCTAATCCCGTGTGTTTTTTGCCGACCTGGAGTTCCACATAAGCTTGCTAACGAGAAAAAGTTAAGCCCACAATGGATCGTTTCCCTTTAGCCCCTATAAATGAATACCAAACCCTTAAAGGGCACTTGGGTTGTGGGTGTGTTTTTCGAGGCTACCAGTTTCAGTGATTCAGCAAGTAGCTTTAGCAGCCACAAGCGGAAAGCCACCGTGGGTACTAGACTTCGCCAGGTCAGGACTTGCAGAACGTGTCGCAGCTGGTCAAGGAGTCAGAAGGCGGGAGATTCCTTGGGTACGTGTCAAAATGGAAAGTAATAAAATTGTGGTTGGACACAAACCTGCCCCGGGCAAAATTGGTCAAAACAGGCTTTGTTGGTTTCCTTTCAATCCTGAAAAGTATGTCGAGTCTCAAAAAGGCGCAGCCATTTCTGATTTACGACTTGAGCTAAACAAGCGCGATTCGCAGTTCGTCATCGTTGCACCCGGGGCGAGCCACATCAAGCAGCATAAGACTTTCAGAGTTCGCAAGGTCTTTAGACGGCGAGTTTTTGTCCAGGGCACCTGATTCTGGACCCTAGAGACACACAGACCACACGGCTACAATTTTGATGCCCCACCTGTGAGAGACTTTCCAGAGCCACGAGTTCAACACGAACAGGATCCTAGATTGGCATTCTGCATCCATAAGCTTCGAACTCAGGGGTCAGGCTACGAACTCACTTCCTGACTTTCTAGACTTAAGTCACTTTTTGGGCTTGGACCATTTTAGTGGTAGCCAAACAGTTCGGACTTGTTTTGGCCAATCCACTCGATCGGAAGTGAGAGAATGTCCAATACTGTGGATGGGCGAAATCCATTTCGCACCACCTAAGAAACCCTGGTTTATGATGATTCCCCTGTAAATACCAACGCAGGTTGTGATTTTAACCATGGTTTCATTTCGTGGTGCGATTTCTGGATTTCGCGTCCATCCCCAGTCTAACGTCAGGCGACACGCTGACTCTGAAGCTGGTGCGGAACTACCTCACTGGACCCGTGCGGCGCTCGGGGAATGGAAATCAAAAATGGGTTTCACTACCCCCAACTTTGTTTCCCCAAGACTTAGTGGGGAAAGTAAGGCACAGGGTATATACCACGTTTTTCCCCGAAGGTTGCGGTTTGGGGGTAGTAAAAAACGTCTTAGACACAAGCACATTGGGTTAGCCCCACAATGGGTAGTTTCCACCATGTCATATCTCAAGCAAAATAAACCAGCAGATAAAACTCATTGAGAAGAAAATATGTGCCGCGTCCAATGATCAACACCGCTCGCATTACAACGTTTGTTCGGGGATCGCTACCTGGGCGATTTCGAGGCAAAGGTGCACCATAATGGGGCGAGGCCTTGGGCAAGGTCACAATCGTAGGGGTCTACATCATTTTGACAAATCCCTTCTGTGACGGCATTGTTTGTGGTTCACAACTACAAGCCGCAGTTTGCAAAAAGCGGGGTCAAGAGAATTCGATCCAAATGAATGAATACGATTCAACGATTTGATAGTTGAGATTGTCAATTCAAAGTGGCTAAGGCAAATGAGCTTTCCAGATTGGGCGCAAATTTATGTTTGAGGGTTCTTCGCCATGAGAAAAAAGCCGTTGACAGACGTATCCACTGCCCCGGCCGAGGTGAAAATTATTTGGAAGCCATCTTTGAAGATGGCCACCTACAAGAGAGGCGCCATCCTCCGAGCGCCTCGGCTGCCGCTTCCGCCGCCTTTCTCCGGTCAGGGCGCTGCAAGGGAGAGGCGATGGTGTTCTTGTCATTTTCGGGGTTGCTGGATATGGCTGTGGGTCAAAACGAATGGGATCCCATTTTGAGGTAGGTGCACCACCCATTTTAGTCTAGTGGGGATTGAGATGTTCACTGGGGGCACGGGATTTTGACCCATGGCCATATTTGGTGGTGAAAATGACGTCCGCAAAGGGTGTCCCAAGTATTTTGTGCTGTCGCTGGGCAGTTGGGTAGCTACAAAGCACGCATAGCGTTGGGCTCACCAACCCGGGTGGATGACATACTTTCCCAATGAGTTTCATTACTACCCCCAGGGAAATTTGTGATACATGTGACGATGATGGCTGAATCGTACTTCTATACCCGCCTTTTTAGTTGGTTAGTCTGGAGCTTTCCAGTTGGCCCGGATCGCAAAAGTGTGTTCCCCCCAAAAAGTGAAACCCCTCCCATTTTGGGGCGCCCCTTCAAACAAAGCAGCCAGATGTGCAAAGTGGAACGCCTCTTCCCCAACTTTGGGCAAGCCGTAAACATGGAGCCGTGGCCCATGGTAACATCTGCATTCTCTGTAGAGGGTGCCTTTTTTTGTGGCTTCAACGGGACACCCAAAAGGAACCCCACATCTTTGGTGGGAAGTCCCCCTACAAAAAGACAGGCCCAGCTGGTTTCCCGGACTGTTCCTCTGAAAACGCCCTTCCAAGAAAGGTCTTGGGGATCGCCCCAGGCGTGTGAGGAGACCTTGGGGGCGAACGTGCGCTACTCCTGCGAGGATGGCTGGTGCAGTTCCTGTTGGCACGCGGAGGCGGCTCGGCTGGGAACTTTATGAGCCCCTCCCGCCTGAGATTTGCAGGTGGACGCTTGAGGTCGCAAGGAAACCCCAAGTGTTGTTTTTCAGGGCTCAGGTAGTTGTTTTTCAGGTAGTTGTTTTTCAGGGTCTCTTCTTGGTGGTTGTTTTTCAGGGATATCCCGCCGCTCAGGTGATATCCCCAACAGCTTGACACCCGCCCTCACGGAACCCAAAACCTCGCGGCATCACAACACATATGTTTTCCTCTTGTTGTTCTGGCGGCGATGCCGGCGGTGTCCCTTCAAAGTCACCCAACCAATGCATGGCTGCTGAGATGGTTCCGGTCCAAGTGGGTTTGCCTCCACAGCCCCCCCCAAGGTACCTTCCCTCACCAAGAAAGCCGACAGAGCGACAGAGTGACAAGAGAGGAACCCTCTTTGTGGAGGGTCATGCGGAAACCCGAGACATTTCTTAAGATCGCCATATCTCAAGGTGAATGGTTCATCCCGCTCCCCTGCCATGCTTCATGTTCCTAGCCAAAAATGCCGATTGGGATTTCGGGTTGCCACACTGCCCACATTTCCAGCAAGTTAATTCCCCTCATGATGGGTGGCCGCTTGCAAGCCATCCGAGGAGCACTACATGACAGCCGGGCACTTAGTGCTTCATTCTGGGGCTGCCTCAAGAGTTTGCCGCTTTGAGCAGTTCAGTTTTCTAGGAAACCAAGCCGAGACTGGATGGATGATCGATTGGCGGAAGACAACCGCCTTGGCGTTTGATGCTGCCCGCATGGCTCGCAGGTCTATCGAATTTGTAAGATGAGTGCCGGGGCCTGAGCAGCCTTCTTGAGCCAGAACAGAAGGACAGCCTCTTAGATGGTTCTACGAAATGTGTTTTTTATTCTTAATGAACGGTGGATGCCCTACACATTGCAAATAGGGGAACACTGGAGGCCCTCTATGTTACTGCATTTTCCCATTTGTGGGTGTGGGCGTGTGTGTGATTGGGTGTGGGTTCAGTCGCACCAGTTGTTTGGAACCCGCCGTAGCGTGCCATTGTCATTGACACGACCTGCCCAGCAAAAGTCAGTGGCCATGAGGATGGGGGCATCCCACTTTGTACAGCCGAAGTTTCTCCCATGGCCTCCAGACTTGTTTTTATCTGACTGCAACTCAGCCTAGGCCCAAGTAGGCAGGTTGCCTCAGGTGGTTTGGGGGGTTGAACCCCTTCTTGTAGAGTGTAAATGGGAAATCTCCTCCTTACCCACCAAACCGCCAATCCAGACCACGAAGTAGAGGGGAAGCTGAAGTACTATGTATGGCTTGAATGGGGTGGGTCGAGCGGCTCCAAAAGGGTTCGGGGGTCGGCTCAGGTGCCCGATAAGTGGGACAACATCATGCCCTTCGTGCTGTTGAGCGCCCTCGAGGTAAAGAACACCAAGGGCACCTTGGTTGGAGAGCTGGGGCCAGCTGGGGATATCAATTCTTTATAACGAGTTGGCAACGGACCTTGGGACTTCAATACTTTTTGGTTGAAACAGCGGATTTTCCGACTTGCACACACAAAAAGTCAAAGGTTTTTGCAGAGGGGTCAACAGCAACCAAGTGTTTTTGCTTAGGAGGGAGCCAAGGAGATACTTGGAGATCACAATCGCATGAGTCGCCTGTGCGAAACTCACTCCTCGCTCCATGGTCCAATGGAATCTGCCAAGGCGGTCGTCAAGGCCTCTGGAAGCAACTAATTGGATACCTGAGAGGATGTCGTTGGCATTCTTCAAAGTTTGGTGCTAACGAAGGATTCAGTGCTAAAGTCTCAACTTTAGAGTCGGATGCGGTGTGTCCGTGAACCCTGGCCTTTTTGCGGGCAAGCTGTGCCAACGTCTGTCTATGCACTGCGTGCTTCCGGCTGTGCTTCATCTCTGGGGCAGGGGCAGCTCAAAAGGAAGTATCAGTGATTTGTGCATGGATCGAAGCGCGGCAAAGGACATGCGCACTCCAGTAATAGCTCTTTGCATCTCAAGGGGGGCTGTTTGGAATCACTTGGTTCCAGAACTGTGCTGTGAAACAAGGTGACCAACGACAACAACAAGTTGCTTGACAGCCAACGCCGCCCATACGAAGGAGCACGTCTTGGGCGAGCGCACATATCGGGAACGTCCATGAGCACGCGGGCCCGCGGGCCCGCGTGTCCCAACCATCTAGGCCAGCGGGCCTGCAGGGGATCTCATGCCCGAGGCCTTCGACAAGTATGTTCCGCCATCCGTCATGAGCACAACCCTCCCCTCCATATCCCCGCAGCCCTGGGCGATACCCGGTGGCTGTGCCATGGCTCTGCCAAATCGTTGTTTTCTGCCAAAAAACATGCGACACGTACACCGGCGATGTGTGACGCTACCAGCTAGGAGGTCTGGTTAGGGACATGGTGGATCATGGCGCTCCCTTGCCCAGTTCAGCGGATTCCCGAGAGGGCTGGGAAACCATTGATGGGTTCTGTTGCGGCGCCTAGTTGTTCAGTTGGATTCCGCCCTTTTCCTTGCGGCTTCGGGACAAGCGGTCGAAAGCCGCTTGTTTCTTTTTTCCACTAGCGTCACTCGGCAAGGCTTGGTCGTTGCTGGATTACCCTGACTGACTAACTTTGAACCCACCGCCTCCAGATAGGCTCCATGTGGGTGGGAGGGTAAGTTTGGAGGCGTCAAGCTGTTCCTTGTTTCCCCCCGCAGCCTGCCAAGTTTCAAAACATGTTGTTGGCATGCGCACCTAATTGTTTCGAACTTGCTTTGGCTGGATAGTTGCTGCATGCTGGATGGGTAAACACTACAAGACAGTTCTGTTAACATGGATCTTATTGTGATAGCACAACCAAAGGCCAAGTCAGTTCAAACACAATTTTCAAGGCCTTTCATTGCTGCTGTTGCCACTCGTTTGAGTCTGGTGTGTCCATGTGGCGCTACCAAGGCATGCTGGTGAAGAACTTGATGTCGCTTGGCGGGATTCGCCGGTGCCGCACATGAGGGTTGGCATCAAAAAAGGCTGTTGTCCTGTTTCTTTAGCGACGCAGTCTTCAACTCTTGTTATGCTCAACCCCCTGCGTGCAATTCAAAGCAAGCAACGTGGTGGTCAGTTTTGAGCGTCGCGATCGAGCCATGCAGCACGGCCAACATTGCAACGCATGAAAAAGGGCAGGAGGTGCCAACTCAAGGGAAACAAAGCTTGCTCCGGCAGGGCGGGGTTCCCTGCATTCTGGGTTCTAATCATCACCTTTCGAAACTTTGACCTTGAGTCGTTTTGATGCGATCCTGTTTTTTAGGAAGGCGGCCAGAGAGGCTGCGAAAGGGGCGTGGGGTAGATGTTCACAGGGCTAATGCATGTCCACGGCCTATTCGCCTCGGTAGGAGGCGAGGCAAAGCAAGGGTAGGTTTGTCGTTTTTTGAGTTGGTAGCCCCCAAGAATTGCGGTTTCAAAGGAAACCAACAAGGAGAACCAGCACGTTGGGCCTTTTCAAAAACTAGCACCCAATTCAGGTTTTGGAAGTAACATTTGACAGATGTAAAACCAGGGGGGCCCTTCCGGTGGTGTCCGGATGTGAGGCAAGCAGATGGAGTGAAGCCTCCGAGACAAGATGGAAAACTTGGATGAGGTGTGCAAGGTCTCACCTTGATCTGACCTTCATTGATCTGGGTGCGTCTTTAATACGGGTCCCCCATATCCCAAACTGATGGTGCTCCTGTTGGTTTCCTTTGCAACCAACCCAAAGAGACCTACTCTCAAAGGAGCCATCTCTTGGCAGAATGCCAGTGTCAGTGTGTTTGCAGTATCTTCTGTGCGCTCATTCATGGTTGAACTTGATCTACTGCATGTTCCCGCTTTGGGCGAGAACGTGACAGCTTCAGCCAGAGCCTTAATCGTGAGGCCCTGGCCGTGGTCAGATCTAACCGGAAAGACACGATTTTCGTCCCACGCGATCCATTTTTCGCCGACAAGGCAAAAGGGATGCGGGCCGGGGGTGGGGGCGCCGCCCGCAGCCTGGCATTTGATTTGAAGCCAGCGACGCCTTGAGTCAGCAACATCAAGCGGAAAAAGGCGCTGCGTGAGCTTGCAGAAGATTGCAGAAGCTTGCATCATGCCATATCTATATATATATATATGCGTGTTTATATATATATATATATTCACATATTAATATATATATATCTATTAAATATAGAACGGCAGAGAGAGAGAGAGAGAGAGAGAGATATATATATATATATGTATATGCCAGACACTCCACCCCCCCCCCCCCCCACCAACAAAAACACAGAAAACCGCGAACCCTCCCCCCCCCGTCTGCCAAGCCAATTAGGCGTCAGTTCGCGCAGCAGCCATCGCCAGCGGCCGGTTAGCCTCCCGAGGTGCATGGATCACGTTATGAGCCGTCAGACGTCGGTTTCCACTACTCGAGGGAGAAAAAAAAAGGCCGGTGCGAATTGGTGGGAGGATGGTGCGTCGAGCAAATCGCATGGATTTTTTTTTTCCCATGAGCTACCATAGTCTAAGTGCGCAAAGTGAAGCCTCGTGCTGTCTTAGACGACTTGCTGCTGCCCATGCATCGCAACCCTGTCCGCCGAACTCAGGCTGTCAAAGCATGAATGCGGCCCACAAAGGAAGCCGCCATTTAGGCAAGCCAATCCAAGGGATAGCTGCGCCGAGACAAAATTAGGCTAGTTCACAAAACTATAGTGGCAACCACTCTCCCACATTCGCACCCCTTGGACTCATGTTCGCAGAACTGTTGCAACGGGTGCCATCTAAGGCCACATCCTGATTGAGGCGTTTTACCTGATCCAATAACAGAAGCCATACAGAAGCATTGTAGCTGGAGCCTTTGGGCAGGAAGCTGCATCAGAGTTTTCCAGGACATTGGGAGTCTGGTTCGCGGAGAAGTCGAACCTTTCCTGGGGCCTTTGGGAATCTTTGTTTGCAACCCCCCCCCCCTTACAGAGCAGCAAGGGTGGTTCCTGGTTGGTTCTCTCCCTCAAAGGGCGCCTGGCGCAATCCGGGATGGCGCGGAATGGGAAATCCTTCGACGACCGCCTGCTGGAAGATGACGGGTCCTTGGATTTGGCGGCCTGGGCTGCAGACCTGGCCCCCTTTTCCAGGATTTCATGGAAGCTCTCAGGACTCTTTGGAAGACTTGGTTCCATTTGCAGAGGCCTCCTGAAAAGCTTCCATGTTAGTCTGAGCAGGTGGTAATGAAGGGATGCCCCCAAGAAATGGGTGCAACTTTTGTGCTGGGACACTGTCTGGTGAACATAGTTTCAAGAGATGCATGTCCGGCAACCAGTTTTCATGTGGTTTCGATTTTTAAGATTTATCCCGAAATAGATGATATATGCTCTGTTGAATTATTTACCTGGTTGAGACCCTTGTGGTACCAGGTGTTGATTCTGACTGACTCACGGAGCGTTGAACCCAGGCACGCTCTCCCGTAAGCCTCGAGCCTGCCAGTGAAACGAGGAAACGGCTTAGTGGCTGCCTGGGGGGCTTGGGGGGGTTGGCTGAAAAAAGCACATTGATTAGGCGGTGCTTTTTGTTTGTTCTCATGTTTTTATTTTTGTGTTTTTCTTTCGGGGGGTGGGGGGGGATTCCTTGACCTGGTGCCTTCTGTTTGTTCTCCTTTTTTTTGGGGGAGGGGTCCTTCAAAACTAGCCAACATGGGAATCCACTGGGCTGGAGAGGCTTGGAATCTCATGGTCAACATCTAGCCGGCTGTTCCTAAGGGACGCGCTGAAAAACATTTCTTTTAAGGGTACTGAACTTTACCAAACCAAAACACGGCATTATGGAGTCCGTGTGTGTTTTTTTGGCAGGAGGATAATGTATAGAGAGGGAGTTCACATTCGGCCCTTTGCGGACCATGATTCCAGGAGGTTCCTGTTGCTCAGCAGAAGGAAGATAATGCATTTCAACTGGGGAAAAAGACGACGCCACCTACACACACACACAGAGACACTCACAGAGACGCACACACACACAGACAGACAGACAGAGACAGAGACAGACACAGACACAGACACAGACACAGACACAGACACAGACACACACACACACACACAGACACACACACACAGAGAGCGAGAGAGAGACTGACACTCACAGAGACACACACACACACCCATCCACCCACTCCAGCACCCATGCAGGCAACAATACTAAAGCAAGCCCAACAGGGCTTGTCGTTTCTACAATTCGGTTGGGTCCAAATGGCCAGCAAAGTTCACACTTCAGCTTCTGAGTTGAGGGTGCGGGTTGTGAATATCGTCGGGGCTCCGGAAGAATCCCGTCGTCCAGGTGATTCCATCGATCTCCCCTTCCTGATTCCAAGCCATTCAAGGGGTGAGTGCTTCCAATGGCTGGCTTTCAATTGTTTATTCCCGGCAGGCCAGTTCATTTTTTCTGACCACCCTTCCAGTAAAGCTTGGGTTCCAGTTGCAGCCCTTGGCAGCTTTTTGCGTCAAAAGAAGCCCCTAACCTACCCGGCAGTTCCCACACAAAAAACCGCAGCCGTGCCGCGAATTTCCGGCCGCCGGCCGCCGGCCGCTCGGCCTGCAGGCTTTGATGGTCACCGAGCACCCGGCAGTCAAGAGTTGCGGGCAAGCCATGCTGGAGACCATCAGGGAAGCAGCTCGGCGCGGGTTCCGGGAGTTGAGTCCGAACCGGGAGGCCAGAAACTCGAAGATTTGGCCCGCTGGGGTTTCTAGGTGCTTGGCAGGGTTCAGTGGATGGACAAAAATATTGCGCACGATTGCCCTGGACATACCAACAAGCAATGGCTTCCCATGGTTGCAAAGTGGTGCAGGAGTTCGTCCATCCACACTAGGGAATAACATGGTAGACCCATGGTTAAAAAAAAAAAAACGCTTGAAGGGTGCGTTTTTTTTTTCTCGGAGTTGGATCCTTTTCAGGTGGGTTTGCACGGGAAATTTGAAACCTGGATACCGTTTTGGGGGGTCCCCTATTTGACACATACCCAGTGGGTAAGTACGGTACCATAGTTCCAACTGTGGTAACTGGGGCTGGTGCCCCTACAACCATCAGGGAGCTCGCTTGTGTCAATCCGACCCTTGTTTTCCAACCACCCCATCCAGGAGAAACATGGAGAAACATTTAAGGGCCCTGGTCCTTCGAAAGCTTCAAGCCTTCAGAACTCCCCGCAGGTTTCCTCCCGATTGCACAGTCCCTTCTGCAAGTTGCAACCAGTGAATCTCATTCGTAACACCCTTGCCGTTGACCGGGTTCCCTCCAAACGTCGCCAAGTGTTCAGAGTTTCGATTCCAAGTGGGTTCATGGGGTGCACCATTTTGGCGACAAGGCTGGGGCGTTTTGACCCCTGAGTGAAACATTGATGGATCCCCTTGATGGTTTCTACACTTCTAGAGGGTTTCATTCCTTTTGAGCCTTTTGTTATTCGGAGTTTGGGGCCTTGAAGTTTAGAGCCCCTCCCGGAATCTGCAGGACGGATCCGACGCCCCTTTTGGATGCCATGGCTTCAACAGGGACATCAACCAGAATCCACCCATTCTCGGGGGTCCTTTTGGGTGTGCCGAAGCTCCTGCCAGCAACCTTGGTTGGGCTAGAAGAGGAGCTCCAAATCTCTGCCAAAGCCCACTCTCACGGGCTTCGCCGCTCCCATTGCCAAAAATCATGTAAATCCCCTTGCTGCTGCGGCTTTGTCTTGCTGGTGCTCAGCAGGGAATGAGAAAAACCACCCATATAGACAATCCCCCTATGGTCTCCTTCCAGCAAACCTGTAGGTTCTTCTACTATTCACCGGCAAGATGGCCAAACTGACACCTCAGGTCAATGACTTGATACAACGATGTGGGCCCTGGATCAAGTCTGGAGAATTCCAAGCAGAAGCCACCATCGCGACTCGGCGATGATCTTTTTCCCACCCGCAGGCCGCTGATTGCAATAGGGTTGCTCCCGATTTGGATGTTCAACCAAGAAGAGAGAGAGAGAGAGAGAGAGAGAGAGAGAGAGAGCGCGAGAGGGAGAGAGAGAGACAGACCCGTGGTTACAGAAGGGCGCTAGCAATTCATGTGGTGGGCATGTTTCGGTTACTTTTGGGGTGCTTTCTCTTTCGACCACCATTTCGAGTTGGACAACTCTGAGGATACCTTCACGGACTCAGGCTAATGGTTCGGTTTTTGTCTACTTGAACAGAAAATCTGTTTCTATGCTTCACGGAGGTGTGCAAAGCTTGTCCCAAGAGAGGTGACAAAAGGATCACCCTCCAAAGATGGCGCTACAGGTCACGCTCAACAGTTTCGGGTTTCAATAATTTTGCCACTCGGGCTGACTTCCTGACAGGAGGCCAACAAGTCGGTCCTGAAGGCCTTGAACAAGGCACCGAGCTGCTGACTGGGATGCTGAAACCACGGAATTCGTAGGCCACTTTTTGGGGAGAAGCCTTGAAGGGCTCCTTTAGCGATTAAGTTCACACACTGACAGCGCAAGTGGTTCTCTTAGTTTTTGTCGTTCTATTTGTTTTCGTAGCCGAAACAGAATGCGCGAACTACAAGCTATGTGGACGGATGATGTTTTGGGGTACGCACGCTGGACCCTCGACAAAGCCCACGTTGGGGTATATAGTATAGGACCTTGGAGTTTGGAGCTTCATTTAGGTCCCCCGGTGGTGCCCTTCTCTACCCCTTTTTGGGGGAGAGTTCCCCTGCTGAAATAGACTACAGAAAAAAGGGTACCCTTATTCTAACCTCTCTACTGGAGGACCTAGTAGTGGTAAGTCACTTCGTGAGATTCGCTGCCTGCACGTTTTGATCCACCACCCTACCACCAAGAATCATGAAGAATCATGGAAGTGCACAGGCCTGCTTTCCAAGACGGCTTTCGTCTTCCAAAAGGGGCCTCTGCACTTCCATGTTTGATCCTTAGAAAGAGGTCATGGACCACCAAAAAAGGCTATTGGGCTATCCCTTATTACCCCCTGAATAAGGCCTCATAAAGCTTATCTGGGGCTTATCCTGAGATAGGGGGCCATGAGAAGGGGATACCACCCCCCCTCCGGGTAGGGGTCCATGAGAAGGGGATAGGCCTCCGTTTAACGTTGGGCCCAAAACAAGAGGCTCAGAATGGCATGCAGAAGTTGGACGACATCGACTTGGACTCTTTGAAGCCTGAGTGGGGCGATCGCGACTCTGCACCTCGGAGCTTGAGAGAACTCCGGGATGTTCGTTGGATTTGTACGGGAGCTTCCCGAGTTCCGTTCGGACGTTAGTCACTTTTTGGGCTTGCACCAGTGTAGTGGTAGATCTTTGGCGCTGTGAGGGGTTTCGCAAAATTAAGTTTGGCGGTGGGAAATCCCGTTAAACCACCACTTGAATGGACCCAGGTCTGGGTAAAGAAGGTGATCGAAGCAACAAAAGTTCGGTTTTTAAGGGTATGTGTCTTATTTGGTTCAGGTCGTGAGTTCTTAAAAATCCTCAAGATGTTTGGCCCTTCTTGGGAGCTTTGGAGAGAGTTACGAGGAAGCCGACTTGCATTGAAGTGAGGAGGACACTGGAGGTTGTTTGATGGTGGCCTTCCACAATCCTCCTGTGCACTTCCATGTTCGCGGGTACGGGCTTCCAACCCCTGCTGGCTTGCACCCTTCTTGCATACTGAGCTCCTCTCAAAGGTGAAGCCAAACGGGCATACTGTGGATGGACGAAATCCGTTCACACCAGTTTAAAAAACCATCTTGGTATTTGAAGGGGGTCAACAGAAACCAGTGTTGCGAAATCGAAATGGATTCACTTTGTTTAACCTCCGCCCGTGGAAGCTCACAGAGCTTCGCAGCTGCTTTCCTAGGTGCGCATGGCTCGGAAGAGCGTCATCGGCTGTGCTCAGGCCGGTAGTGTCGGCCGCGGGCAACGGGTTAGGGTGGGGCGGAGATCTGGGTCACTTTTTTGTTGTTTTTGGAAGGAGAGGATGGAAAAACGAGCTCGCGCCCATGAAGCTTTTCTTGCGGGCGAAAGTAGGTGGCAGACCTCCCATGCGTTTCATCCGCTCCACCCAAAGAAACGAATTGAGCCATGAGCTTTTGCTCTGGTGTACCTGAAGTCATCTGCATTTCTGGCTTGAACTCGTAGATTGCCCAGAAAGATGGCGTCTGTCAAGGGGTCTGGTTTCTTTGGTTCGGCGCCGCGCACCATTTTGGGGGACATTGCTGGGGGAGTTGTATGGTGCTCTTGCGGGAGGATTGTTTCTGCAACTTGTCAGCCATATGCATATACAAATTATTACGTACATATCTGCATCTGTAGTTTGGTAGTCTTAACTTCCTAGAAAAAACATGAACAACACTTGGATGCATATGCACATCTCCATCGTATTCATAACTACTCAATAAACAATTGCTAAACTGTCTAAATGCTTGGGACAGAATCCTTCAGTCAGTTGGTAGGTGGTTGCGCGTTGGTGAACATGGCGTACAGAAGGATCCAGCTTTCGTAAGCGTTGGGCAGTCCATCTCTTTGCTTATCAGCATGTTCGCATGCACGGCAGGTGGTTTATCCCATTCTTTTTCAGGGTTTCTATCAAAAGTGGTGATTTAGTCCCACTTTTCGCGGCGTTACATGCGAGTGTGTCTTTTTGCGGGGACCCCCCTTCCAAAATTGTGTTTTGTTCATTTGGCTTTGAAACTTGAAACGCGGTGCCGTACCTACCTTTTAGGCTTTGGAAAGGGAGTAATTACCCGAAAAAGCACCTTTTTGCTGTTGTTTTAGAATGAAGCACCAAGAGGACAAAGCGAAGCCATTTGGGTGGGTCCAATCTGAAAAGTGCCTGCCGTCGCAAACTAGGCGATGATGAGCCGACTGGAGTCCTTGAAGCAGCACCTGGCACCGCCTGCCGCGAGCTTCGGCCGACGGGCGACTTGGGGGGGGTGGGTTTGAGGGCCGTCGCATGTATTTTGATCCCCCCGGTTTCCCCGGGTGGTAGGTGGTCAAGATAAAAGTCATCTTTGAAACTCTATACGTTGTTGTTTTTTTGGGGGGGGTGGGGGCGGGGCGCGTTGGGTGGTTCTCACTCGAGGTCATGGTTTCTTTAGTCGCTTTTCGGGCTTGGACAATGTTAAGTGGTAAACAAGAAGTGTGGCCATTTTTTGGCCAGTGCACTCAAGACTTGGGGGTTTCCCTGGGAGGTTAGAATGAAAGTCAGGTTTGAAGCCCAATGTTTGTTGTTGTGGGTTCAAGAGGTTCCACCGAGGTAAAGCTTTCGCAGTCATGAAGTAGGTCCCCATTTGTTCCCAGGCCCTGGTGTCCATTCCAAGCCGTGACACGCAGAGCTCCCTGGGGCTTGGGGGCTGTGAAAACGTCTCAGGAAAGGACTTGAACTGGTTAGTCCCAAAAGAGGGGTAACCTCAAACAAAGACGCGCTCAGTTGGCCCCGTTTAAAGACAGTTTGCTGTCAGTGGTGTGATTTCAAAGGGGCCAAATTAGAGTCACCCTCAACTAAACCTGTTGGGGTTGAACAGGAAGAGCAACCACACATTTTGGACCATAGGTGTCCTTTTCAGTTGTTTTGGTATTTTATCATCTACCAGGGCCATCTATTTCCCCTAAACGGACGCCTCTGTCTTGGACCCTGCCCCTTTCCGCTAACACACATCTTGGACTGTGCCCCTTTCCGCTACCAGCCTCCCTCTCAAAGGAAACCGACAGTGATGGCTGATCTAGCATTCTTTCACGCACAATTAGCCATGTTGGTCTGGACTAGAGCAAAGAAACAACAATCCGTTGTTCATCACTTCACCCAAGTAATGAAGGTCCCCCTAGAAACATTTTTATGAACAACCCCGGCCCAATATTGAATGAGAGTAGGCAAATTCTAAACCAGTTCTACAGTAGTGATTTCTTCCACCAACTCTCTAGTCGTAGGGGACCCTTTGCCCCCAAACCTGGAGCAGTGGACGCCTAACAATACAACAAATGCTTCGCCCCCAGCATCTTTTTAGGGGACGGGTCGCGTTTTGTCATTTGGGAGGCCGGATTAGTAGCCGTAGCCTGGGGCCCTCAGCATGAACAGAATGCAAACACCAAGCTGCCTGATTACACAGCGCTACTGAACATGTGAATGAGAAGGCTTGTCAGTACCACGGGTGCGTTCCATTCATGCTTAGCATCCAGGAGCAACACTTCAGCCATTGTCCATGGTGGAGCGATACAGCCGATATGTGTGTATATATATATATATATATGACATTCATGTTCAAACCATGCATGGAGGCAAGTGCAAGAGCAACTTGCCTAAGTCTGCACAGGCGCGTTTTGGAAACCCTTCCATTTGGCATGCCCTCCATTGTTTCCGTGGCGTGGCCCCCCTTCCGCTGCGTTTTGCGAACCATTTGTTCCATGTCATTCGCTGAGATTCCTTCCCCCCCCTGACCCCCTGACCACAGAGAAATTTAAACTAGCTTTGTGAAGGGATGTTTGCACCAGGCACATCTAACCACGCAGCCTGTTTTTCCCACACAGTGCACGTTCTTCAGTAAAAACACCGGAGAAAAGGCCTGCCTGGAAAGCCCCGGCCCAAGCACACGTTCGATGAGTAGTTGATCCCTTTCGGACCGCGGCCGCAGCTTAAAATGCGCACAAATTGTTGAGCGCGTTTGGCGCAAGGCCAACCAGTAGACAGCACATGCCTTAATAATTATGCAGGCAATTGCGCAGGTGCGAAAACCAGATGTGTTGCACCCGAATCAAGAACTGCAAGACGGCTGTTTTGAACCGAAGGCGACAGGGCCGGAGGCTGGCCAATCGTTGTTTTGCACAAGAGCCATATGGATGTGTGTCAAACTTAGTTGGGGGATGGGGGTTTTGTCTTTTGAACCACCCAAAGACTTTGTTGCATTTTGCTTGGATGTTAGGACTTTAACTGTTTTGTCAACTAATTAATGGGTTTTCCACAAAACCACTAAAAGTTAAACTTTTAGCAGGGGAGCAGAAAGCAACCGAGAAAAGGTCTTGGCGCGTTTTTTGACAAGCGCCGGTTCTATGCTCGGGGGCTCTAAATTGTGAGGAAGTTCGCCTCCCAGCTGGGCAGCCAGCGGCAAGACACCACCTTCTACGGTTGGGCTTTGGCCTCTCAGCTGAGTCCTGAAATGCCCAAAACTCCAGGGGTTGATTCCCCATTCTTTTCAGCCATCGTTCTTTTCTCAAAAACCGGATCTGTTTCCCCTAGGTTTCCGGAGGTTTTCTAGAAAGAAGGATCCCTGGAAAGAATGGGGAAGGTACCCATAGCAAAACGGTTTGCCAAACGCGGGCAGCTCCCAAGAAACGGCGGGTGGTTTGGTTCCCTGCTTTATTTGGGGGTTCCTAAATTGCTGAGTGGAGCCGCCCTTAAAGGGGTCCATTAAAAAATCCTTGTTCTCCGGCTGGGAACGGGAGGTGGGGTTGTGATTTCACCTCAAAACCACACCCTGCAGAAAGCCTACATTGCACCCGAGTTGTTTGAGGTTTCTCCATGTTTCTCTTGAGGAAGTGTGGTTTGGAAGCGCGCAGACTTGCCCTTTAGGCACAAAAGTTGCGGGTTGACAGGTGAGGGGGGGGGTGACAAGATTACCCAGACTATGAGCTCTGCCTATTTTGTGTCGAGCTGAACTGCGGGAAAAAGCCGAGCTCCCTATAATTAGTTATGCAGTTTGGGGCAATTTTCCTTTGGTCACGACCATCAGGCATCATGCGGAGCTTGAGGGAGGATCACCCTAGATGCCGACCGGGCCTCTGCAACAAGCAATTGCCCAAACCAAGTCTGCTGGTTGGTGTGTCCTGACTCATGACCGACGTTCGAGGTCCTGTTCTGGCAGGATCAAGCATTGCACTGTCAGGGCAATTTGCACGGATTTGCCTTTGACGTTTGCAATGGTTGTTGGTTGGTAACAAGGGCACCGCCAGGGCACCTCTCACCTAAGAAGCCCTTCCCAAATAACCCTTGAACCCCATGGGTCAAGCAAAGGGCGCCCGATGTGTCACTCAAGTTGGGGTGGAGCATGTTTTATACCAAGGGTTTGGCAAGAATTGCTCAAGCAAATGAGCCGCGGCCCCCTTCAAAGGGAAACCAAGCAGGAGGTTGTTTAAACAACAGGTGTTTGGACTCGTCAAAACAGGGGGTTGGCCAAACGACAAATCCTGCAGGTGGTACTTTTGATGGGTAGTTGCGAAGTCCACTTCGCACCACCTACGAAACCCCGAATGATTCGATTACCAACAAATGCCATGGTTTCTTCCATGGTTTCATTTTGTGCTGCGGTCTATGGGTTTTGCAACCACCCGCAGTACCCCTCTGTCAGCTTTTTCTTGGATGGCCTGGGGCTTAGCTGAATGGTTGGTGCTATATCTCAGTTAGGGTTGGTGCTATATCCGTCCACATCGCCCAAGAGTGTTTTAGGATGGAATGGAAGTGGCCGAAGCGGCAGCGGCCGACGTAAAGCCAGGCGCGATCCAGCCGACGTCTGTTTTGTGGAGGGCACCCTTTTGGGGAAGCCGAATGGGTGTGTCTTAAAAGGGGGGACTTCCCAACATGGCGCTGTTTGTTTTGGTTATCCACCCATTTTGGGGCAGCCTAAGTTTGACACAAATCCGCTTTTTGAGAAAACATCATTTTGCGGTTGCTCCGCTCTTGGCGGTTTCGACGATTTCGTGGCACGCGGAACGCTTCAACGATTTTCGCAGTTTCAGTTCGGCTCACTCTTTGCAGGCGAGGAGCGAAGCGAGCGATGCGAGCGAAGCCGCTCCCGCGACAAGGGCAAAGGCGCGCATGGATCGTGGGATGCCTAAAATATGAAGCAAGGAAGGGAACAGGGCGTACTTGGCGCCCGGAGTTGTATATTACTTTATATACGTTGGTCCTTAAGAAGGCCCGCTGCCATTTGCCAGGGTTTTGCGGTTGGATATGCCTTAAGTACACTTGCATTTGACCCAGTCCAGCGCATCACAAGTTTTGGACTGACAGCAACTAGCACAGGAAGCGCTGATGCGAAGCACAATGCCCAGCTGAAACTGTTCTGAGAGCGGCGCCATTGGACCCTTGGATTTTCAGTACTTGGAGGGCTGACTGACGATATTGCACCAGAGGTTTAGCTTTGGGCAAGGGATCGAAGAATTCCGAAAGGAATGGGTCTGGCAGTCGGTTCGGCAGAGCGAACAACTCCCAGAAAAACCGGGTGATGTCCAACCAAGTCTTTGAACTGTTTGGGCATCCAGCGGCCTCCAGCGGCAGATTTCACGTTGTATTTGTTTGGCCGGCTTAACTTCTGAGTGAATTAAAACGGCCTCACACGACCTCACCCCAAATGCTGGTTTATGTGGGTAATAGCCCTCCAACCAGGCTGGTGAAATATTATAATTCCCCCAGTCAACTTGGAGTAGCCGGGCAGCCGGGCTTCGGGGCTGCGTGGGTCCCGCCGGCTCCGCTTTTTCGTTTCAAGCTGTCAGGCGAGCAGCGCACAGACAGCGAGAACTCCGAGGAGCGCCGCTTGGCAGCGCTGGCTGCCAACAGACCCCCCCCTGAATTCCGGCTTGTGGGATCACTCGAGGTTTATCCAACCACTTGTTTTTGTTGTATCACTTTAAGCCCCCACCAATTGACCTGGAACCTGACGTTCGGGGGTTCCTTTAAATGGAAAATGGTCCAAACCAGGAACCCCCAAACTTCATGTTAGGTCGTGGGAGGGTATTTATAGTGTTTGAGAATCTCGTTTTAGCGTCAACCAACAAGCTTGGACTTTACTTGGCCAAATCCACTCAGTGAGTGACGGGGAAACCCAAATGGGTATGGGTCAAACACAAAAAAACACCAGGGAACGCAGGTTTTAGTCCGTGGTTTCATCTACCAAATTTCCATTTTGGGTACCTGTTTTCGACCCACAGCCAAATGAGGTGGTCGAAGCAGTTTTGCGAAGCATGTTTTCTCAAGATGGCCCAACCCTGGGTATCTGGGTATCTCCCGCCAAGTTCATGCACTGGGAGGGTTCCCAGTCCTCTAAAGCGGGCCGGCTTTACACAGCTTCCTTGGTTGTCCTGATTTCCCTGGGTGAAGGTGACTGACCGAGGGGCGATGAGGGGCGGGGCCGGGGGAAGGGGGGGGGAGCCTCATGATTGTTCAGTTTCGGGTGGGGATGGGCTCTGGTTTTTGGAGGGCGGCTGCGAGGAAGTTCCTCTCTTTTAGTTGTGGGGCTACTAGGGTTTGCCTGTTGGCTTTTGTGGCAAAGAAATAAACCCTGAAGATGTCTTTGGATGCTATTTTGGCACTTTGGGGGTCCCATCCAATTCCAAAACCTAGTAAGGATGTTTGTGGGTACTATTGTTGCATTTCTTGGGTTCGAACCCATCCCAGTCCAAAACCTAGTAAAGGGGGGGAAAGGGGGGCAAAGGTAAAACGGTTGAGGGAGAACAGGGTGCAGCCAATCTCTTGGCTCAAGTGAGGCAAGATGAACCGGGACACCCCGCACTTCCAATGGACGAAGGGCATGAAGCTGGGAACTGGCCGCTACGTGGTGAAGAGGAAGGCGCGAAAGAAAGACGTGGGGGGGGGGGAGGATTTGGGACCAGTCTTTGGCATTGTTTTACATGTAAATGTGTCGAGTTTCCATTCTCTACCCTTTTTCAGGCACCCTTAAGTGGTGGTTTGGGGATTTGAACCTCCGGTTCTTGTAGAGGATTCCGGGGAAACCCTTTCTGAACCGCCAAACCACCAATCAGGGGGAAGCTTACTTTTGGGGTGGCTTAAACGGGAAACCAACAGAAAGCAAAGCCACCTGCAGGGTCTCGCTTTGTAAGAAAGACCCATGTTACGATTCACTATTGGAGTGCGGCATAGTCAAAACATTACATGTTTGGGTTTTTGTTGGTAATCGCGCACTCAGTCAAACATCGTTCTGTCACTTCACTGTTGGAACAGTTGATGAACTCTCTTCCACATGCATCGTTCTGTTCCATAGCATCGTTCTTTTCCATTTTCGAACTGGGCGGGGGGGGGGTCTGTTTTTTGTCCCTGTAATTTTAAATGAAATGTTGAATCTGGGAGCAGAATGGGGAAATAAGGCTTCCTGGGCCAAATTTCCCATCTCGTTCTGCTCGCTCTGGACAGGGTTCAAACGTAGACGCCTGTTCGATTTGGGGCCTTTGTTGCCAGTGGGGGGTGAGTTTGGGGTCACAATGTGGTGAACGCCTGGGCGGCGTGGTACGGGCTTGATGTTCGTGAGGTCGTGTTGGCAAAGTGAATAGTTGTATCCATCGAGGAGTTGGATTCGGAGGTTATCAAATTGGGTCGGTTCCCTTCACTGCCCTTCACCAGGAAGTGTCTTTGATGGTGAAACAATGGGGCCCTTCGGGCCAGGTCACTTGAATGAGCTTAGAAGATCCAGATCCAAAAGCTGTTTTTTGGATGCATCCTTTCAGGGAACCCTTGAAGGGCACGAAGCCACGGCAGATGGGGACGACCACGTTTGATGCCTTCAGGTGGGCGAAGGCTCATTCGGCCGTGTGCTGGCGTGCCTGGATGAGTCCAGCAAGCAGACAGTGGCCGTGAAGGTGGTGAAAGGCGAGTCTGAGAGTTCAAGGGTGCAAGGGTCTGAGGCTTCGAAGGTCTCAGGGTTTGATTGTACAGAATTCCGGTGCCCCACAAGATCTGCACGACTGGGTTCCACTGGCTCCACTTTGGTTCTAATCATTGTTGTTTGGGGCTAAATTTTGATATTGGCTAAATGCTGAGAAACAGGGCTAATTTATCAGGCCAGGTGCTCCGAGCCCTTTCAAAGATGATAGGGTATGTGTGTGTGTGTGTTCTTTCGACCCTGTTGAAGGTTGGTTGAAAGGGGAGTCAACGCTCCAACTGCCATGTTTGGGGGCCTCCATGTTTTCACATTGCAGAACATTGGTTGGGTTTGGTACGGGGTGCGGAGGTTTGGAGGGGTGTATGAGATCCTTCATACCCTCCCACCAAATCCGCCGACCCTCTGCCTCCCGTCCCAGCCTCCTGCAGAGGGGACCGGACTGGTGCGACCGGACTGGTGATCCCACTTCAAACCGCTCCAGACACCTCTTTCCTCCAGTATGTCGGTTCGAACCGCTCCAGAAACCTGTTTCCGGACTGGCGCCCGAGGACCGGCCCCAGGACTCTGCCAGTCCACCTCAACCGCTCCACACCTGTTTCCTCCAATATGTCGATTCAAACCGCTCCAGACAGTTTCCGGACTGGCACCCGTGTTTCAGGACCGGTCCTGGGACCAGCCTGGACAGGGTGCCGGTCCCTGCCTGCGACTGGTCGAGGGCAGTTTCGGAGGACGGCCTTGTTTCTGGCCCGTGCGGAAATTGACGGACGAGCTGCCATCTTTCTGACTTTTCCGTTAACCCTGGATCGATTCTGCAAGAGAGTCCAATACGTCGAATCAAACCGCGCCAGACGCCTGTTTCCGGACTGGCACCCGTGTTTCAGGACCGGTTCTGAAACCAGCCTGGACAGGGTCCCAGTCCCTGCCGGCGACCGGTCCAGGGCAACCGTCCCAGGGCCAGCTTCAGGAGGGCCAGTTTCAGGACGACCCCCGGGAGAGGCCTTGGCCTTGTTTCTAGGACCGCTCCCGGGCCAACTCGAAGTGACTTGGGCGCGAGCCGGCCCAAGCGGCAATTAACGGACGAGCTGCCACCTTTCTGACGCTGGGTCCTCGCTCTACAAAACGCTGTAAATACCGCCAAAAACTGCTGTGCTGAGCGTTGGGCTGTTGTTCTGTCCGTTTTGCTTTTGCTGCGGCTGGCTCGCGTGCTGCGCGGTCCTTGCTTTTTTCGCGTTGGTTTTCGAGCCTTCTGGCGCGCGCGCGCGCGCGCGCGACCCCAGCCACAAAACGCTGCTATTTACAGTGTTTGTTGCATTTGCTTTTCCGGGCTGGCTTGCGGGCTGTTCTTTTTGGGCTGCTGTTTCTGGGGCCTCTGGCGTGCGCGCGGGCGCGACCCCATGTCAGCCTTCTGGGTTGGGGCCCGGCTGGGCAACATGCATAACCTAACCAGCCATATCATAGCACAGGATACGTTTCTCGTACAAAAAACATGACATGACATGGTATAACTTCAAAGAGGCGTAGCCGGCTAGAGGCCGCAGGCCCAGAAAATAACATGGAACTGCACAAAGCCCCTAGGGGCTTTCCAGGAGGAAACTCGTCTTTCTGCCGGGGTCTGCGCAACAAAATCGTAGGTATCCATGGCCATTGCCTGTGATCAACGGGCCAGCGCATCATCGCGCCAGGGGTCCATCGATATAAAGAGCACGCCCACGCGGAAGCTGAGCTGCTGCGGGAGATCCTGCGATGTGGCTCGCGGGACGGTGTTCTGCAGCCAGGAAAAGGTGGAGTCCACACAACAGTCCTTTCTTAAATTCCGTCAAACCAACATTTCAGAATCGGTTGTTCTTTTTCTGGCTAGGTCAAAGGAAAGAAATTCAGTATCTGATTGTTGTTTTTTGTTTCATGTTTTTTTTTGGGGGTGCGCTTTGGAACTTTGGAACTGTTCTCTTTGGTTTGGCTTGCCCATGGCCGGGTCCAAAACCGGCGCCCTTGGGGTCAAAACCTGCAGCCGGTCAGGTATTGGGGGGGGGGGTGGTTGGACTGTTCCGGACAGTGCGACAAGCCCTTTGTAAGACTGTTGGGGGGGGGGGGAGGGGGGCACCTCGACATGGGAGCGATGTGTTCGAAAATGAACCGAAATGCACGGTAGAAATTCGGCTTGGGTCTGGTTCTGAGTGAACTGCTTGCTATGGATCTTGGGGTGTAACTGTGAACACGGAACAATAGGTAAGGGTTGGTTGGTGGTTTGGATTGGTGGCTTGGGGATTTGAGCTAGCTTTTGTTTTAGGTTAATGGGGCCCCCTTCACCGCCAAGCCACCGATTCGGCCTCACAGCACCCAGCAACAGGGGACTGAAACACAGCGGCCGGCTTCCGAGGCGACCCGGGCCGGCAGAGCTTCTCCGTGAAGCTGCTGGGGGAGTTCACCCACGCCACGGCCCACTGCTGCCTGGTCTTCGCGCCTCGGATCTAATTTTGCCTCGGGGGAATCGGGGGTCTGAGATGGTCTGAGGTTTGGAGTGGCTGGGTTGGCTCAGGGTCTTTTAAGAGGAAGGTGACAGGAAAAAAGCTGGTTGTCTTTTTGAGGGTGCCCGGCTCAGGGTGTGTCAGAGGAAAGTGACAGGAAAAGCTGGTTGTCTTTTTGAGGGTGAAAAGCCGAATTCTGCCTCATATTTGGACACAATGCCACTTCCGGCAGTGTATGGTAGAGACATAAAAAGACCTCAACATTTCCCACAACCAGGGACCGGGGAGGTCTAAACGTCCCATGTCCACTTGGAGAAACAAGTAGGTTTCACCGGAGAACTGGCGGGATGCAAATTTGCCTTTCAGTTTTGAGCGAGTGGGAAGGAAGGAATGGGAGATGGGATTCCTTCGTCATCTCCCTCTCTTTACCATGTTATCTCTCTCATTCCCTCACCTATCAACTGCCACACGGTGAGTCCATCCAACCCCTCTCTCCGCTCGGTATCCATCCCTATCACTCCCCAGCCTCTCTCTTCCCACGGCTGGGTCTCTCACATCCCTTTCCAGCCTGGCAAATATTCCTTGAATCCAGGCTGTTGACTCGACCATCATTTCACACGTTCTCCCTTCCTACGTCAGGCCTCTTCTCTCTTCTCCGTGAGTTCGCTCGTCAACAGAAACTCCCGATGTTAATATTTCCCTTTCACGTCTGTTCACCTCGTTCTCTCGGTAACCATCCAATCTTAAGGATATGAAAGGTAAATGACAGGTGATTGGGAACGGAAGAAATCACCCACCCTTTGATCGCGAGTAAACAGGATATAGAGAGTGGACATGGAGAGTGGGATCGCTTCCTTCGGTCACACGACCCATTCACTGAACAACATGTCTTTCACCAACCAGGTACAAACGGGTGTTAGGCCTTTTTGGCGGTTTCCAAAGCGAAAACCTCAAAGAAAACCACCAATTTTCAGGGTGCCTTCGTTTAATTGGTGGTTTTAGACTAGAATGCGTTGAGTGGTTTTCTTTTATTGGTGGTACCTTCCTTTATTGGGTACCTTCATGAGACCCATGGCTCTTATTTGAGGCAGCTCACCCAGTTCGCCTCCGCCCGTGGCCCCCGTTGCCCCATTGCCCGGCAACCACCGCGTTTGGCGGCGCAAGTCTCGTCATCGACGGGAGGGAGTGTCTTTTTTAGAGTTGGCACCCTTTTGTTTTCGGTGGTGTAAAAGGGACGCATGGGACGCCAAAGAGGAAGCCTGCGATGTTTACAACGCCCCCCCCCTCACCCCCATTTTTTTGGTTCAGGCAACCCTTCATTGGTGTTGTTTGGATTGGTGGTTTGGGGATTTGAACCTGGTTCTGCACAGGGTAAATGGAAACGAAACCCCCTCCGTTTCACCACCAGAAAACTGATTTGGCTCCACACCACCAAACAAGTAGGGCCAAGTAGGGAAGCGAATTTCAAGCATAGGTGTCCTTTTTGGTTGGTTTGCTTAAAAAATGGAGAGCGATTCCTGGTTTAGATGGGGTGGGAAACCCGTCGATTTTTCCCAAAGGCCACTGATTTTAAGCCACCGATCCCAAGGAACTGCTCGACTTGAGCCTCAGCGACTTCATGCGCACCTCGCCTGAGATTTTGATTCGGGCGCAGCCCGAAGCATAGGGGCAGCGTCCATGTCCATTCTTTCCAGGGATCCGAATCTTTTTGGGAAACCATCTTTAAAACCCATGATAGAGCAGATCCGGTTCTTGAAAAGAACGATGGTTGAAAGAATGGGGAATCAACCCTAGAATCATGGGTGGTTTCTCAAGCGCTCTGGAGAAACTGCAGGTTCCATTGAGATGGCGTTCCGCTTCCCTGCTGCCATGCTTGGTGACCCATTTTCGGGAATGACGTGCTATGTTTGTCTCACTCCCCGAGTTCATGGGCTTTGAACACTTGTTGGGAAGACCATGTTGCGAGTAGATCAAAAGTTTGGACGGTTTGGGCTCATCCACTCAGGAAGTGAGGTGTTTCCCAGAACCCAACAACAAGTTGATAACTTGTGGCGCATCAAGCTTGAAAGGCAGAAGCTTGGTTGACCCAGGAGAGATGTCGCCTGCTTGCGACAACCCAAACCCAACTCAGGAGGGAGAGACCCTTCTCGCCGAAAGAAACGCCCAACCAATTGCTGAAATGTCCTTCATTTGTACAGATTTCGATCAAACGCACAAACAACATGTCCATTTGTGGGAGCAGAACCTCCTCTGGTGAAAGGGCAAAACAATTTGGCAGCCATGTCAATTTGCAGCTGAGGATCCCTCATTTGACGTATGCGGGGTCCATGGAAAATTGCATCGGCTCCCGGAATGGGCTCCGAACCTCCTGAAAATGCATGCCCCGTACAGAACCAGCTTGCAATTGATACGGCACCTGGTTGGCCAAGAACCCAAATTGGCCAGGGGCATTGGCCGTGGGTGAGATGCCTTGGCACTATTCCGTGCGAGCTCTGGGGCTAAAACGCGCTACATCTAGTGCAGACTGATGCATTGTGGGAGGACTTGGGACTTCTACTTTGGGATGTGAAGATGCGGGATGGTTCACAGATCCTATACTGCAGAAACCCAGTTGTTCCGAAGTAATAGTTTCCCTCTCCCTTCTTCGTTTGGGTTCCCCGCTAAAAACGGTCCACCCCCAAACCGGGTTTCGTTTTTTCTACCGAACGCATCGGTCAACACGCCATGCCCCGGGCCGCCTGGCCAGGAGATACTGATGATCGCGGGCTGATGCTCCGACGCTCGGGCAGAACTCTTTCAGACTCGAACGGGTTGCAGGGTCACAGAAGTCAAGGCGCGTGGCTGTGGGTCAAAACCAATGGTACCATTTTGGGGTAGGTGCACCACTCATTTTTAGTCTGGCGGGGATTGGGAGGTTCACTGGGGTACGATTTTGATTTAATGAGCGTGGATTTCAATCCGCCAGGACCTGGGAAGAAGATTGTTCCAGCTGTGGCTGTAATGACGCATTTCCCTCTAGAAAGAGTTGGTTGTGGGTCAAAACCTAAGGTGCTTTTTGGGGATGACCACTCCACTGTTGTCTTTTTAGAAGGCTTTCTGGGTGTTCACCGGGCACCGGGGTTTTGACCCATAGCCAGTTCACTCCCTGCACTCGGCAGAGTGATTTATGGGTGTTGTTGGCATTTTCTGGCACACAACAAGTGAAGTATATCTCCGACCACTCGACGAACAAAGGCTGGCCGTCCCGCTTAGGCACACGATGAGAACACCCAGTTGTTCCTGTCAGTCCCTTTTGGTTTGATGGGTTCTGCACTGGAATGGACACTCACTTGGCAAACCTGACATGATCTTTTAGTACCTCTTTCTGGTCCATTTTTCGTCGTGGCCCTTTTGTGTCGATTTTCGAGCACTGGTATGCACTTCCCTTTTTCGGCCAGCTATCAGGAAGTGTCCGCTTGCTTGGGGATTCCTAATTTCTTTGATTGCGACTTGTAATAATTTGCCCGAAGATTAGCGACCAGCCGCATCCGAGGAGACATCCGCAGCATCGCCCTGCAAATGCTGCAGTGCCTGCATTTTCTGAGCGCAATGGGCCTGACTCACACAGATGCCTGGCACAACAAGTTGGTGCGGCCTCTAAGTCTCCTACTGTTGGTAGCACAGTGCTCATGTTGGTGTTGTTTGTAAAGTTGGGCCAGGTCAAAACTACCAGTAGTCTATGGTTCTGCAGAACTCAGTAATTTGCTCATGCCCTCTTTCGGAAACATCTGATATGTTTGACCACGGCTCAGATAAACCCCTTTTTATTCCGAACTTCTTCGGGTCATGTTACAAGGGCGAGTCATTCCGTTGCATACAAACACTCTCAGAGCAAGGGGTTGGGCAAATTATGGTTTGGTACTGTGGATGGACAAAATCCTGCACCACTTGGAAACCATGGTTGAAACCATTATTTGTTGGTATTTACAGGGCAATCATCCGAAACCAGGGTCTCTGAGGTGCATAATTTCCTCCATCCACAGTATGAGGCTTACCGTTGCCATCAAAAGTAGTGTATGCAACGCGTGGGGTTTCGCGGCATAGAAGTGATCCTCAGGATTTGGTGCCAGCTTCCACGTTTCACTTAATGTATGCAATCAATTAAAAAGCCATGCAGCCCCACTTGCGCAGAAGTTTGGGCAATTCCGGTTTTGTGTGCAACCCCTTTTGTCCATGTACTGCTTTGTTGGGGGGTTGGATTTGTGGTTTGCACCCCCTGGTTCTTCTAGAGACCACCAGTTCAAGCCACCAAGAGGAAAGCTGATCGGGCACTTTGCTTCGGGGTAGCCACCCCACTCAGCGAAACGGCCCGAGGACATCAAGTGCCGAAACGCGATGCTGAAAGATGCACGTGGTGAGATGGCGCTCGGCTCAGCTGGCGAGGCGTGCTACAAAAATCAGCCGTCAGGAAGAACTTGGGTGTGCTGTTTGGGCGTCCTTTGTTCGGTTAGTTTCAAGGCAGACCAAAGAAATTCTTTTGATCTTGACGTTCCCCTAGTTAAACACACCCATTTGACCCTAGCCGCTGAAAGAATCGAAAGGAACCCTTCTAAGAACCCTTGAAGTTGCTTTTTTCTAGGGGCCTGGGCCGGCTTCGAGGTGCCGCATCCACGGAAGGAAGGCCAAGAGACGAAGAAGCTCCGCAGATCTGAGCCTTGTCTGGAGAGCTTCCCTTCATGGCGCCTTCTCGGTGTTGGGGGGGTAGGTAAGCCACTAGATATAGTGGGGGGGGGTATGGAGATGTTTGGGTGAAAAAGTGAGTTGTTGACCGACTTGTCAGCCAACATGATTGTTTTTTCGCCCAGGGGCATTGCCAAACCATGGCTGCTTGCTCTCAGATCCGCACATTTGCGGCAAACCCTTCAACCCATTGATGGCCTCAAGTCTCAAAGCGTGTTTCTTCAACCCATTGATGGCCTCAAGTCTCAAAGCGTGTTTGGCATCCCAGGATATCCGCGTCATCGACTTTGGGGGAGCAGTGTGGCTTGGACCAGCGCCGTAGGTGGGGAGGGGGCGCTGAAGACAGTCACAGAATGGTTGTGGTTTTTAGGTTGCCACTTTTTGAGATACCAAGGGATTCCCCAAACATTGGCAAAATGGTCATGGGAATGGAAACCACGTGCGGGATAAAACAAGCATCACTCCTTTGCGATTCGTGCGCGGTCGGAACGGACGCCTTTCAGAGATAGTCATCAAGCCCTGGAAGTTTCACACAGGGAGACATGACCAAAGGGGTGGATTCGTGGTATGTACCCAGCAAATCCTTCAGCCAATCATGATTGTTGTTGGAAAACATGTGGTTTGGTGGGAAATCCCCACTTAACTGCTGACATTTTATTTTTTTTGCTCCCCCTTCCAACGTCAACCAAGCAATGGAAGCTGAACCAGCTCCCGTGAGGGAGGCCAGGAGATCGCCCTTCGGCCCAGGATGAAGAAGGAGCGCCACAGCAAGCGGATTGGCACCAGGCAGTATAGATCCCCAGAGGTCGTCTTGGGACTGCCCTGGGATGAAAAGACGGATGATCCTTGGCTCAAACTATCATACTTGGGGGTGCTGAGTGGTTAGTAGCCGGGGGTTGGATGGGGGATTAGGGGGTAACTTGGATTTAAATGGGGGCGGCGAACCACTTTCTTAAGTCCCGGACCATCTAAGTCGAAGTGTGCCATTTGCCTTTTCCTTAGCGTGCGCGCTAAGGTGTGGAGTCCCGTCCTTAGTCGAGCTGACGGCAGCCCATGAAATCCCTGGAAATGCACCATGCCCCCTTCGCGCGGGCTTTGGCGAAAAAATGTTTCAACAACCAACCCCTGGTCCCTTTGAAAAACAAACAAACCAACAAGGTTTGATACTTCCTGGTCCCCGGGAAGGAACAATCAACACATGTTCACGCCAGCGCCCCTGTTTCTTGCTGATGTCTAGGGGGCTTGTGCACTTCCATGTTTCACACCGCCCCTAGTGGGGGACCCCAGACACTTTCTTGGGGAAGACAGAAACCGGCCAAGACTGGGTGTGCATGCATCTAGTTGTGTGCTTCGGGGAGGCTTGCAGATTCGGATTCGCAAGGTTTGGGCTGCATCCTGTTGACCCTCTACACGGGCCAGCGGCCCTTCCCTGTTCAAAACAGCCTGCAGCATTTGGCACTGCTCGAGCGCGTTGTTGGAGCCTTGGTTGCAGAGTCTGAGGTGATCAAATCACAGCCAATTGGGAGATTGACTAGAAGCGAGGTGTTCTGTCCTGTATTCCCCACTATTATTAAGAGATTTCATAGTATATCAAACCGATTGGCACCGTTGTTTTTTTCTGTTTAGGTCCGGGAATTAATTCCCTGGGCAAGCTTGTTGGTTTAGTTTCTGTTTGCGTGCCCTCCGGTCCTCGTTCTCGGATCCCCGCAGGTACTCCAACTGAGTTTTTAGGTGGGTTCGCGCATGTCCCAACCTGTTTCAGCAAGCCTCACGTGAGCGCCCTTTGGTTGAGGTACTCTTTTTTTTCTGGAGTGTAGGCTCCGTGATCCAAAACCCGACACAGACCTATGAGCATCCGCATCCTTTGCAAAGGAACCTTGCTGGGGTCAAAGTCTCAAAAGGCACTGTGCATGGACATGCGCGCGGATCGCACCAGTTGCTTGGTGGTTCATCCCAGTATTTGTAGGGTGTCGTCATGTGTCGTCCATCCTACCTCGTGCCCGGCGGATGTCGTGGATCCGCGGTGTACTGGAGGTTTCTTGGATTCTTTGGCCAAGCTTCGACTTTCGTAAGGTGAGCTGCCCAAAGACATGCTGCGAAGCGCATCCGCAGGCGACCGGCAAAGGTTTCCCCTCACTCCTTGAACCTGTGCCAAAACATGGTTGTCGTTGGGAAACATGTGATTGGGAAACATGTTACATGTTTGCTTATTGTGGTTGTGGTTGAGTGGGAAATCCCCTCTTAACTGCCAAGAGAAAGGGGGGGTCTTGGCCCAGACCAAATCGGGTGCCCTTAAGGAATGGAACGTCCGGTACCACGGCAGGTCCTCACAAGGGGGATCCATGAGAGTCGAAGCTTCACTTGCTGGAAACTTGCCCCATCAACCCTTGGCTTTGTGTGAAGCTTCTTGTGACAGCCCGTCAAAATTAGGGGACACCTCCTTGACCTGAAGCTCTGCAACTGATTCCATTCGGCCATTTGCTTTTTGCTTTCTATGATTCTATTGGGGCTTGGGCGGATTAGGCAAAAGCGCCTTTGCCGGGCCACCTTAGAACACTTCCTTCCATTCTGCAGTGCAAGCGGGTGGGTGTTGAATACTCGCCTGGAACTTCCTGCTAGCAATCTTCCACCCTGAAAATTTGTGGTTTTCCGGTTGGTCGCCCTTTAAAGTCACAAAAAAAGGTACCCTCAAAGCAAACATATCCGCACCAAAAAAAAACACCTGGGCAGATTCGCCGCCTTGACTGCTTCCCTGAGCAGTCCTGCACCGACAGTCACCCCAATTCCTGGTGGACATCGCCCTTGAAATGATGTCCACCAACGGGTCCCCCAAATGAAAACTGTGGGGGCTTCTTGTCTTCGTTTTGGTTGCCCTTTCAAATCAAATTCCGAACAGGCTGCCCTCAAAAGCGGGCATTTCTTGTAGGGCGCCACCAAAACCGTGGTTTTCTTGTCAGCGTCCCTTTACACCAGAAGAGGCTACCCTCCACGCACACACACAAAAAGCGTGACCTTCCTGCAGCCGGAGATCTGGGCTGCTGCAGGTGGAAGCTTGCCAGAAGATGTTTCCGTGGATGGCCGAGGCTGTCCGCTTAGCTGAAAGATGGTTGAGCTTCGAGCCTCTGGGATCTGTTGCGCAATTCTGTTGGACCAGAACCAAATGTCCCAAAGCTGAGATAACTTGTTTAGTAAGTTATCCTTACCTCTTAAAAGCACAACTTTTCAACTTTTTGGGTAACATGGGCTTTATGTCTGTAAAAGATTAACTTCCCCAATCCTTGGAGTTTTAAGGGGTAAGTTATCAAAGGCAACATTTGATGCTGATGGCCAAACCTCCAGTTGGCAAGACAATTGGCCAAGGGTTGGCTTTGTTCCTTTTCAGGGCCGTGCCAGGGATTTGACGCTGATAGGTTTGGGACGTGCTACGTGTGTATGTATACAGACATATATATATATACAATAATATAGATGGTGAGCACAACCATGGTTGTCGAGTCGATCGTTTCGAAATCGGAACACCTCTGTGAGTGAAGCAGGTAATTATGAGTCCCTGGTATGGGCATGATGCGCATGACCGTTTGAGAGGCAAGGCAAACTAGCAAATCCCGCCTTGCCTCTTACTTGAAGGACCCCCCAAAAAAAATAAGAAGATGAAAATGCGGCCAGTATCTCACAGTGAAGTACTGTGGATGAACAAAATCCTGCAGCAGTTGCCTCTTGAGTTATACCTGATGCAGGATGTGTCCCTCAATCCCGACTGCTTTTTGCCTTTGTTGGGAGGGGTCCACTTTCGAGGGGGGGGGGGGTTCATGGGAATTTGCTTGATCCGAAAGCCGCCTGCAACCTCCAGGGACCATGCGCCTTCACCGGGCTTTCGGCGATGAGGCGAGACCAAAAACGCACCCTACCCAGCGGAGAAGTCGATGTGTTTCTTGGGAAAAAAAGACGACCCTGGTCTTTTCAGTGAGAAACAGTTTGATTGACGGGAAAGATAAACCTGCAATAAACCGTTGCTTTATTTTGATTTGCCTGGCCCCGTTCAAAACCCAATCTGTTCATCCTTCACATTTCAGGGAAACCCGATTCATCCGGAAGTCCTTTGGGGGCACAAGGGAAATAAATCCCCGTTGCATCACCCAAAGCCCTTGTTGGCTTTGATAGTGGGGGTCCTACTACTCCGTTCCAACGGGGTTACATTGAGGTATGGTTGATGTGATAGGGTATAAGCACCTTAAACCAACAGTCAATAGGGTTTGAGTGCCGCTCAACTGTATATCGCTGCCAAGGCAGTTTTAGAAGAAATGGAGCGGGCAGGTCCCGAAACCGCCAACGGCTCACACAGAAGCAACTTGGCCACCACTAGAAGCTGACCAGCCCAAAGGAGTTGTGTCCTCCGGGTTTGCGAACCTACTGCCGGAAGTCTTCGTGAATGCATGTGTCAGGAAAACGCTAGTTGAAGCGTTTGAAGGGTGGGTTTCACTTGAAACATGTTATACGCGCTCCCTGTTTCAAACGCTCGCACAGATGGTTTTCAAAAACCAGCCAACTGTGGCAGGAACTCCATTCCTCCATCCTTCTCCTCCATTCTTCTCCTCCTCCATTTCTCCTTGTACAGGGTTCTGACGGATTCCTGAGGACCCCTCGAAGTCCTTGCCTCCCTTCAAGGGAGGTCCCTTCGCACAACCATTTAGAGGGCCAACTCCTCCATTTCCTACGTCCTCCTCCATTTCATCCTCGTTCAGTTGGCCAGGGGAAGGAGCTGCTGAAGATCGCGCGGCCGCTGCAGCAGCGGCTCAGCGAAGCCGTTGGAGTTGGTTCGAGGTTCGGGAAGCCCAAATGAAAAGGATCAGGGGAGATCAACTTATCACCAGGCAGAAGGGGGGCGGGCGATACGGTGGATGCCCCAAATGTTTAAGGGAACGAGACCCATCCTGGGATATGGTTGATTGTGGCTGGTTTACTTGTCCAGATCGCCCAGTGGTGCCCTTTTACCAGCTTGTTTGCGGGAGGGTTCCCCTACTAAAATAGACTACAGAAAAAAAAGGCTACCCTTATTCTAACCTCACTACTGGAGGACCTAGGTATGGCACCTACCCTTGTTTCCCTCTTTGTGCAGAATGCCCATGGTTAAACAAAAAACACGCTTGTATGATTTATAAACAAAAGAAGTTGAGCCCCTCAGTCCAGAGCTCAAGCAAAACCTTTTTGGGTTCCTTTTTTCGGTCATGGCTCTTGATTTTGATGGGTGGTTGGGATTGGCGTGGGGGTTGACCCCATGTGTTCTGATTCAACCAAAGAAAGCGGACCCCAAACTCCAAATCACCCAACTGAGGGGAGGCTGAGGTGGAATGTGATTATATACCAATTGACCACAGTTCTTTGCACAATGATGCTTTGGCTGAGCAATGTCCAGCGCAGATATGACTCTTAATCCCCATGGCGTGTCCCGAGGCGGGTGTTGCCACAGCACGGCTCCTTTCTGAGACTGCCGCGCTCTCGAAATCGCGGGGATGGGGGGGGGTTGTCAAAGGACCCGGACCCCGGTTGTTTCCTTTCAAGTACCCAAAAGCTCAGTAGGGAATGTAAATCCACCAGTTTTTGGGGTCTATAAGGGTCCTTCTATTTCTCATTCCCTGCTGAGCACCCGCAAAACTGTTGGTTTCTGGTTGTTTCGTGTGAAGTACCCAAAAAAAACATTTATGTTGAGAAATTGTCTGGTGAAAATCGGTTGGCTGGTTCCAAAATTGGTTTCAAGAACTTGTGCCTCCATGAAAAAGACCCCAACAGGAGGTTGTTTACTTGGTCAAACATTCTGAGGCCAAGGTTTTGTCCAGCCCTGATCAAGCCAGGAACAACAAGGCTTACAACGAGTCCTACTCTGGATGGACACGCCAGTTAATAGGTGGTGGTCTACCCCAGTGCTCATAGACTAGTATGACTAATAGGGCTTGATCCATCCCAATTAGTGCAGAACTCAAGGGAGACGCGGCCATGGCCATAGTCAACATGGAAGCGATGGGCATACAGCGAGCTCACCGATTTGGGGCCAAACAATCTCATGCATGCTGAGATGCTGAGGGTCCTAAACGATCTGGAGGGTGGGGGGTGTTCCTTTTTTCCATTTGGTGGACTTCCTGGGACTTTTGCCCAGACAAAGTAGCAGCACATCCGTACCTCACAAATGACATCATTTGATTTGAGATAGTGAGATCCATGCAAACTGGCCTAGAATCTCGAGCAGGGGCATGTGTGGAAAGAAGGGGGCAACTGTTTGAATTCAGCTGGTTCCATGTAGCCATCGCGAGAGAGGGCGATGCTCATGGATGGCCACAAATATGAGTTTAGATTGCAGGGTGCATCAGATGGCGATGGTCGTAGGCAGGGGGAAACCAGCTGACAGAAGCCAAGGCAACATTTTGTTGCGCGTTCAAGCCGTCCTCAACCCGCAAGCACCGACTTTTTCCACAGCCGCACTGGCTCGGCCAGACTTTTCTGGCAGTTTAAGGTTGGCCAAAAATCTAAAACAGTTTGTTTGGCGCGCCTTTGTTGTTTGGTTTTGTGATAAAAGGGTTCCAGGGTCCGTCAGTCTGGCTGGCTACTTGTATACCTACCAGTGGTTTCCGTGTGTCAATGTTTGCACCCATGTCTGTATAGACATGTACACCTACCAGTGGTTCCATGTTTGATCCATGTCTGGATCCATCTATCTATTTGTTTGTCATGCCTGTTGGGTGTCTGTTGGGTGCTCAGAAGCCTGGGCCGTGGCTTCCGGCCGCTCGAGGCTGGAAGCCTTGCTGGCGCCCAGCCCCGAGCGCCGACTCTCGGCAGAGGATGCGCTGAAGGAGCACTTCGTCACTGCGCAGCAGACGGAATAAAACCGCGGCGTGCGCGCAGAATCTGCCTATGTTATAGCGGGCTCACTTGGGGGTAGAACGAGCTTGCCGTTATGAAGGTCCTTTGCTTGGGCAATACAAGCATCTAAAAGAGGGAAGCTGGAAGCACAACCCAACTGAAGCAGAGAGCGGAACCCGGAGCACAAATTGAGGAATGATCTTGGGGGGAACTGCCGCAGAAGTTATGCTCGGACCCTGTTCTTTCCCAAGTTTCATCATGGATTCGGACGTTGCGAGATGGGGCGGGTCATCAGGTCACTTGGGGCAACTCTGGCAGATGATTTAGTGGGCGCTTGCAAGCATGGTGCGCCTGACCATTTAGACTTAGCTACAAGGTCACAAATCGTGGGAGCCACCCAACAGATGTTTTTCTGTCGAAAATGCAATCCGACAAATACAATCCTCAATATAACCCTATAATATATAGATAATTATTGCATTCTGAAATATAATATATTAATAAATTTGTATATATACATATTTTTTCTTGGAAATATTGGGTGTTTATTATATATATAAATGTATATTATAATTAGAATGGTTTTGTGTTTTTTTTAATATAAGGTTTTTATTGATTCTTTTAGAAAAAAATAAATATTATATTATTCTAAAAATAATTTTATTTGATTTTGTTTTGAGTTTGGTATCGAAGATTAGTTTGGTATCGAAGATTTGGAGTGAATTGCCTATTGTATTATAGATTGTTAATATTTTTAGGGAAATAATTGTGAATAATTTTAGTTATTTGAGTTAAATTTTTGTAAATTGTAAATTGTTTAATAAATTTGTATAGTATTTTTATAGAATTTGATTTCAATGATGTTTATATGGATTCGGCAAAACATATGGATTTATGTGGGATGTTGATTGATTTATTTTATATATATTAATATAATTATATAATTTTTAATAAATTATATGAGGAAAAATTAAAGAAAAACAAAAAAATAAATATATAATAAATTAATATAATAATTATATAGAATTATTGATATTTATAACATAAATTATATAGTATATTGATTTTTACATATATATTTATTTTTATATGTTTAAGGAATATAGGGTTTTTACAATTAATATATATATTAATTAAAAATAATAATAATTAATATATTTATTTAAAATTCGATATATATAATTTACATTCTATTTTATAAAATATATTAAATTAAAATAAATTAGTAAAATATTTCTTTTTTATAAATCGAAAATATGATTTTGTATTTATATATTTCTTTAAAATTAAAATAATTGTTTATAAAGAAGAATATAATTTATAATAAATTATTTAAACACACATATAAATATTATATATATTAAAACACTAAAAATATTAAATAAAAAATATATATTTAATATTTAATTTAACTATACTAATTAAAAATTAAAATGTTTAATTAAATATAAATATATTAATTTTTTAATATGAAATATATGTAATATTTCAATTATATATTTAAATATATGATAGTATATATAAATTTAAAATTATTATTTTTATATAAATATATAGAAATAATAAATATAATTTAATATATATTAATTTCATTAAATATTGAAATATAATAAATTTAATATTTAATTTTAATATATAATTAATATTTAATATATTTAAAGTATTAATATTTATTTTTAAATTTATATTATTTTATTAAATTACAATTATTTAATATTCATAAAATAAATAAACAATTATTATTTATTATAATAAAATAAAAATATATATAAAATAATATATTCAAACCATATATTAATAAAATATTTTATAATAAATTCAATTATAGTATAATTAAATATGTGTTTTTTTAAATAATATTTTCAAATATATATATATATATATCTATATTAAATTAAATATTTTGTTTAAATTATTAATTTATTAAATATTAAAATTCATATTAACATATATATTTTATAATATTATATTTATTATAATATTATATTTATTAATTTAATTAAATCTCGTTCTCTCTTTTTCTAAGACTATAGAGGATCTTAATGCATAATTGTATATGTTTATTATTTATATATTTAAATAATTTCTAAATATGTATATATATATATATATTTATGTATATTAAATGAATTGTATAAATATTGTTAAAGAAAATTCCCATTAGGGCCCATGGTCTGTTCCGGGGGGGGGGGGGGGGGAAAGAGGTCCCGTTTGGTCCCGTTTGGTCTGCAACGATGCCTTATAACCCAAGTTCATATCATTAAACAATGTCAGGTTTATTAGTGATTTTCATGCATCTGTTTGGACATATATCGGGCAAGTAGGAATGATTGGGACAATTTGGGGAGATAAAACCGCCATGCCCCATGGTTCTAAGCAATTGGGGTAATGCAAGCGAGTAGAAATATGAACCCGGAAGCCCGAAAGATTAGACTAAATATGTATCATGTACCTGGGATCGAGTAACAAGACTAGTACGAATCATGATGAAACAAATAGTTTGTTCGTTTTCCAGCTATTCCAGTTCCCCGGCAAGCCTTTGGCAATCCTTAGCGTAACTAGAGTCACGAGACAAGTCGACCATTTAGGATAATGTTAAAATTCATTGTACAAAAATAGCACGTCCTAATTATTCAATCGGAATTCTCAAGAGGGGACCCATCCCTTTGAGAATCTGGAATTCCGAAGAGGGGACCCATCCCTTTCAGAAAATAATTGCCATTTACAATCAATCTGGAACTCCCTCAGAGGCACCCATCCCTTGGAGACACAGATCGCTAGCTAGAACAATTGAACAACTGGAAACATGAATCGAGGAAGTACTCAAGGTGGCTACCGAGGGGCTACTCTTTTGTGACATAACGCACTGATCCACGCGGTTTGCTTAACTCAGCCAAATGCGCACCAATTTTAATGTGTTTCGCAAATCAATCCCACCTCAGGATGTTAGCCAACCAGCGTCCGGCGAGTTTGGCGTCATGGGAATGGTGAGGATGAGGAAGGTAGCCTTAGAGTCACTGCTCTGTACCTCGACCTGCACCCAGCCCTGGAACCAACCTGCAGGCTTGCGGTCAGCTCTTTCCCAAAAGCTTGCTGGAAAATCTGCAGGATAGCCACAGGCGGTAATTCTTCGGCGAGTCTCTAGATGTTCGTGCAGCTGGTTCCCTGAACGCTTACATTCCATCAGGCTTCGGTTGAGAACCCCGAAGCGGAACCCCGCCCAAAACCCGACGCGAGGCCCGCCGAGGCACAAACAGCGCGAGCGCCAGGCGACAAAGGAAACGCTCGCGCCGGCCACCTGAAGAACCCCGGGCCCGGGGACCTGGCCACCTCCCAAGAGTTACGGAACCGTTAGACGGCCTGAGAAAACGTGGGGGGGAGTTGTGATTTTTCTGGGGGTGGGGCACTTTGACAGGAGTCGGGTTTAGGGTTTAGGGTTTAGGGTTTCGACGTGGGGGGGAGTTGTGTCTTTTTTGGGGTGGGGTCCTTGAAGGCACAGTTCGGCTGGAGTCTTCCTTCCGACTGCCAATTTTTCCGAACCCAAATCCCTAGTAAGGGGGTTGTCACGCGGTTGCACCGCTCACTTGCCGCAGAGAATCTCCGAACTTGTTTCCAAAACGTAAAAACAAATAAACCCATTCCCAATAATATATCTTCCAAAATGTGTTGTCTTCCCCAAAAAGAGGGGCAAAAACAAGTCAGACCATCCTCATATGTGTCCCAAAAGTAGGGAGTGAGTCCCTGGTCTCTGGGCAAGCAGCTATCGGGCACCTTTGAGACGTGGTGCGCTTACACTGAAATTCTGGCGCGCCCAATCGCTCCCCAAAGACCACCAATCCATATTTGGACTTTCCCGTTGAGAAAGCCAACATGGGTGTGAATCTTAACTTGGGACCGACAACCACAAACAAATCCAGCATGATAAACTCGATAGTATTTCAACTACCCACCATTTTTTTGGAACCTAACGTTTGCGGGGTCCTGGTTTGGACCCTTTTCGCTTTAAAGGGACAGGGTCACGTACGTCAGGTTCCATGCAACAAAAACTGTGGGAGGCTAACATGAACTAAATGGGTGTGTCTCAAAATAAGGGACCTTTTTCCCCCCACAAAAAAGAAAGACACATAAACATGTGGTTTTCCTTTTGGTTTCCATGTAAAGGCCCCCCCAAACCAACGGGGCTCGCCATCTCCCCATCTTCGCCTTGCCATGTTCTTTGGATGCCTCCGACCTTGCAGACCTCGGCCCTCCCGCAGCTGCATCTGGAAGAGGGTGATGGCGCGCAGGGCCAGCGCGAGCATCACCAGCTGCAGGTCCGAGGACAGGAAGATGTAGGACTGCTTCATGTCCTCCAAGTCTTCTTTGCCGCGAATGAACCGCCCAGGCTGGGTTTTTGATATGGCTTTTTTCTCCGACCCATACCCCCTCCCCAGGAAAAAAGAAGAAGAAGAAGAAGAACAAGAAGAAGAAGAAGAAGAAGAAGAAGAAGAAGAAGAAGAAGAAGAAGAAGAAGAAGAAGAAGAAGAAACACAACACACAGACAAATACAACACACACACACACACGTAAAGACACAACACGTGAACAAACCCACCAGTGAGTTCATCAACTTGTTGCCCCTCAGCGGGGAACTCATCTTCAATTTGCCTCAGGGGCTGAAATAGGAACCCCTGTGAAAGCCGGAGGTCCTCAAGCGAGATTGCCCGCTGCAACTTGAAAAGAAAAGGCCCACACACACAATCAATGCATGCCCGTCCCCTTTTTGACTTCCTTTCGGGTGTAATTCAAGATTAGGACTAGGGGCAATTTAGCACGCAGGATACCACGTGGCCACAAGAAAGTGTGCAGGGAGTGTGACGGAATTCCGCTGCCACGTGCTCAATGGTGGGCCAAGGGCTCAACCATGTACCCAGGTTCATACCGTTGCAAGATGCCCTGTGCAAGAGACAAAAGGCCAAAGCTTGGTGCGGAATGATCTTGCCAGTTTGGACAGAAGGTACCAAATGGAGGCAGATCGCATTGTTTTGATGTGCCTACAAATTAACTCATCTCCACCCATTCTGCTGGTTGTTCTTGGGGTGTTGGTAGTGGCCGCCCATCCCACATTTGAACCTGAAGCCAACCGACTGCGCCCAAATTTCTATGCAGGGAAACCAAAGCAGACCACACCAAATATCAGTTCGAACACTCGCACGAACTCACGCGCCCGTCCGCCAGGAAAGCCGTCTGCCCCGTCAAGGCCCCGAAGACCCCGATGGACTTGCCGTGGGATGGCGGCGGGTCGCAACCTGAAGCGCTTTGGCGTGTGGATTCCCAACACCTTGGCACATGGATAAGCCATCCCAACTTTTCACCGATCGGCACGGAGTTTGCCAATGAGTATCATATAGCAAGAAGCAGAGCTCTTTGCAGCCCCTCCACTAAAAAAAGTGACATTACTTGCAGCCCCTCTCCAAAAAATGCAGGACAAAGGACGCAACAAACTAAGAACACACAAAAACACTGAAGTCTTGGTGCCACTTACCCCCAGCCTTCGGCAAGGTTTTCCGCTTTCCTTTCTTGGGGTGACCCTGGTTCTCGCCTTGGGTTTCAGGCAGGTTCCGGAGCTGGGGAAACTCAAGGGCTCAAGTCCAAAGATAGCAACAGCCAAGGGAAAGGGGCGTTGCTTCGTTTTCCCTTCCCACGCCTTCCCAGATGTCTGGGTGAATTCTAGATTTCACCAGCCTGAAGTAAGGTGGTTTGGGGGCGATTCCCCACATAAACCACCATTTGGGGTGAATTCGGTCGTGTGAGGTCGTTATAATTCACAAAGAGATTTGCCCAACAACATCACCCCGCCCAAAGGAGAGATACATCGCAGCAATCCAGGGAGCTGACACCCCCGAAAGCGTGCTGACGCAAAGGCACGGGATGTCAGCTCACACAAAAATGGCCCATGCCTTCCTATGCTCATAAATCCCCAGGGTGATGAGGAATGCGCCTGGATGAATTAGTCGATTCTCTCTTCCCGTGCCATCTGGTACAGCTGGGGCGCTGAAACAAAGACTCGTAGCAGAACCCGGACCACTTCAGATGGCAATAGTTTCCTTTGTTCAGCCGAATGTCCATGAACATCCTCTGATTCAGGGTCGCACCTCCAACACGCACGGGATCAGATGAGACAGGGATTCCTCCTTTCCGCTGTGAAAGAACCAAGCCGCCGAAAGACAGGACGTAGACAAAAGGCGCGCGAACAGAAGCCATGGTTTGTTCCTTTGTTCTTCGTTGTCGGGGTGTCCCCTTTTTCGGGTTGGGTGGGCGCCTTGTTTCCCTCATTGCCAGGCACCGGCCAACTCCGACAGTGAAACCTCCAATTCCCCTACTCAGTTGCCCCTCAGGGACCCAGAAAGAAAAGGTGATCACCTTCTGGAACCATTGACTGCCATGGACCAACATTGAAAAGCCAGAGGTCAACAATGACAAACACAAGAGGTCCAAAAAGGTCGCTTCGCTTCGGGCAACCGAGAAACACGCCCAAGTGGCTACTTCACAGATGGATTTCCCTAAGGGGCCGTGGGCCGTGGGGGCTGGCTGTCTCGCTTGCTACGAGCAGCTCACCCCCTTCTTCTGGAGAAAGCCGTCGCACACCGCTCGGCGCACCGGCCTTGAGTGCTCAAGAGCAACGAGGCTGAAGCATTGGCACACGTCTGGGTGGCTAAATCGGGGGATCTGGGGAAAAAATGACAACTACCCATCCCAAATTTGGGTAGATTAAACAGCGGCTATTTAGCACCCAATGTAAGGGTCTACATCATTTGCACGCTCTATTCTCCTACTTTGGATGGACAAATCCAGCACCAGTTGGCGGGTGGAGTATCCCATTACTTGTAGGGGTTAATCTATTCCAAGCGGTGCGAGTTGGATTCGTCCACCGGTATAACTGAATAAGCCTCCCACCCCACTCCAAGCATTTCGCCCCAACGTGTCGGGTTTCATCACTGCGCTTCGGGACCCTTTCGCATGGCGTGCTGTTGTCTGCCCATCACACCAGAAGGACGAAGCAAAGGAGCTGGACGCCCCTCACAGGCTTTTTGAAGCGTGCCGAGCTGCTAGGCATGCCAAGTGGATTCCCGTTCCGCTTCCAGGAAAAGGTCTTGTTCTGAGACTGAGAGCGTTCAAGGGAGCGTCCCTGCTGATGTCCAAGATTGTCCAAGCCATCCAAAACGATTAACTAATAAGAAGAACACAAGAAAAGAAGAAGCAGAAGAAAAAGAAGAAAATAAGATATTCAGGAAGGGTCTTTCTTATTGGGCAAGGGATACAAACACGCAAAGAAGGATTCTAATGCCAAGGCCATGGGTGCACACCAACATCTGGTTCTCAGTTGACAGCATATCCCGCGCAATAAGGCTGTGACTAAGCCCTGGTCGACTTTGATTTGAGGGGTGTCGAGCTCTAAGTGAAATATCCGCCTCAATGCCCCTAAGGAGATTGCCAAGTGCAAACCGAAAGGTCGAATGCGAGAGAATGCTGCTGCCTGGGGGACACCTGCCATCTAGCCTTGGATTGCAACATGGTCCAAGACAGGAATCTTAGACCGCCACACGGCAGTTTGGATGCCCCAAGTGTCGATTTCACCACTTGCACTCTCAGAGCATTGAATATAAGGGGGATCCACAGGTGAGGCATGCAAAACAACCCTGAGAGAATCCTAAGAGACAATATCTGCAAATGTAAACTTTGTTCTCAACCCAGAAGCAAGGAAAGAGCCTACATCATGGGATTGAGCCCGTTTTAACCCCAAGTCGGTAAGCTCGTAAAATTTTTCATAAAACCAGCAGAGTTGCTCTGTGCAGCCCTCATTCAGCAAGATCGGCAACACGCGCTCCACCGTGTAAAAAGATGGGGACAGGATGAAGATCACCCATCCTGGCAGCCGATGCATCTGTATGTCCCTTTCAGACATCAAACTCACCTTGGGGGACAAAAGCTGGTGTTTTAAATCCACCAACAAAAGGCAACATATAGCTGTCATCACCCTCCCGACTGGATTTCCCACTTCCGATCCCGAGCATCATTAACGCATGGCGTGCCACACCACCACAAACAAAAAGTACATACTTTGGTGTGTCTTACTCACATCAAAGGACCCAGAAACATGTGACCACCTTTGGGGCCACTACGTAGACATTTGCCAAAATGCTGCCACAGCATTCTGCCCATTTCAAGAGGAATTCGGAAAGCGACAATCAACATGCTGGAGTCGCCCTGAGCAACCGCTAACAGTGGGCATCCTCACTCGAAACCAAACGACCTGGCAACCAACGTCTACACTTCGAAAATGCCACCTGACAAAGGGTTCCTGCGCGAGGATATTGATCATCCTGGTGCTTTGGCATGGCTTGTCAGGGGGTGACTCACCTTGTGGAACCCATGGGCCAAACAAACCAAACACCTTGAAGGATATGAGTATTGAACATGCGTTTGCCTCGTACCCAGGGTTGAATTCATCAGGGAGTCGGTCAAGCTCTTGAATTCGACGTGACAGCCCTTCTTGCAGTCAAATGTTCGGGTTTCTTTCAAGTAGCTTTCCCCAGGCCCCCAGTGCCGGGATTGGGAAAGGGGGCACCCCTTTTTGGCTTGTTACCCCATGCACACACACAAAAAAACAAACAACAAAAACACAAAACAAAGACACAACACAAACAAACAAAGGACAACCTGGGCACCACTGGGGTCTGGGTGTTGGTTGACTTTTTCCAACGGCTGCCATGCACCCGCTCGTGCCTACTCCACGCAGAGCGCCGTGCACATCGCCAAACGCAATGAGGTCGCAGCCGGAGCAAAGCTGCGCTACCACCAGCAGCAGCCTGAGGCTGACCCGGCCGTTCAACCCAACCCAAGGAACTCTTAAGTTTATGAAGCTTAAGGAACCCACCAACAAAAAGCCAAAGTGAACGACAAGGAGTCCGTGAACTTCGAGAAAACCTGAAAGAACCCGAACATCCTGCTGGTCCTTTCCCCTTCTTGCGTTCAAACTTGAACAAGTACTTCAGACAGTGGTTGGAACAGGAGCAAATACATAATACGCATGAGGTTTGCCAAACAACTTTCATAGAAGCCAAAGGTGGCGACAGCCACGGGCCACAGCCACCAACCAGAAAACGCCAATGGCTGGGGCGACAAACCCCTTTAATGACTTCCCAGCATGGCCGGCGAGCCCGCGGATTGCCCCGAAGAAGGAATCTGAAGGGAGCAAACAACCCCTGCAAGTCAACCTGAAACCGGAAAAGGGGTTCCGAAGAGGAACCAGGAGCTGCCAGGCGGCATGATGGTCACCGTGGCGGTGGATTGGCTCGGCAAGTTCACCTACAGCCCAAAGGAGCTGGGGTGATACTGCGGATGCTTGCGAAATCCAAAAAAATCGCCCCGTTCAGAAACCATAACAACCATAACGTTCGTTGGTCTTTCCGGGGGGGTCAATAGAAACCAAAGACTTTAGGTGGGGCAAGATTGGTTTTGCCCATCCCCAGTAGGATGGGACTGCCAACTCAGTTGACCAAAACACCCAAACATAAAGGATTATCTTGTGGAGCCATGACTCCATGGACCAACCGGGGGAAACTGAAAGGTCAACCGGGTTGCTGTGGGCAACTGGGCAAAAAAGAAGGAGTGGCCAACCTGGGGTTAGCAAAGGGAGGTCAACCTGGGATGGTCAGTCAACCTTAGAACCTTTGGATCTGAAACAAACGAAACAAATCCGTCCCCTTTAGCGGCGTTTAGACTGAATTGAGAAGTGGATGGGCCAAGCAAGCAACATAAAGTAGCCAAACTGTCTGTTAACATGGCATTCATGTCATTCCCACACGAACTTGTTGCCTGCCTCACTGAAGTACGGGTATTCCCAAAACGTATAAAAAGTCCAAGACGTAGGTGTTCTTGTGGGAAAATAGATGGATATCCCTGGCAGATTATGAAACAACCACCGAAGCCATTGGAACCCATCTACGGTCCGTCAGTGTGTATATATATATATATGTATATAGTGTTTTAATGAAGCCAGAAAAGAAGACCCTCACATGGTCCAGAAAAACAAATTGAGACTCTCAAACGCCCCAAAAAACAAAAAACAACTACCCATTGAAACTGACCAGCATATTTAGCTATATCCGAGCCCCAACTCTCAGCCCTAGTGTGGTTGGGTTGGTTTTGACCACCTTGGTTTCCTTTGGTCCAATTTCCAAACTCTGGAGGTGTAGTAAGTTGTCAATGTGTTCGGGGAAAATCTGTAGGTCACCAAACTTGATTTACCTCGTGCTGCTCCTTGAGATGTAGCACATGTTGTCGCCAATCTAAAATTGAATCATCAGAAGTATTCCTTTGCAGGCTTGTCTAAGCATGATTCTTTCGGTCAGTTGGCAGTGGACTGTGTCGAAAGCGGAGGGAGGTGGGCTCAGATTCCGGCAAGCCTGCAATTCTTTAGATTTCACAATTGTTCTCGGCGGCTAGATGTACCACATCTAATGGCGCAGCCGAGGAAAATCAAGGTTTTATGACCGATATATTTTCCTCGAGCACATTTTTGACAACTTACCACACCTCTGGCTGAGAGTTTGGAAACGGGTGCTGCTGCTGCAAAAAGCGCGAACACCCAACTCTCAGGCCCCTGAGCGAAGGAAACCAAGGTGGACTGTGATACCAAACGAAGACCAACAATTGGCGAGACACGCCTCCTTTCAATAAACACCCAAGGCCCCCAACCCGGGTCAAAACGAGCCCAACCACTCCAGTGCACCAAAGGCAAGACCAACAAGGGCTGAGAAACACCTTCTTTCAATAACCGAGATTTGAAATCCGGTCAAGACTGTGGATTGACACCGCCATTTCTTGTTCCCCATCAAACGTTTAAGACATATTCCAGACCCTGGTCAAAACACGCGGTTTTCTTAACATACCGATCGACCGTATTTCTATTCTGGCCAACCTAAAAAGCAACACTTATGAAAGGAACCTCAAAAATGCCAAAAGAAAACTCAAGGAACATAAACCATTCCCCATGTGTTTGTCTGCCCCTTAGGCAGGTTTGGTCTTCTTCGAACGGCTGCAAGGCTCTCCCCGAGGCAGTGCCTTCTCTGCGTTTTTTCTTGACCCGGAACCTGCACCACTTTGAATCCAGGGTTGAAGCCAGTTCGATTTGTATTTTGCGGGGACTCGCATCCTCCCTTGGGTTCCTTAGGTGGTGTGCAGTGAATGTCGCAATCATCCACAGCTACTGTGGATGGACAAATTCCTTTACCACCTGAGGAACCCTGGAATGATGCGATTCCCCTGCAAATACCAAACAAACAATGGCTTCCCATGGTTTCAAAGTGGTGAGCAAAGGGGTGTCCTTTTGCGGCAAGTAAATGGCCCTGGTAAATAGATGATTAAACCACCAGGTCAACCAGGGCCATCTATTTTTCCTCCAAAACAGCCAAAACGGACACCTATGATGGTGCGGTTGTTGGATGTCGCACTCATCCACACCTACGGCCCAGGAGCTCAGGGCGTCGATGAATTTAGGGCCCAGGCGCCGACAAGAAGAAGGAGATGCCGAAGGCCAAGTAGCACTGGGCCACTGAAAGCCGCAGCAATGTCCAGGGGCTCACGCCCACACGGGCGAAGGGCCCGTAGATGCCTGGCACATGGAGCCGTTCGACCTTGGGGTCCTGGTTTGGACTATCTTCCTTATAAACTTCTCAAGGGACACCTGTCGGGTTCCATGTTGATTGGTGGGAGGGTAACTCGCAAGGCCGGCGGTTGACTTTCTTTAGGAATTGGACTCAAATTGGTGGCTTTCCTTTTTCTTTTCAAACCAACCCCCAAAGGGGTATCCTCAAACAAGGCGAGCCACCCATATGCCCGTGACTTGCAAGGGGATGGCCCAAAGATATGGCCATGCCCCCAGTGAACATCCCAATCCCCACTAAAATAAGCAAAAATGGGTGGTGCACCTACCCCAAAATGGTACCATTGGTTTTGACCCACAGCCATATAGAACTTTAAATAGCCAGCCAATGTGCCGGAAGTGTTGCCTAAGATCCGGGCTCCTTGCCCCAACCTACGCTTGTGACCAAGCAAACGGGCCGGACTTAATCTTTGCAGACCCGAGCCCGCACAAACAGCCGCGTTCGCGCAAAACGCTCGCATGAAGAAACAAACTGAGTGGTGTCCCTTGTGTTTTTTGCAGGTCGTTGAGTGTTGATTGGTGTGGTCCGCTGTCGATGTTGATGGGTACTATTCTATGCTCAATAGATCAACCTTGAGACAAACCGAAATACCCGGGCTGTCCTCGATCCCCCGCAAAAAGCGATCAACTTTTAGTGGGCGAAATGGAAATCCGACCACTAAACACAGAAAAGCTCAAACCTGCGGAACCGGATGGCTGGGAGCCGAGATTGCAGGCGATGGGAGCTCAGATGCACATGGAAAACAAAGACAGCTTGACTGGCCCCATTTCTTTGGCCAAAGTCACCCCCTAAGCGGTAGGTCACAGGAACCCCCCCCCCCTCAACAATTTCCGACTTTCATCACCTGCAAAAAAGTCGACCTACTTGCCCCAGCTTGAGTTCGACAAAAATCGCCGCGAGCTCGAGTCCGCCAAAAAACTTGAGCCAGCGAACCGTTCTACACATCGCGCCTGTCCAAAGGGTGGCAAAGATCAGAAGCTCCACAAAGTGGCAGAAGTCCTGGTGCCGGCCAGCCCCCCACCCCGAACCAGCGGAAAAATGGGCGGCCCGTGGGGCGCCCAGTGGAAAGAAGGGCAGGGGTTGGGCGGCCGGTACTCGTGGCAGCAAAGCCCTCACACCTTCGACCAAAATATGGCAACGTGGCAAAAAAGGACATTGGACTGCGGCAACTCACAAAGAAAAGCTTGAGCCTCCCTTCATGTTAATTTCCTTCAAGCATTGGGACATGTAGGGAATTGGAAAGGCCCGATGGTTTTACTAGCTCGACTTTAGCCCCGGGCGAAAAATGTCATTTTCGAGATGCTGGCAATCACAGTCAGTAAACAACAAGAATGAACCCTTCCACAAGGACACATGGAATTGCACAGGCCCCCCACGACCCAAATTTTGGTACTTCCTAATTGGCGATCAGGATTGCGTCTGGTTCTTGTGGGGGGTAAATAGGGTTCTTTTGACCACCAAACCACCGGGCTCCAAACCACCCTTTCTGAGGGTAAGCCTTCGGACGTGCACCGAACCATGTTGGTGGTCCTGTCGATGGACGAAGCCCTGCACCAGTTTGAGACCATGGTTGAAACTATTGGCTGTCGGTATTTACTGGGGAATCACCACAAAGGGTTGGAAATGGAGCTTTGGGTGGCCGCTTTCCGTGACAAGGGGATCTCCTTGATTCAAGTGATGTGCAAGCCCCAGTCAAAATCTGCGCTCACAGAAAGGAGCATTGCAAGATTTTAAAGTCTCCTGGGATTTTTGGCACATTCAGATCCCAAATCAACATAACTGGAGCTCAAGTAGTCAAAGGTTTGCGAGTCAACCTCTGATTCCTGTATCGCAGGGGCCCAAATGCCATTGCCAGGTTTGGGCGAGTCGGCTCCTTGCTTATGCAACATCCTTCTGTTTCCCCTTGATGTGGACAAGGAGGTGGTTGTCCGTCATTTGCGTTGTTCCCCCTCCCCAAAAAAAAGAAAACATATTTCCAGTAGTGACAGATTGTGTTTAAAACCATCACGGGAAAATAACACATATTGTTGATGGCTTGCTGGACTCAGATGTGCAAATTGCTGCTTTGTCTTCCCAGGCCAAGCAATACAGTGGATGAACAAACTCCTGCACCACGTTGAAACCATGTTTGAAACCCATTGTCCGTTGGTATTTACAGGGGGGTCGAATTCAGAAAAGCCAGGGTTTCTGAACCGGTGCAACATGGATTTCGTACCCATCCGCAGTTGTTAAAACCGCTGCAACCAACCCATCGCCGTGTCCTTGGCCAGGTATTGTGCTAGCGTGGGGATCCCTGCGGTGTCCTCTCTCAATCGAGCAAGGCGCCGGCCATAGGGCGAGGTTTTCTAAGTGTTTTTTTTGTTTAATGATATAAGGTTAGACTTTGGATTTGCTCTCTTGAGCGGACTGGCCCAAACAAAGCAACCAAACTATGAGTTTGCCACCAAAACGGTCCAAACCCAAAATGTGACTAAAGTCCGTGCAATCAGGCAGTGAGTTTGGCTTGCTGCGCTCTGAACCACGCACCAAGACCAACATGGGAAAAGCCAAGGTGGATTTGCAACTGACTGACCAACATGGGAAACGCAGCCCCTTTGTGGGACCTGCCGGTCACTTCCAACGGGTCCCTACATGAGAAGAAGGCCTAGTAGCTGCTTTTTCAGCTTCGTGCCGAACAACTTGACCGCTTTGTGCGGTCCCAAAACCAAACATCGTGGGGTTGCTGCACTACCTCCTTTTACATGATGTCCCTGATTGGATGTTCCCACCAATGACCGCGGTGAGCAGGGATGACTGGGGGTGGCACGCACCATGGCTACTGCGTAGGCTCAACAACCCGTCCGTCAAAATGAATTGGCAGCGCTTCTCCCGGGGCCCGGTCCCTTTCATGCACTTCGTGGATTGCTCGCTTGCAGCAATTCACGCAAGGCCCAGGTCCACAAAGCGCAATGACCACAACGCCATTGGATTGCAACTCAACCGTCGGGGATGGGCAATGGTGAGGAAAAAACGTTCAAGCCACATTCCACCTGCTCCAATGGCGTGGCCCTAAGAATGGCAAGCAGGGCCGCCAGGGTTCTCGGCTTCAACCACTTGTCTAGCCGTCCCCATTCTATGGATTCTTTTCTTCGGAAAAGGCCAGCCCCAAACCCGTTCTCAAGAGAACGATGGGCCAAATCCTAGAACTTGCGTACTTGGAGGGGTCTCGTGTACTTGGACGGTCCTCTCGCTGTCGCTCCAGGCGATCGCTGCTGAAGACATACCTGGGTCATGCCCCTGAAGTGTTACCTGCCTGAGTAGACTGGCCAACAAAAGCCCAAACTGTCCCAACAAAACCACTTGAGAAACGGTCTGTTGAAGATGAAACTCCCTACATTTCCCCTGTGCACATCACCCAACTACAGGGAAACTCACTTTGAATTAGCGAAACGCTGATGTTTAAAGCCACCACAATGGGACATATAGAAAGCCCTGTTAGTCTAAGGCTTATCCGTGGACATGTTCAAGGCAGATGTTTGGGCGTGTGAAAGGATGTATGCTACTTGCATCAGCCCGCTGATAGTAGTCCTCTGCTTCTGCACCTCCAAGCACCCCCCCTGTTCATGTCAGAAGCTATGCCGGTTTTCCGAATGATCGGTCTCCCACAAATTACTTTGCAGAATTCCTCATCCCATCTTGACTGCCGGGACCATAACCCACCATGGAACAAAAGACGCCTTAAGGTCAGATTTGGTCTGTTCTGTGACCCTGGCAAAACCCCCCCCCAAAAAAAAAAACGATTTGAGGTTGACCATTCTTAGAACTAAAAGGGACCTAAAGGGTTGTCACTGAACAACTGTACAAACCTTCGGCCTTGTCTGCGCGTCGGCCTCGGGGGGAGCAAAGAAACAACTGGTTTGTCCTGTTGCTTCTCAAGTTAATCGATCGTGTTGCGATTTTGATGCAAACGCTTTTAGGCTGACACACGGGCGTGTTCTTTTCCTTTTCGGGATTGCGATAAAGGAGTGTAAGAGCCTATGTGGGCTTCAACCCTAGAGACAGGCCCATCAAATCAAGCACCAGGATGCATACTGTGGATGCACACAGGAAGCATCAGCATGGACTGTGCAATTCCCAGCTTCACCAGGATCTGCTCAAAGCCTCCGTCATCGCCTGAGCTTGCTCCGCATGTCTCTGGATTTTCTGGACCCTAACCGGGGGGGAATTGGTCCAACTTAGAGGTCTCTCATCCACTGGAATGGTGCGTCCCGCATGAAGTGTCTGAACCCCCCATGCAGCTTGAGCCCACCCAACACCCGGTGGATCCAGTTCCCTATTTCCCTGGTTGTGTAGGTGACCAACGGCTTGCCACCCTTTGGAAACGAAAAGGAAAATGGCTGTTTACCCACCATATGGGGAACTGGGGTGAGGCTTGTGCATTCCGTTGTCAAGAGAAAACCCCTGGCCTTCGTTCATTGGATCCCTGGCCTTTGGGCTTTTCTTTGAACCTCAAAGCGAAATCCCGGGTGACATTCCCAACAGCAACCACCGGAACCCTTCCACAGACCCACGCAGACACACAGACACGTAGATACGCAAATACGCAAACACGGGCCCCGCACGGCACACGCACCGTCACCCGCGCGCACACGCGCACACACACCCCTTTTGGCTGGCATTTACAGGACAAAAGCAAAGGACACCAAGCAAAGGACACCAAGCGATTCCTATTGAGAAACCCCAAAATTGGTGGCTTGGATTGGTGGCTTGGTGGTTCAGGGGTGGTAAACCTCATTTCCCAACACGGAATTGGAAGGGGTCCTGTGGATGGACAAAATCCTGCACCACTTTGAACCCACGCGGAAACCATTGTTTGTGAGCATTTAACACGAGAATCGAATCATTCCAGGGTTTCTTAGGGGTTGCGACATGGATTTCGTCCATCCACAGTATGGGTCCAGTTTGTCTGATTCTGAGCTGCTGCATGGACTGACCCAAATTCCAGAACTTCATTACTACCAAACCACTGCGTGAGTGCTCACTGCTCACCGAAGGCTTACCTGAGAGCCGAAGGGCCCAGCAACAGCCGCACCACGCAGAGGAAGAGCGCCACCAGGCACAAGTTGGTCACTCGCTGACGCCAGGAACGGCAGACCTGGTAGCGTCAACGCAAGCAGATCCGAATTGCTTTTCTGAACCCTCCCCGCAGGTTAGGCCCGCAACAAAAACATGCCTGGAGGATAGAAAATTGGCCCCTGAAACGGACATGGAATCTTCGAATCCCCAGTTCCTGAGAGAGTGGGCGAAAAGAAGTCCGAACTTTCTGTTTACTGCTAAAATGGTCCAAACCCAAGAAACCCAACAAGTGACAAAAGAACCGGCTCTCGTGAGGTACTCTCCTTGAATGGCTCCAGGAAACCACCCCCCTCGTCTTTGCAGAATCGGTGACATTGATTGGCCTGTTCTCGGCCCAGTGTCCCAACCGGGCATCGGTTTTTTCAGACCTCGCTGAAAAAGGTCGTCAAAAAGGGCCTAAGTCTTCCATGACCGATACCCAGAACAGAAGAACATTCCTGCGCCATGAAGGTGGATGTTCACTTGCGCAGCCGGGAGGGTTCTCCGCAGAAATCTCACTGAAACGGCCCATGAGCGAGCCGAACGCTGCTGCAGAACAGATCCGCAGCATTTCAAGCCTTGATGGAAGCTCAGCCGGTAGCTCGATTTGGGTATGGGTCAAATTACACCACCAGGGGACCGCAAGTTTTAGTCCTTCTTTCTTTTCCCGAAAGCATCGCGAAGGGTTCTTCCGTGCGGAGCCCTTGGACAAGTTACATAGAGCCAAGTTACATAGAGCCAAGTTACATAGAGCCAAGTTACATAGAGCCAAGTTACATAGAGCCAAGTTACATAGAGCCAAGGGTAGAGCTTAGAGCTTAGAGCGCGTTAGCAGCTATGTAAGTTAGTTTAGGTTTCTAAGGCGCCGGGGCGGGAGTTTGATCGTCGCTCGGGATTGCGGCCCTCTGCGGAGATTCGCGTCGAGGTTCAAAAACTGAGGACTTTTCACGATTTCTGCGGTGCGCGCGCAACCCTCTGCGGAGATTCGCGTGGTCGAGGTTCAAAAACTGGGGACTTTTTACGATTTCTGCTGGCCGCGCGCGACCCTCTGCGGAGATTCGCGTGGTCGAGGTTCAAAAACTGAGGACTTTTTACGATTTCTAGCATGCGCGCGTTTGTCTTAGTCTCGGCGAACCCTCTGCGGAGATTGTGCGTGTCGAAGCGCTCTCGCTGTGGCGCCGTGCAATATTCTTGCTCGCGAAACGGCCTTTGGAAGTTGTCTCGTGGTTTGCGCGCCTGCTTTCGCAATCCCGCGGTCGCGGGTTCGATTCCCCCCTGGTCCGCGGCAGCTCCGGCTTGAAAATCGCAGCTTTTAAGTACAAACGTAGTACGCGGAGCGTGCTCCTGCAGCTCCGGCTGGAAAATCGTAACTTTTAAGTACAGACGTACGCGGAGCACACCCCCGCAGCTCCGGCTTGAAAATCGCAACTTTTAAGTACAAACGTAGTACGCGGAGCGTGCTCCTGCAGCTCCGGGTGGAAAATCGCAATTTTTAAGTACAGACGTAGTATGCGGAGCGTGCTCCCGCAGCTCAGGCTGGAAAATTGCAACTTTTAAGTACACACGTAGTACGCGGAGCACACCCCCGCAGCTCCGGCTGGAGAATCGCAACTTTTAAGTACAAACGTAGTACGCAGAGCACACCCCCGCAGCTCCGGCAGCTCCGGCAGCACTTGCGCAGAGCAACTTGCGCAGAGTCACTTGCGCAGAGCAACTTGCGCAGAGCAACTTGCACAGAGCAATTGCACAAAGCACTTGCGCAGAGCAACTTGCACAGACCAACTTGCGCAGAGCACATGCGCAAAGCGCTTGCGCAAAGGCGCAGCAACTTGCGCGCAGAGCACTTGCGCAGAGCAACTTGCTCAGAGCACTTGCGCAGAGCAACTTGCACAGAGCACTTGCGCACAGCAGCTTGCAGAGAGCAACTTGCGCGCAGCAGCCTGGAACAATGCAGCTTGCGCAGACCACTTTCGTGAGAAATCGCGCGGCGCAGTTCGAGAGGAAGGATGATGAGATGGAGCTCTCATGTGACCATACACACTGAGCATCGCCGCGCGCAGACACGCTCGCCGCAGCGATGTAAAAAGGTGTCTCCGCAGCTGGATGAGCACCTGTGGAAAAATGCTTTCGGGCCAATCGTCCTCTAGTTTAACAGGGTTCCATTTGCAGTACTTTTTTTTGACCCACCGCCATTTGACGGCCACTCTGACGGGATGGGGACGTGGCTGTAGCTGTGCAGCTTGGCAGCATGGGACTCATCTGCGACCACCCTGAGACTTGGAGCGGCCCTACATTGAAAACAACATCCCTGTCCGGGCTTCCCACTAGGTTTGCTTCAGTAAGACATCCTTAACATTACACTCGATGATGTTGTTTTTGGAGTTGGTCACCCCCAGAAGGACATCTGGAGAACCCCTCAAACAACAATGAGGCCGATCCCCGCACAACGACACATAATTCAAAGTCATTGCATCTCCCCGCCTGCAAGCAGCAGCGCAGGTAGAGTGTCCAGAATGTCTCAGAGACCCCTGGTCTCATCTTCTCATAGGAGGCCAGCGCCGGACACTCCGTCGCCGTCCTGACGTGGGACGTAACAAGTCAGGGCATCGGAAGCTGTTGCGGTCTTCCGGTTGTTGTGCGCTGAGCCCAAAAGGCCCCGGGCTGAGGGACTTTGACCGAACATCAAGGTGCCTCAGGGCTTGATGGGTCAGTACATGTCTCACTCAAACATCGCAGCAACTTACGCCCCTTTTAGAGCACCACGACTTTCCAACCTGAAGCGAGCTGGGGCCATCCACAACTAACTGCTTGAGCCCCCAATGAAGATCCGCAACATCCAGCTGCAATGCTGGATCGCCACCCTTTTCGGACCCAAGCTCGAAAGCCTCGGAGCCTTGAAGCTGCTACATTCTACTTGCTCATACTGTGGATGGACAAAATCCATTTCGCACCACTTGGAAACCATGGGAAACCATTGTTTGTTGGAATTTACAGGGGAATCATCCTTCCAGGGTGCAGGATTTCGTCCATCCACAGTAGGGTTGGCTTAGAACAAGGATTCGGACAATTTGGACCCCCAAAGCGGTTGGTTTTGTTTGGAGCCTTGGTGCTTTGTCGGGGCCTCTCATATCACAAAACCCAAGGTTTACGTTTATGTATCCTTGGGTAAAATTACCGGGGTCTCCGTCCGACAATTGCTTGTCTTGGTCAAGTTGGATAAATGCTGTGGGTGGAAACGCATTCTCGGTTGATATGGTTGTGTCTCAGACTGGAATTTGGAGCTTCAAAAGGAGGGCAAGGATTCCCTTGGATAGGTTCCCAGTCAAAACATCAAACAAAAAAAAGGGCCTGAGCCTCAATCAGGACATACTCATATATTACTACCTCCGCAACATGGCGTTTCCAGGCGCTCTGGAGTCAAGTCGACGAGTGGAGCGACCAGCATGCTTTACTGAACTGGCCCCTTCGTTTGACTATGCTCAAAGTCACCCCCAAGTGGTGGGTGAAAGGAAGCAACCCCATGTTCTGACCGGATAACCCCAGAAACAGTTAATATAATGACCCCAGCTGAAGGCTTGCGGGGATTGCCGTTCCACTTCTGCCATGGAAAAAACACACTTTTCTTGGGGAAGCAATTCCCTGACAGAAGTGGGGCGGGCACACCCCATCTTTCCGCGGCGTCCGAGTTCTTGCTTGGGTCATGAGGACCTGAGACTTTCTTGGGAGAAGGAGGGGGCCCCATGTCTCCGAATCGCGTGGGAAAAAGCAGGGCTGCACAAAGTCAGGCCGACAATCCCCAAAAAGGGCCGGGGGACAAAGAGGTGGGACTTGCCTGAGGCATGCCGGCGTAAAGATGTGTGAGAGCGAGAAGTCGTCCTGAAGGATTCAGTGTTGTTGAAGGCTGCCCAGGAGTTGGCCAAATCCGCTGCCGACATGGCAACCTCTGCCTCCGCTGCGGAGCTGTCGATGAAATCCAGGAAGTGGTCCTGGATTTCTTTCGCGCGTGTGCGGTAGCAAGCAAGCGCATGCACTTGCCCTACCCAAAGCCTTTCCAAGCATGCGGACGAGACATGACCAACTTAATGTCTTACAATATTAGCACCGCACACCAATTGGGGACCGGCCAAGCCTGACATCTATCAACCTGCAAAGTGACCCAAACCCGATACGCTGGTGATCTTAAACGTTCAAATCCTGCACCATCCTGGAATGATGATTCCCCTGTAAATACCAACAAACGTAATTTGTTTCAACGCAGTGCAGGATTTCGTCCATCCACAGTGTGTCGTCCAAGTTGGAAGCCTTCGCAGGTTGTGGAAGGACTGCGCAGTTTTCAACTGGCTGCTTGCTCACTTGCTCGCATACCGGAGGTCACATGGCCAAACCATGGGCCAAGGTCATAATTATTGTATTTGTTTATCCCTTATAGTGTTTGGAAAGGCAAAAACAAATTTGGGGGGGGCCTAAAAAAAGGCACACCAATGCTCCTAAAACCAGGCTGACAACCATCCCCCCGTGAAGGAATCCGCTAAGCCATGGCTTTGAAAAGAAATAGGGGCACCTCGGATAGATGGCATGCGCGGAAGCCTCCTCCCATTGGCCTCACTGCAACGACCCTTTTGACCCGGCTTGAGAAAACCTACTCTCGCGAACAGAGAAATGGCGACCCATGGGAAATATGGGAAATTCCAGGCCCAAGCTAAAAAGGAATTCGCAGAAGAATCTTAAAATTCTATTGCGAGGTAGGGAACCCCTCAATAGTCTAGCGCAGGCAGCGAAACCTGCTTGATAGGAATAGATCCTGCCAAAATATTGGCTCCCTTTTGGCTGGCCTCAGTTTTCCTAGGGTTCTAAATGAGGTCTGGAGCAGGTCAACGATGGGTCTTTTGGAAGGTTTCCTGTTGCAAAAGCCGTGCTTGGTAGAGCCCATGATGGGAACCAAACTCGGACCCAGCGAACATGCGGCTCATCGAAGGCCTCCAGTTGCCCAGTGACCCGCACAGTACGAGAAAGGACCTTTGTCCAGGGAATGCAGTGAAATTACTGGGGATATAGAAAAGGGTGGCAGGCAGTACTTTTGTCCCTGATTCACGAATGCAGGGTGCTGGTTTTGTTGGGGCAGCTTTTCCTTTTGTGCTGGAGGTAAATTAGGAAGAAAGATGGTGGAATCCACTGCGCAACTCGAGGGAGATTGGTCCCATTTTGTCTGATTCTAAGCTTCTGCATGGACTGGCCCAGATTCCGGGAACTTGCTTACTACCAAACCCTTGCGTGAGTGATGCTCCATGGATCAAACATTGCCAACCAAAGGGATGCGAAAGCAACCGGCAGCAAACTCGAGCACAGCCAATATCAAAGGGCGCATGTCAGCGGTCGGTTTATTTTGAAACGGAGCTCCACCCGCCCCCCCGCCCCCCAAACAAAAACAGGTAGATCAGAAACAAACCAAAACACTGGAACCACCGGTAAACACGCGCCGAGCAGCCGCGGGGTTGGCCAGCTCGGGGATGGTGGCATGTAAAGTTTCCGTGAAGTACCTCACTTCCGCTTGGGGTTGCCTTCGGCGAGTAGAGGAAACGACTAGCTGAAATCATACTGTGGATGGACGAAGTCCTTTCCGCACCACCTAAGACCTGGATTCATGACTCCCCTGTAAATAGCAACGCACAATGGTTTCAACCGTGTCTTAGGTGCTGCGGTTTATTGAGTTCGGCCACCCACAGTACGGGGATCCACGGATTTGGGGTGGTTTCCTTTGGGCTTCCCTTCGGATTCCAATGATGGGCACCCAGACAAAACACAGCACCCAGTGGACAGTTGCGAAATCCGCTTCTCCTTCACTACGAAATGAGCCATCATGGTTGAAACCATAAGGTTTTTTTGGGGGTAAATTTGCGTCGGGGAATCGGATCAGGCCAGGGTTCCTGAAAGGTGCGAAATGGATCCGCAGAAGTTCTGCCCAGGGCCCTGTGTGGGTGCTGGATTGGAAAAGTGAAACGTGTTCCGTTTTGCTTCGCTGGAAACATGAGCAGCGGGCTATTCAGCACACAGCCTTCGTTTTGGCACCAAAACGACCGGCTTCAAATTTCGCTTATCCCGAAACATACGCTGGATGAATGTACTGGTGCATTTGCTGAAAGGAGAGGTGCCTCACGTGACGGATTCAATCTTAAGTGGGACGCCCCCGTAATCGACGCAGGGGTTGATTTGCCCTTGGTTCCCATTTGGTACCCTGTTTGGGGTAGGTGCCTTATGACCCCGGGAGCTTCGAGCGTAGGGATGGGTCGACCAGCTGTTGGAACAGAACTCCTTTGGGCTTCCGGTTGATTGACAAAAAGCAAAGGTTCACAGACTCAGAGTCCACCCCTCGAGCCACACAAATGGACCAAAAAGCTGATGAAACCTTCTTTTGGAGCAAGGTGCTTCAAGCGCTTCTTGTTCTATAAAACGTAGCGTCTTGTGGACGTCACCTGTTCCTTCCCCTGTTGGTCCTTTTTAGTATTTTAATACTTCTTTGTATATTCCTACAGGAGTAGATCCGCAAAAGCCACATCCAAGCCGTCTTCTAGACTCATTGCAGCACCTGCCAAAGTCGGGGTCTCCAAGTTTCCATCCTCCAAGCTGAGCCGCTTCACAGAGTCTCGGACAGGACCGGAGTAGACGAGATATCCTCCCGTAGCCAGTAGAACGACATTGTCGAAGCAGTCCTCAAGCCAACTCATTGCCGCGCCTCCAAAACAAACAAAAAACGGCAGGTTGAAGGGCGCGAAGCGCAATGACGGCTAGCACACTGCGTGGAAGGCAACTTTCAGTGCATCGTGTCAGACCAAGCATTCAGCCGTCCGTGGAAGCGGACCGCCTTCCAACTTCCAGGGCTGTTGGTGACACTTGGCGCAGGCGAGCCGAACACGGCCCCTCGTTTGTGACAACCCTCCCACGAAGCGCGGCTTTCCGAGAGGCCAGCGTTTGCCAGCGCGGCTGGTGTATGACGGCCACCTCAGGCAGCCAGAAGGGGCGACGGGACCCCTACCATTTTGGGACTATTTTGGGGGTCCCCCCAAAAAACACACACACACACATCATAACTTTTGAGAGTTTCATACGCGTCCAATCACGCCGGCCAGCCTTAGGCAGTCACCCAAACCAGAACGATTTCGCCCTCCGGTTGCCAAACGGGACCGACAAGCGGACAAGAGCACCTTTTGTTAAAGGACTGCCAAATGGAAAGCCAAACAGCCTTATGAGGCTTCCCGCCCCCGCAAATTGTAGGAGCACCGCGCATTCTTTGCGGTATGAGCCCAACTCTGCTTGTTTCCAAATGGGGGGGGGGCAGCCTTTTGTCGGGAGAGCCTGCCGTGGTTTGGTTTGAAGCGGAAACCAACAAATAATTCCAAGCATTTTGGGCGCTGCCCATGTTTGAGACAAAGCCGGAGGCAAGCCCAAGAGCCAAACGAGCAGGTCTCAGGTAAGCCGCAGTTGTACAGTGCCGCTTTGATCTCGCGCAGAGCAGCGCGGCAACGGAGTGTGCGGCCGCTGCGTCCTGGATTACCCTCGGTGGCCTTGGTGGTTTTAGATGGGCGGAGCTACATCTCGATTGCTTTCTGCCCCCCTGCTAAAAGTTTAACTTTTAGTGGCTTGATGCGGAAAACCCATTAGTTGGCAAAAAGTTAAAGTCCGAACATCCAAGCAAAATGCACCAAAGACATTGTAGGGATCCCTCAAAGGAGCGCCACAAAGCAGGACGCTTCATGGGGGGCATTGCCCTATCCACTTAGAACCAGCATGAAAAAATATCCCACCTCAAACACTGCCCCGAATGATTGCTCATTTCGAGGGGGCCAAACATCCCCCAAACCCAAGATGACGAAAGTGCGCCGCATCGTCCATGAGCAACGTGCAAAAGGTATCCCATCTTTTCCTGATTTCTCAGAGAGCGATTGTGGCTTGTGTTTCACGCTGAGGAAAGGGCTCTTTTGACCCTTAGCTACCTTCAGATCTTCCCAGTAAGCTACAACAAACGTGGCTGCCCTCCGTTGCTCGCCCCAGATTTCTCAACGCCAATCCCACAGCCCTTCTCAAACAGCACCGCAAACCGCAATGTAAACGCTGGTCGCTAATCGCTTCAGGCTGCGAGCGCCGAACCAAAGGATGACAAATTTAGGGCTTCCAGAGAGTTAGCTAATCTTGATCCAAGAGCAGTCACTACAAATTGAACTCCTTTCACATCCAAAGGGAGGGATCCTGAAGATTGTACTTGAATCCTTGAACAGCCCCCTTGAATCATCAAAAAAAAGGTTACCGAGCATCTAATACCGGGGCTCGTGCTCCAAAAGTGAAGGGCTGTGGGTTCCTGTTCGTTTCTCTTTTAGGCATTCACCACAAATGGAAGCGGAGGCCTTCAAAGATGTTGTTTTGTTCTTTTGGCACCCTCAAAAGGACAAAGACAAGCCCCGCAGGAAGCCTAGGCAGTCGAACAACTTGGATTCTCACGCCCACCGCCTCAAATTGGGTTAGGCGAGCAGGCCACCTTTTCGCAGACGTTATTTAACTTGCACCCACATTGGCAGCAACACACGCGAATTCATGCAGCCCAAAAGGGATCCTGCAAATCAACTTCAAATCCAAATTGGCTTCAGCAGAGGGACCTTCAACAAACAACCCTCGTGCAAGGCTACCACCAAGCTTAAAGGCGAAACACTGAAAGGAAAATCCCTCCCAGGGGAAAACAACATTCACGAGAACTATCCGACTCGACGCGGTCCAAACCGCTGGTGGGCTCATCCAGGAACAGCACAGAGGGCTGGCCAACCTGCGCAAGTTGATGAGGACGCTCCGTTATATCGCTTCCAGAATGGATTGGCCAACCAAATTCCAAACTTAAGTTAAAGCAGTTACCACTTGCAATGAACAACTTTGCACGGTCAAAAACGCTTCTGAAACATGGCAACATACTGTGGATGGACCAAGCCCTGCGCCAGTTGGTAGCTTGTTTCCGCATATGTTGGGGATTCATCTCTTCCAAGTGGTACGAACTGGATTTCCGACAACCCACTTGCTGGATGGAGTGATCCGAAAAAAATAAGAACCCTCCACCTGGTGGTTTCCTTTCGGGACTCCCTGTGCTTCCCACTTTCCTTGGGTCCTGGGGAATTTTCGGGAACCCACCTTCCCAGCTTCGCTTCAGGCAAAAGCTTCGGTACTTCGAATCGGATCCCGCCAGCTCCATGGCGATGGAGGTGCGCTTCCGCTGGCCCCCGCTGATGCCCCGCACCTCTGCGCCGCCTTCGTCGGTGGCAGGCAGCACCCCTCCGCATTTTGTTTTGGGCTCAAGGGATAAAAAGCCTTTAACTCCCAAAAAAGGTAAAGTCTAGAGATCCAAGGCAATAGCAATCAAGCAGAGGACGATAAGATCCAACCAGAGCTCGTGTTCTCAAAGCCTGGCAGTGTGGTAATCCCTTTCCAGTTAGTGCCTTCAGTTGGTAGGAGGGCCACCACCACCCCAAGAATGATGGCATGTCTTTTGCGAGAACTTTCGGGTGCATCTTCAGTTTTTGCGGGCAACTTCTTTTTCGGGTGCATTGGCAAAGGGATGCCAAAGCGAAACTGCCCATTTATGAGGTTGTCTCCTGTGAGCTGAGGCAAGTGTAATGATCTTGCTGGATCAAAAGTGCAGAGCCGAGGATTGCTAAAAGCAGAGATAGGCTTGTCTCTGAACAAGGATCCACAAGAAAAAGGCCATCAGTCTCCATTTTCTTTGCAACACCCAAAGCGAAACAGGTGTTTGGCTTTTGTTTGGCTTTGCCTTTAAAACACAACCCCTCCCCGCCCCCCAACAAGGTGACTTCCCGAGCCTGAACCAACACATGAAACCAGATCCAGGTTCCCCTGCAACTGCATCACCTCGCTCAAATGGAAACCATCTTTTGAGAAAGCATAGGGCCAACGAAAATGGCCAAGACCCCCAAGGGGAGACGGGGAATATCAGGGAGTAGAAAAAGCCTCGGCCAATGAAGCAACGCCCACGGGCTCATGGCCCCAACCCCCCCCGGCTTGCCATCGAGGCTCCCACCACTGAGTCTTTCACCTGCCAGATCCCCACATCTTTCAATGCGCTTTCCACTCGCGCGGTAGTTGCGGTGAGGCCCGTGTTGGGCGCCAACCGCAAGCGCGCAGCGAAGTAGACGTTCTCGTAAACGGTAAGCTCCTCGGAACTGGGCCACGCAACATGCTAACAGGCCCACTCTCATCGCAGTGCTGGCCAAACTTGTGATCTCATGATGCACCATGGGAATCAAACATGCCGGTAGCTCGTCCCAAGAAGTGGAAAGCTCATGCTTGCATGTGTGTGTGTGTGTGAGATGGTATGTGTGAGAGATGTGCGCAGCCACAGCCTTGATGCAGCGCACGCCATGAATCATCTGAACCAGACATGATTCCATTGCGAGGTTGCCACAAATGTGTAGCAAACTTGAGGCGTCATGTTAGGAAGAGAGAAGCACAACACACAAGCAGAACATCACATAAGGAGGGAAAATGATGTTACATGGTGACAGATGCTCTTGGCAGCCTGTGGAAATTGAAATTGTGTGGCAATAAGCACAAGTCGCAACAGGCAGCAAGTAGATGCAGCCGCGCATCTGTGTGCATGATGTCGTCTTGGGGGACCTTAGATGCCAGTATCGCCCGCTACGGACAGCCTCCCTGCCCTGCACCCAGCCCTTTTTCCAGCAGCTCAACTTCAGGAGGGCTGTGGAAGACCAAATGATCATCCTCGGTGTGGGGAGGGACGAAAGACAGAAACAGGCAGTTCCAACCGCGGGCCGCCAGTGGAAAGCTGGTGATTCCATTGCGCTTGGCAAGTGCGGCAAGCTGAAACCCTTTGAAATGGGGCACTCAGGGTTTGTGTGAAGAAGATAAACAAAATCAGATTAGGGTGTTTTAAGAGCGGGACGCAACAGTGCGTCTTTCCAAACGCTTCACAAACAATGGAAGGTTAGACATCCACTTGGATAAGATGAGCTCTCGAACTCAGCTCCAGATGCTAACCTCGCCAAGGCACGAATCCAGAAGCATTCTTTGTCTTCAAGTTCGACTCGATCCCCTCTGGAATGGGTTCATGGTTGGCAAACATCTCGCCGGTAACATCTCCTGCACGCATGATAACCGAGGGCCAGGGTAAGTACGGTGCAACTTGGACTCACGCCTCCATCTCCGGCATGACCGCATGCGTGGATGAATGGGCAGCAATGAATCAATATATGTCTAGCAAACTAGGAATGAACGAATGAACAAAGGAACGATTGAATGAATGAATGAATGAATGAATGAATGAATGAATGAATGAATGAATGAATGAATGAATGAATGAATGAATGAATGAACGAACGAACGAACGCATCAATCTATCCATCCAATCAAATAAACTCATCAAACCAATCATATCGAAACACACCAAATCATATCACTCATTTCCTATATCAATTTCACCAAGTCATATCAACCAACCAAGGGATCCATCGATCATGCTACTTAGCCTGAACCTGCCAAACAATTCGGGTCTTGTGCTTTGGTTGGTGCTGCAGCTTGCTTGGACTTCGGGGCTCCCAGCTAAACCCCTAACTCTTAGACTCTTTGCGCTTGGGATTTGACATCCCGCAAGCCCAACTTTGGCAAGGGATCAAGAGACATACACCACACACAAACCACGGGATTTTTCGGGGTTTCCTTTCTTCCCTACTGGCAATATCGACCGCAAGTCAAGGTTCAGAACAACTGCTAACCGTGTGTGTCCCTACAAAAGAATTGTGCCTCCAACGTTTGCTGTGCCTTGAACTCATTGGGTTTGTCTCAAGATTGGCGGCCCCGAGATTTGCCATTTAGACCAACCAAAACGGGCTTCCCTAAAAGAGGCACATCCGTTCACCATTCGCCCGAGAAAGCCCTTTCCTCGTCGCCCACTTCCCCTGATTGCGAGCACCGAGAAGGCTCAGCCCTCCTCTCGGACGCAACCGGAGGGTTCAAGCTGGGCTTTGGCTGGATTTTGAACCGAACACATACCTGGAGTCTCCATGACCCTAAAAAAATGGGTCCATGACCCCATTATTTTGGGTAATGACCCCATTCTTAAAGGGTCATGGAGACTCCAGGTACTCCTTTGTGACATCGAGTAAAATGAAGGATTCCACGAATAACTACCGGGTTCATCCCACGGGCTCACACCAAAAGTTCCTGCTTTCAGCCTTGCAAGCAGAACCGATTCGCTCAGATTCGTCTTGCTTCCGGGTCCGTAGTGCAGGGCACGGCCGGTGAGCACGTTCAGCAAGCTGGACTTGCCACTGCCCGAAGGCCCCATCAGCGCACAGCTGCTGTCCTCGGCGATGCGTTCTCAAAGCACAAAGCTTGGGCCGTGGGACATGGACGCCCCAAGGACGAAACCCACCACGAAATGAAACCCAGGGAGGAGAGAAAGGAAACCCACGGCTTTGGAAGGACTGGCAACCTACGGATGGACAATCCAATTCGCACCACCTTCATGGTTAAAACCAGCAGGTTTGTTGGAATTTACGTTGGGGAACCGAATCAGGAACCAACGGTGCGAAATTCAGTTCGCAACCATCCACAGTGCAACTTGTGCGGCGGCTGAACGACAAGCTCACAGGGTGAGCAAGACTGCATGAGCAATACGCCAGGTTGCCGCGGCTGCCCCGAGAATTCGCAGAGTTGCTCACTACTGTCGCTGGCACTGGGTAGACAAATGAAAGGAACCAGGCAAACACCGAACCGAAATTCTAGCCGTTGGGTTTGGACCCAAGCCCAAGGGCTTGGGGCAAATCACATGGTCGATAGACCTCTTTGGACATTTGGCCATGGCCTCTGGTCCCAACATAATATGTTGAACCCTGTTGCTTGGGCAAACTTGGCTGTCAAATGGGAATGGGAGAAAAAAAAGCGGACTTTGCCATGTGGCTGTGGGTCAAAAATAGGGTAACCCCAAAATGGCTTGCCCTGGTAAATGGAAACATGGACTAAATAAAACCTGCGGTCCACTTCTTGGTGGTTTCATTTTGACCCATACCGCATGTTTTGTGCAGGCGGCTTCTACTTGGAAAAAAGACAAGAAGGCTCAGCCGACGGAGCACCTGCAAGCTGGGCCGTTCAATATTAAGAAAGCCGATATGATTCGAGCCGCAGACTTCACAACTACTGGGAAGATCTTCCATTTGGTTAAGACCCCTGGACAAAAATAAAACAACTATTTCCAGTAGTGCTAGATTCCCTTTAAAACCAACGGGGGAAAATAACAGATATTATTAAAGCAAATGGAAGAGATGAGCAACGAACATTTCCCATACTGCTTAAGATCAGAAGGGCAACTTCCCCTGCGTAAGCCATACCAGGGATGCTAAGGTGACTGTCCGTCTCAAAGGGCGCGGTGCACTTGCAAATCTGCAAAGTTGATCGCTGCAGTGACTCTAAAAGTAGACCAAAACAGGAACCTTCCCCCCTCTCAAAATTCAAGCTCCCTCTATGGAACCAGACTGAGGGGTCCTGGAACACTACTTTCCTTCAAAGGAGATTTGTCTGGGGTTCCAGGTCCGTGGACAGACGATCTTTCAAAAGGAAAGGGATCTCTGCACTTCCATGTTGGTGGGATGCATCAGAGGGTTCTCGGTGGGTCGAAACCCTCCCCGCAATATCATTTTTGAGAGGGCAGGGGTGGCTATGTCAAAGGGCCCCCATGCCCGTTCAACATCACCCCGCCAGAAGTGCACGTATTTAAAAGATACTTCCTCAGGCTGGCCAACTAAAAGTCCAAAAGTTACTACTTGTCCCTAAACGGCCTTCTCACAAAAACACAAACCTGTTTCGCACAGATGATGTCGAGGATCTGCTGGGATCTCCAGTGAGATGTTGCGCAAGACCTGGCGATCTAGCGGTCCGACTAAAACAAAGAAGCACCCCAAAAGGTTAGACCACATCTAGGCAAATTATATTGTCCATGAACCAGACATAAGAAATAAGCCCATGGGTAAGCTCGTTCTACCAACCACAGGTGAGCTCCGTCTGGTTTCCCGAGTGGTATTTACTGCAACAGGAGGTTAGCCAAAACCCCTGGCCTTTGGCTCGCGGTAGAATTCCCCGTAGCTCTAAGAGAATACAAACAAAGAAAAACAACAGAAGATAATTTCGGAGAAAACTGCAAATTCACATCCAGACCATTTTCTAGATACTCACAACGTCAGCATATTCCCCCAGAAATCTTGAAGCCCCCATGCTGAGCTTTGCCACAAAAACAAACACAGCAATGGCACAAACTCAAACAAGCCCATCTGCTGCCTGTCCGCACGCAAAGGCCTTTGAAGCAAACACGCCAATCTTTGGGCTTGGCAGCGGGCTCAGGTTTCGTTCCCTCTGTGTGCCACAAAGGGGAGCTAAGACGTGGATGCCCAGGGAGCACCAAGCAAGTGAACAGTGGAAAACTCGACTAGCTATGGACAAGAATTTCGTGTGATTTTGGGTGGGGACAAAAGCTGGGGTAGTGCATCATTGAGTGAGGATTCCTTTCTTGGTGGAAACCCCAGGAGACAAATGAGGGCGACGGCGACGCCATTCTCCTTAGCAGGACCTACAGCAATGTTCCGAACCCATGTCACTCTTGACAAGCGACAGCCCGAACAATTCTAAAACGACAGGAAACCTAACCACACATTTGCCCGTGTGGTGTGGTTGTCTTTTCAAAGCTCTGCTGAGGCGTTTGGCCAGCCATGATCACAAACAATGCATGCCACTCATCCGGTGGAAGCCAACTCAACATGGCAAGCAAGCCAACCAGGAATCCGTGTAGCTCATCG